TTGACATTGGAGTTTGACCCACTTTTGCAAATTTTTATCAAACTCTAACCTTGGCTAAATATTTAGTGCTAGGGCTGTTAAATTTCACGAGTGTATTCCTAGTGACAAAAAGTTTCCTTAGGTACCAACAATTATGACCTATTGATTTTGAACTTAGCGATTGACCTTCTTTCGAAAATCTTTAACCTTGATCATAAATTTTGAATGGTTGGTGCTATGGCTTTCATATTTCAAAGATATATTGTATTCCTTGTGACTTATTTCCCAGTTTACTTATTTTATTAAATTTATTTTGCGTATGCATATTTATAATAAGACTGTAGGATTTTTTTTTTTTGGGGGGGGGGGGGGAGTACATAGATCATGTCCGTCCGAAATCGATCACTATACCAATTTCGATCAATCCAGCATGCCAAAGAGATTTTAATTGTATTCTAACACGGGGATCGATTGGGAAAATAAAGAAATAGACAAATTCTGAGTTTTTATATTTAAAAAAATCGTCTTCTTAAAAATGATATTGAAAAATAACACTATGGTTAAAGCTTTATTTAAGAAATAATTCCAGTGTCGAAGGTATTGTTGGATAATATACCCCAATAGTTGAGTTTTTGTCGGGAAATAAATACCGAAACCATGATTAGTGATATCAATGTGCAAAACATTATCAAGCTTTGTAGATTCAAGTTTTGACCCCCGTAATTGTGACCCATGGGCCTCTATCATACTTCCATAGGGATATAATTTACACATCTTAGATAGAATCAACTGATCCACATGAAAATGGTTCATGAAAATATGCATAAGGGAGTTTATTGAAAATAATTTAACCAAATGCAGATATTGCGACGTCGTATGGGCGTTTTGTGTTTTGACGGCAAGCGGTAAAGCTAGTAATCCCCACTCTCTCGTATTAATTTTTTTCGTCGATATTTCAGGCACATAAACTATGTTGAACTAAATTCACAAAATTACAAATTATCCAAAAAAATTACGAATTGATGGAATCTATGGACTAAATTGAGCATTTCGATGTAACGGTATCCCTCTTAGATTTCTGCATTTATAATTTAGAATTAGATTTTACCGTTTTTGGACAGATAACCATGATAACATTCATATGGCAAATCTCTGATGATTCCGTCACCCTCATCAAACAATCTGCCGAGGTGTGCCAAGTAAGATAACATTATCATACGTAGCATTGTTTATATATATATATATATATATATATATATATATATATATATATATATATATATATATATATATATATATATATATATAGGATGGAATCATCTTTGTAAACAAAACGTACTACGGAAGACTTGCAATCGCATCACTCACATGCAAAATTTACTTTATACCGGTAAGTGACTTATTTCATAAAGTTTTCAGAATAATGTCCGATTTACGTTAACTCACTTTTTAAAATATCCTTGGAGTCGTATTACCAGTAAAAAGCTTGCAACATAAAAGTCTGCATAGACTGAAGATTCATTGATGTTAACTTACGCAATCGTGATTTGGAAATGGAGACCAAGTCAATTTTATTTTGAGTTTAATGCAAACGATGACGGAATTTGTCAAAATCTGAAATAAAACTGACTGTCGAAATATGGGCACACAAGGATACATAATATTGTTGATATAATTGTGCATATATATGTGAATATATTTCAACGTAGATAATGTGTCTGGCAAGTTTGAAGCGATTCTGTTCGAATATTAATAGTGAACCGAGAGAGTCGGGAGTCGGCAGTACTAGGTTTACCGCCTGCCCTCTTTGACTCCGAAAGCGAAAACAGGATTCAACAGTACGTTGAGGTACTGCATGAAAGAAATTTTTTGCTTAATAGTCATTGTCATACCAGGCATTATGTATTGTCTTGTTCATTATTCTCGATTTATATGATTTATGTTCGAGGTCAGTCCACAAAGTGATGTTGTAAGTAAGCGAGAGAGACTTAAACGCGAGGGGACCGTCCGAAATATCTGATTTTCCAGGCTTGTTGATATTTGACGTACCAGTCATCGTATAAAAATATGACCAATTAAGAATTGTTTATATCGCTTACAAATTTACCGTTGTAATGTCTTAACTATAAATTTAAAGATCGATGTCAACTCTAAGACTTAACATACAAAATGGTTTTGTAAATATTTACCGATATATATATGCAGTTACAGTTTTTTGATATGAACATAATGTAATGTTGAAAAACGTATTCCCCTGCAAATCTTAATGTTGCTTCATTTATTTACAAATTTCAGGATGAAATTTTCAGCCGTAAAGGCTATTCCGACTAGATTGTAATAAATGTTAAAAAAGTTTTTTATCCTATATAAAAAGAAATCAAACCACTTCTCGCAAAGAAATGCATGGATCTTCTTTCTTACAGAATTATAGCATGTCACTAAAAATAGAATAACTTCTGTAACGATTTTGTTTTAAATATCACGCACAGAATGCAGATATCAAAAAAGAACTGAAACACTTATCTGAAAGTGACCACGGAACCTAATATCATCGATTCTAGTTGCGAGTCAGCTATTTAAGATGATTACATTTTCGACATAACAAAATGAATTAGACAAAAATAGTTGTCTCTCTTAAAAAATTAACTTCCGTAACGGTAATTAAGGAAAGTTTTTGCATTAAAGGTATAAAGATTTTTATTATTTTGGGAGCGAAATGCTTCATACTTTTATTTAATATCCTAAAACAAACTTTTTAACTGTTGCCGAGAATTTTAACTTTATTTATCGCTGGGAATTAACTTCCGTAACGATATTTTTCCCGAAATTTTAATTTAATTAATTTCGGATTCATTCGAGACTTCATGAATCATACTTTAGCGTTCTATACTGAACATCAGATATGAAAAAAAATTGGTCAAAATCAGATTTATTTAAAAAATAATAAGACTTGTTCAAGCATTAACTTCCGTAACATTACCTTAAAATCAATGGTATATTAAAAATTGTTGTAAAAAGTTAACGATACTAGATTTGTGGACAATTCTTTTTTTTCATGTTCACTGATATGTCCTTTAGAGAATTATGATGTTCATTTTGCTATTTGAAACAATTATTTTTTTTCATGTTTTATACCCTGAATTGTAGCAGGAAAACAATTGCATAAAAGCCTGGAAAACTTCAGATATTTGGGACTATGTGAGGGGTTGCTTTGGCATATCGTATATACTCAGGGGTGATCATGTCTTTTACTCATCACCTATGGGCAAACTTGCCCACGGTTGATAAGTAAAAGACGAGATCACCCATGGGTATCTGACGATGGCTTCAGCAGGACAAATATATACAGAGTATGCTATATTGTAGTGTAACAGTGCGTCTGACCAAACGTGGATTTGACTACTAACAAGAATTTCTTGCCCAAGTCTGGCATTCCTCCAACATCAGAAGCTGTCATTTATTGTAATAAAATCAAATCAAATAAGGATGTATTTTGTATATTATTCGTCGCAATCATGTTTTCTAGCATATTTCTCAGCTAGCCAGATCTCCTTGATCGGAATTTAAAGGTTTAAGAGGGTATAGACAATTTCCATCATTTCATGTTTACCTTCAAGGTCCTAGAATGACATTTAACGGAAAACTTACTTTTGATTTTCATGGAACAAACAAATGTACTGTGAAATATATTTATTTGTACCCCAATAGGACTTTTAGAATGTTTCCATGCATTTTTATTTATTCTGTTGGTAAAATGATTTTAAGAACTTCCCAATTGGCTTATAAAAATAATACTAACTTATAAAAAGTCTTAAATACAGTGGCAGATATATGGGGGAAGGCTGTTGCCACCCCTCCCCCCTCCCAAAAAAAAATTTTGAAGAAAAAAAGAAAGGGAAAGAAAGAAGAATTTAGAATACTTAAGTTTTTGATATGTAATGAAGAAAGTCTTGATAAAACTTATCCTCTAATACTTGTTTTGTCTACTTTCATTTTGAGTCTTTGTTGTCATTCAATTAAGATTTTTACATCTCCCCCCCCCCCCCCCCAATCTTGAATACTTGGATCTGCCTCGGGACTGTGTGCCTTGCAAAAATATGTGTGTCATCAAAAGTACACATGCCGAGAATGTAAGTAGAAATTTATGGGAGGTCAAATATTTTATATCATCTATAAAAGAAGATTATAATCTATAAAAGAAAATTATTTTAAAAAAACACAGGTGTGTAAATTTTCTCAGCATATTTTAGCATGACCCCAATGTGGATGTTGGAATGCCAATTTTTATGCCCTGCCTTGAATATGGTCAGGGCATATATAATATTTGTCATGTTGGTCTTCTGCCTTTAACTCTGTCCTTTTGTCCTTCCATCACACTTGCATTTAGCTCAGTTTCAAAGAAACTATTCAAGATATTATTGCTGATTGATAATACATATTGGTGAGATTTTTTTTACCTTAACCTTTCCTTTAACCTTGAACTCACTTTTCTTAAATGTGTTTAGCTCAGTTTCAAAGAAATTCAGATTTCAGATATTTTTATCAAACTACATATGCTAATACATTTTGGTGAAAGCTATTTATAAGCATCAATGTTTTTTGACCTTGACCTTTCCTTTGAGCTTGATCTCACCTTTCTGAAATTTGTATTTAGCTCAGTTTTTAAGACACTTGCAAGAAATTTGTATCGAACATTATATGCTGATAGATATTGATTTAGTTCTGCTCATTATTTTCTAATGTGACAGGTAATGATTTAAACTAGGTTGAGATATTTTCAGTACGACCATGAAACATGACCTAAACCTTGACCTTAACCTTGAAATTGAAGAATTTTCATGACTTTCTGTCTCAGTTTATTTTAATAAGTGGACGATTTAGGATTGATCACAAGAATGATGATTTTATTCTATTGATATGATTAAATTGTACATATATATTCAAACTTGACGTGATATCTACCTGGTCTATACAAATAAGTTCCTTTAAAATACTGAGCCAAATATTTTTTTTTCCAGAGCATGAAAGAGAAACCCATATTGTTTGTGTCTCTGTTAGGTAAGACAATGGCATCTTAACTATTCTAATTAACATTTTCATATGTTCAATCACCAGTATCTGGTCTAAGTAGCTATGTTTAACTCCAGTTGCAGTCATGTTCATTCCACTGATTTTTTTTTTCAGTGGGTCTTCTCCAGTCAGTGTCAGGTTTGTGAAATTTAGATATTTTAGGTAGAAAGTAAAAATGAGAATTTGACAACTTGGAAAAAAATGTAACTTTTGAAATTTGTTATTATACCTCTACAAATTGATCTTTTAAAGGTTGTAACAAGACTGTGAACCTGACAAATGAAGCAATAGTCACAACTCTAAATGAGAGCTGTTCTTGGACAATCAAATCCCCAAACTTGACGACCATTGTCCTGAAAGTGACCACTCTTCACCTCACTGATCCCAGAGATAGTGTACTGGTTCTGAGTGAAGCAGCACTCCTAGCATCTTATACAATATTGGATAAAAGTGGTAAGAACACTCAAATAAACAAATGTAACAAATGCCACTCATAGCATCTTACAAAGTATTGAATAAAAGTGGTAAGAATATGTACTCTGTGTCCTACACAATGTTGAGTAAAATAAGTAAAATCAGAACTCATCGCATCCAACATAAGAGTGTGTATAAGTGTCAAGAACAGCACTCATAGCATCCTACACAGTAATCCTCGCATCCTACACACTACTTATAGCATCCTACACAGTATTCCTCGCATCCTACACAGCACTCCTCACATCCTACACAGCACTCCTCACATCCTACACAGTACTCATCGCATCCTACACAATGGTTGGTATAAGTGTCAAGAACAGCACTCATAGCATCCTACACAGTACTCATCACATCCTAAATACCGGTAGTACTCATCCAATCTTACACATAGTGGGAAAAAGTGGTGAGAACAACACACAAAGCATCCTTAACAGCCCTCATCACATCCTACACAGTACTCATCACATCCTACACAGTACTCATAGCATCCTACACAGCACTCCATCTTACACAGTGCTCATCACATCCTACACAGCACATATCACATCTTACACAGTACTCCTTACATCCTACACAGTACTCCTCACATCCCACACAGTACTCCTCACATCCTACACAGTACTCCTCACATCCTACACAGCACTCCTCACATCCAACACAGCACTTCTAACATCCTACACAGTACTCATCCCATCCTACATAGTACTCCTCACATCCTACACAGTACTCATCACATCCTACACAACACTTATCACATCCAACACAGTACTCCTCACATCCTACACAGCACTCCTCACATCCTACACAGCACTCCTCACATCCTACACAGCACTCCTCACATCCTACACAGTACTCATCCCATCCTACATAGTACTCCTCACATCCTACACAGTACTCATCACATCCTACACAACACTTATCACATCCTATACAGTACTCCTAGCATCCTATACAGCACTCATCACATCCTACACAGTACTCATCGCATCCTACACAGTACTCATTACATCCTACACAGTACTCCTAGCATCCTATACAGCACTCATCACATCCTACACAGTACTCATCACATCCTACACAGTACTCATCCCATCCTACACAGCACTCATCCCATCCTACACAGTAGTCATCACATCCTACACAGCACTCCTTACATCCTACACAGTACTCATCACATCCTACACAATACTCATCACATCCTACACAGCACTCATAGCATCCTACACAGCACTCCATCTTACACAGTGCTCATCACATCCTACACAGCACATATCACATCTTACACAGTACTCCTTACATCCTACACAGTACTCCTCACATCCCACACAGTACTCCTCACATCCTACACAGTACTCCTCACATCCTACACAGCACTCCTCACATCCAACACAGCACTCCTAACATCCTACACAGTACTCATCCCATCCTACATAGTACTCCTCACATCCTACACAGTACTCATCACATCCTACACAACACTTAACACATCCTACACAGTACTCCTCACATCCTACACAGCACTCCTCACATCCTACACAGCACTCCTCACATCCTACACAGTACTCCTCCCATCCTACATAGTACTCCTCACATCCTACACAGTACTCATCACATCCTACACAACACTTATCACATCCTACACAGTACTCCTAGCATCCTATACAGCACTCATCACATCCTACACAGTACTCATCGCATCCTACACAGTACTCATTACATCCTACACAGTACTCCTAGCATCTTATACAGCACTCATCACATCCTACACAGTACTCATCACATCCTACACAGTACTCATCCCATCCTACACAGCACTCATCCCATCCTACACAGTAGTCATCACATCCTACACAGCACTCCTTACATCCTACACAGTACTCATCACATCCTACACAGTACTCATCACATCCTACACAGCACTCATCCCATCCTACACAGTAGTCATCACATCCTACACAGTACTCCTTACATCCTACACAGCACTCATAGCATCCTACACAGCACTCATTGCAACCTAAACAGTACTCCTAGCATCATACTCAATAGTGGGGGTAAAAACACTCAGATAAACAAATATAACAAACAAGTGGCACTTATTATATCTTACACAATACTGGATAAAAATGGTAAGAATACACACACTGCATCCTACAGAATATTGGATAAAAGTGTTTGGAATAATTACTCACTGTGTTGTACACAACTCGTATTTATATATATAAGTGGTAAGAAAGTGGTAAGAACAGCACTCATATTTTCATTGGATAAATATGGTAAGAATACTCAAGGTATAGGATGTCTGAGTGAAAAAGCACTTATTGCATCCTGTACAGTGTTTGATAAAAGTGGTAAGAATACTCAGATAAACGTGTCAGTAGGAAATCATTGCTGAAGAAAGGAAAGAAGCAGATACTTTCACTTTGAAACTTTATAATCTACCAGAATTTGTGTTGCAGATGTTGTCATTTAGTATCAAATTTAGTCCAGAGATTTTATGATATTTCAGTTATTTGGTTTTTGTATGTTTAATTGATTAGTGAATACATGTATGGAGAATTTTAGTAACGGTTAAATATTAATCTTTCTGCTCTGTTGTTAGGAGATTTTTTGGTGAGCAGTGGGAACAGCCTTGACATAGAGACGACCTACAACCCTGAGGGTAAATCACCAAGGAATGTCACAGTGACCTTAATGCCCCAAGGTCAGTTTAATGAAAATGTGCTCATAAAGACAATTTTTATTTATGCACAACTTTTACCCCAAATGTAAATTTATGCAGCAGTTTTTAACTCACGTCGACTTAATCAAGATGAGTTTATATGCTATAACATCAGCATCGACATTAACATCGGTGTCCCCGTTAAGATTTTAGGAGTAAGTCCATTCCCAAGTAATCTAAGCCCTACCTAAACCAAACTTTTAATACCTACATTTTCCGGATGAGTGACCAGATTAAAGTTTTTGGAACAAGCCCATTCCAAAATATCTAAGAGCTCTATGGTGACCAAGCATGCATTGATGATGCACACTTACATGTTTCAAATGCTGGATCTAACTTACATTTTTCAGTTGAGTAACCAGATAAGAAGTTTTTGGAGCAACACCAATCCCTATAAAATTTAAAGCTATATGGTGACAAAACTCTGGTTGATGCATCTAAGGATATTCACTACCAGACATGCTTCAAATGCTGGATCTGACCCACATTTTTCAAATGGTGGAATAGGTTAAAGTTTTTGGAGCAAGTCCATTCTCAATAAACCTTTAGCCCTATTGTGATCAAACTTGCTTGCATGATGCATCCCTATAGGGATGCACACTACCAGACTTGCTTCGGTTGTTAGATCTGATAATTTTCAGGATGATTGAATTGTTAAAATTTTTGAAGCAGGTCCATTCCCAAGTATTGATAAGTCCAACCTAGACCAAATCCGCATGGATGATTCATCCATGATGATGCATGCACATTTACCGGTATTTACCAGAACATTCATTTGGTGCAAGACTTCGCCTTACTTCTTGATAACATTTGTCAAGATCAGCTTCTTAATTTTTGATTATCTATATGTGGTTGCTCTCCCCCAAAAAGTAGAGGAGGATTCCTTACATGTAAATTCTCATCAATGGTGTTGCAGTTTCTGTGCGAGTATTTGAAGCTGGTCCTTTACCAAGTACGTTTGTACCAAACTTGGCCTGATTTCCATGTTTTCATCTTTGTTTTTTTGTTTTTTGTTTTATGTAAATTTTTTATTGTGTAACACTTACTACAGAGAAACAAACATATTTTTTAGGGTCAAAAAATCAAAGGTCAATGTGAGATAGAATATCTCCTTACTTTCATATATTGCTAAAATATGTAAGTACAATTTATGGTAAGTGAGTAAGATGTAGTTTCAAACTATATACATTTAACTGTTCCAGAATTGTAAATGTTTGACTATGTAGTGCAGGCCACCGTATTTACTTGTAGGGAGTGGAGGAAGATTCATTGGTAGTGGGGAGGTGAAGTTAAATGCCTCGACTCTCCCCCACAATGACTCTAGTCTGGTCTACTTCCAGCTTCTGGCCTCCTCTGGACAACAAGTATGTCTGACAACAAACACATTGATCAATCATGGTGTTATAATTTATTTCACCTCAGCAGATAAATAATACAGACAATTTATTATTACATTTATCAGCTAGTACAAGTAAAATGCATGAGCAAATTTTTATGTACTTATCATATATAAATCCATAAATAGAACATTTAAAAGCATCACCAGTAACTTTCTCATATATACATGCACCTATAATAGTTTGGTATCTTCATTTTAATGCCTTAAGCAAGAAATATATAGAATATATATTTTGATAACAATAAATATAGTAGGTATGGTATTCATAAAATCCTACAGAACAAGCACTAATTACATCTACAATAGCACTAAAGCTAGAAGTAATGCTTGGCAACCATTGGTTGATTTTGTGCATAATACATTTAAAGGTTTTTACCTTTTGAAAGCACAGTACATGTTCATACACACACACACACTAACAAAATTTTTTTTTTTTTATAATTATTAGAAAGTGAAGTGAGATTTGAGAGAGACTTCATATGAATTTGATGTACAGTGGAAATGTTTGTCATAAAAAAATGTTCTTATGATAAAAATGAGCGTAAATACTATAAAAAGTTCATGAAAATCTTGCTAAGGGGATGATTAAACAGAGTGCTACTTTTAAGCATACATATACAATGTGTTGGTGGCACTTCAGTCACTCTACTGTTATTATGGGAATTGGTATCACATCACAGATGTCAAACAGAGATTATCACAGAGCCATCACCAGCACCACTTTACAATATTGAGAGCTATGAGGTTTCCTGCATTCACTGGTACCTCTTTACAATATGGAGAGCTATGAAGTTTCCTGTATTCATCAGTACGTCTTTACAATATGGAGAGCGACAAGGTGTCCAGCATTCACCGGTACCTCTTTACAATATGAAGAGCTACAAGGTATCCAGCATTCACCGGTACATCTTTACAATATGGAGAGTGACAAGGTATCCTGCTTTCACCGGTACCTCTTTACAGTATGGAGAACTACGAGGTTTCCTGCATTTCTTCCTCTGCCCCACTGATATGAAGATCCTGGATCCCCTCAGACGACTCCTCCAACATCATGTCCTCCCCAAAATGACTGCCATCACTGTCCGAGGTGTCCCCCTCCTCATTCTCCATGAAGATTCCTATGCTCTGTGATGTAACGTCAGCGAGGATTAAGATGGTCATCACTTCCTCGGAGTTGTATGTCTGGAAGATGAAGTTGATGAGAAGTTGGATGTCTGTCCATTTCCTGAGTCGGTATTCATCGTACATGTCACGAATCCACTCCACCATACCGGTGCGCACGTACCAGTGCTGCTTCAGCTGTGGACGTACGGAACCACTCAGGAGAGAGAGTCGATGTTCAAGGTCATGAAGCTTGGAATCTGAAAAATGTAAACCTTTTCTTAAAATTCTTATAATTCACTTGAGAGTATATATTGCTTTAAAGATTCAATAAGCTGAAAATGGTATAGTCTTACATTACAGGGAAGTCAACACATTGGCTTAGCTATTGGAGATATGAATAAGATTACAAATAGAGGATTGTCCATAAAGATTGTGGACAATGACGTTTTTGTCAAAATGAATGGCTCTAAATATACTTATAAGTTATTGTATACCAGAATATTTCTTATGAAAATCCAAGTCTGAATAGTTTGGTTTTTATTGTTTGTACTTTGTAAGGTTGCAGATAGTGTGCACAGCCCAGGGTTAAAATGCCACTTACTTTGAAATAAAGTTTTCTGATTAAAATGATTATTTTCTTTATACCAGGTAATACAAGTTAAAGCTTAATAAAAATTAAATGTGTCACAAATAAAATGGCTATCACCATTTTCTGATATCTTAAGTATTGTTTACTATACAGGCAGTGAAAATATTAAGAAATTACCGCAAGAAATATGTTTCAAAAACTGACAGAAAAAAAAGCGACGTCGGCCATCCAAACAGTAACCGCGTCGAATCATAAAATTATGTTTAAATATTATTGAAACAATGTCAGAGACAAAATATTTATTCAAACTACTCGAAATTATTGGAATATATTTAGTTCATTTTATTTTAGATTGGTATATTAGATTTTTCAGCTGTGTGTTCTATTTCGGAGATGCTACAAGAAATGGAAAACCACATTTATTTAATGAAAATAGGATATATCCCTCTTCATGATGTTATAAATCTAGTGCAACGTTGGACCAGGGCTGTGCAGCCTGTGTATACAACCTGTTTATATTGATGATGCTTGTAAATTATCATGTATAGTTTGAATTTTAAAAATTATATCAATTATGATCTCTACATAAATTTTATTATACACACTAAGCAGTGTGGTATAATAAAGAAAAAATAGCACATGTCCTGATAAAACTTCAAAATCCATATTTTTGGCGTTATCATGAAATTTTACATCAGACTGGGCCATGCATCTTGCATATACAAAGTATTTATACACCTATAAAATTTGTAAAGTATTGTGTATCGTTTTAATTTTTTTATATTTACTAAATCATGGTCTATATTAAAATATTTTGAGATCTGAAACTTAATGTACATTTATGCATGTATAGATATACTTTGGCATACCGGTACATGTTTTTCTAATTTGTCTGTTGAGATTTTTATAACGTGAAACATGAATGTATAAATTGCAGTCGGTGTCTCTGTTTAAATATTAAGTTGATTTGTGACTTAAATTCAGTTTGACTTTAGTTAGGAAATAAAACATGGTTAAGACCGCGGAACATTAACTGGCAAAATTGGAAATATGCAGCTTACGTCATTTTCATCAGTTACAGTCAAAACCTTTTAATGATAGACAATGAAATGGGCGGGTACAATTTGACACGGACGTCTGCGAAAACATTGGATTGAAATTGCAATTCGAAATTCATTTTCAATCCACCTCAGCTACGCTAGAACGCACGGTGTTACTGATTGGCACAGAAGACAAATAATTTGAAATATATATAAATCAGAATTTTCTATCCCATGTTTTTAAAGAAATATAAAGGGACAAATATTTGATTTCTGTTTGGTATATGTGTGTTGGGTAGTTGGGGGTTTGGAGGGGGGGGGGCTGAACGATCTTGGAAATGAATAATTAAGAACGTTTTATTTTAGTTTGGACAACCCCTTCCTGTTTTTGTTTGTCAAACATTTTTCAGGGAAGAAAAAACTAAAAAATAAAAGCTCTTGTCATCCTAGAAATTAATGTATTCTTCATGTGAAGGCATGATCTGACTCAACAATTTTTGACACCCCCCCCCCCCCCCCCCCACCTTTTCTAGAATCTAGAATCCCCTGAAAAAATAATCTCTGTATTCTAGGACTTGACGTGTCCTTAAAATTATAGGCTAAAAAACTCATATAAATATGAATTTCAAACAATATGTATTTGGGAATTGAATTTTTTTGTCTTTTGAATCATACATTCACACTTAAGGTTTGAAAACAGCTCAGATGGATTGAAATTGAATTTCAAATTTTTTTCAGTGAAGAAGAAAATAAATAATGTTTTTTTCATCCTACAAATATTTAACATATTCTTTCATGTGAGACATAACCATAAATAATCTGATTCGACAAAATTTGCCAGCCCCCCCCCCCCCCCCCCCCCAACGTCTAGAATCAAATGGTCTTCCCCTAAAAGAATATACATATAGCTATATCTTCTATAACTTTTGTTTGTCCTCAAAATAGAAAATTGTTTTACATTAATTTCAAACTATACGCATTTGGGAACTGAAATTATTTGTCGTTTCGATCATACATTATAACTTTGCGAAAAATAGCTCAGGTGGATTGAAAATGAATTTCGAATTGCAATTTCAATCCAATGTTTTCGCAGAAGTCCGTGTCAAATTGTACCCGCCCATTTCATTGTATATCATCAAGTGTTTGACTGCGACAGATGGAAATGACGTAAGCTGCATATTTCCAATTTTGCCAGTTAATGTTCCGCAGTCTTAAAATAAGTGCTTGTGAAACTAAACATCTTAAATAACGTACAACAATCACATTTTCACACTTACCGGTATATTAACTAATTTTTATTGTAAAAGCTACAAGTTTACACTTACATGTAGATGCTACTCTACCAGTTGTAGGAATGTGTAGAAAACTTGTCATCTTAGTACTAAAACTGATGACATAATATGTGAGGAATTTAAGGAATTCCCCTACTAGATGTATAGCTTACACATATGAAATCTCAACCTCTCTATTATATGATATACATTTGCCAGTGCAGACCTTAATTATTAAGAAAATTATGGGATTTGTCAATCCTTGTATATTTGTAAATAAATGTTTACTTAGAACATATTCAATTTTATAAAAAATTATTTTAAATATATGCATGTATGCAATCATATACAATTTTTAAAAAATACATTAGAAACAGGCTTTTCAGTGCATATATTGATGCAAAAAATGAGGAAATAAGTCATTAAAATCATACTATGTTTTTGAAGTATTTTTTTCTTGGATCTTTATTATAGGATATATGGTTTTATTATATGATTGAATAATTCCTATCTCTCTGATTGGCTGAGATCCAACAATGTAGAAAAAATACTATGTTATATTCACCTGCACCTGACCTTTCATGTATAATTTGGGATGGGGGTGGTTGTGGGGGAAGGGGGTTGGGTGCAAGAGAGCCTCCCCCCCCCCAAACAATTCTTTTTTTCTGAATGTAAATTTTTACTATTAATTTAGACTAAAAATATTCATTGAAATACTCCCCCCCCCCCCCCCCACTAATGGACCTTAATCCCCCACCCTAACTCTTAAAAAAAATTTGTTAAAAGAATTCTCTTTTTGTGGGGGCTAATTTAGACTAAAAATATTCATTGAAATACTCCCCCCCCCCCACTAATGGACCTTAATCCCCCACCCTAACTCTTAAACAAAATTTGTTAAAAGAATTCTCTTTTTGTGGGGGCTAATCAAAAAAAAAAATTTCAGCTGTTATTTTTTCCTAATAATGCTTCCCCTTTCAAAATCTATTCTATAAAAGAGCCTGTCATTATTTCTATTTTGTATAGCAACTAAAGTAGATTTAAAAAATTCCAATTTAATAGGACTGATAATGTTTATTTAACCCCACTTCTCTCATTAGCTCACCTCGACGAAGTCGAGATGAGCTTATGCTATACCCATGGCGTAAGCGTCAGCATCCCAGTTAAAGTTTTAGGAGCAGGTCCATTACCAAGTAACCATAAGCCCTACTTGGACCAAACTTGCATGGATGATGCATCTACCGATGGTCACTACCAGACTTGCTTCGTTTGCTGGATCTGACCTTTATTTTTCAGATGAGTGACCAGGTTAAACTTTAACCAAATTAATATGGATGGTGTATCTACTGATGGAGACTTCCAGACAAGCTTTGGATGCTGAGTCTTACTAACGTTTTCCTAATGAGTGACCAGGATAAAGTTTTTGACTAGCTCTAAAATTTTATGGCCTGTTATGATTAAACTTGCATGGATGATGAACCATAGGATGGACACTTCCAGACTTGCTCCAGATGTTTGATGTTTGAACTGACAGACATTTTTCTTGATAATTGAATAGGTTAAAGTTTTTGAACAGGTCCATTCTCAAGTAACTACATGTCCCAAACTTGCATGGATATTGATGCACTCATGCACTCACTTACTAGAAAAAAAAAAGAAGTGATATTTGCCTTAATTACTAATAGACAACATTCGTCGAGGTGAGCTTTGTAATCTTTGATTACCTATGTTTGCATTTAGCTAGGACTTCAGCAAATGTAAACAAATAAGATGGCATAAACTGCTTAAATGAGTTTCATATGATAAAACATATTTCAGTCAATACAATGATTTAGCCACCTTCAAGGTACAATATTCACTTTAGGCTCTGTGAATATTGCACTCCTCAGGTGGCTAAATCATCGTATTGACCTCAAAAACAGCAATAATTGTATATAATTAATTAATTCATAAATTTCTAGGATATTTTTGTAATACATATGTACATTGATTCTGTCCATGATAACCAAACAACCATCAAATGTCAGTAAACTTTACTATCTCTTACATGAATATGTTTCTTGTTTGTACTATTCGTGTACATCTGTTGAGTTTCTACATGCTTCTTAAGTAGTATGATAAATTATATATCTTAAAAAAAAGGGTTAGTTTGAATTCCTTGAAATTTTTTATGGATCCACTGAACCCTGTACAAACTCTCTTTGTTCATTTGTTGATTAAGTATTTTCACATTTATTTGTTATATATACACACTTGTAATTCACTATGATGCTATAACATATGGCAAAATGTTTATGAAATTCCATGTCGCTTAATATCAGCCCTAGGGATTTAGCTTGTAGGCTGATAGTATCTCTTGTTAATATAAGATGACAGGCAGATTTTTTTCATGTAATATTTCTTATCACAGATTAACTTACATTTAACAGGTTTTATGAACTTGGATGTGAAGTGTGAAAAGTTGACAGGCTTTAGTAACAATTCATCTCTTCTCAAAATTTAATTTCAGTATACATATCCTTAGTTATAAACTAAAACAACACATATGACTGACTGATGTTATTTTTAATGTATTGGGGCCTTTGCCAATATTACTGTGATTTGTGCTAGTGAAAAAATGAGTTATTTTGAAAGAAAACTTGTTTTTCATGATGATTACTTATTTTTATCCCTCTTCCAGGAAATGGTCGGTGCATGCTTATACATTAATTTGTAGTGCTGCATTACCCTTTCTGTCCACCATTCTGTCATTTCATCATAGTTAGTTTTCCAGACTTTTTTTTGGCAGATGATTTTCCCATTTTCACAAAACTTATTGGTCCTTGACTTTGAACATTTCAAATTTTTCACTTTTTTAAGGACTTTTTTTCGTTGTGCTTGTAGATAATGATATGATGTTAGGTCTGTGTCTTAATTTATATTGATGACTTAACTCAAGTTTGAGTTTCAGTTTCATTGACACATTTTCCCAAACGTTATTGCATGCCCATAAATTTTGAAAACTTATAATTTTTCATTGTTTTTGGACCTTTTTCAATAAATGTGTTGGTAATTGATCACCATTTACATGCAGCTGAAGTTTGTTGTTGTATTGAAAATTCATTCAAGAAAACAAAGGCAGCAATATGATATTTTAGTTTTTGTCTTATTTCCCTTTTCTAGTATTTTCAATTCCTTGGACTTTCAATTCCTTGGACTTTCAAATACATGTTTTTAAAAATTGCTTGTCAGCGGGGGCATTTATGTCACACTGAAACATCTAGTTTGTTATTGACCTTAGGAGTGGCATTATCTATTTATGGTTGTGTTGGGAAATTAGGCATTTTTTTTTTAATTGTTTGATAGAATAATTCCTTATTGTGATAGATATTATTAATATATGATTATAGTTTTTACAAGAACTACTCCCCAGACTGGTAATATGTAAGGTATATATATGGAAGTGGAGGTTTATTACAGAACAACCCCCCCCCCCCCCATAAATTAAGATAAGTTAATGGTAGAACCAGTAAATTTTGTTTTTGCTACAGCTTCAAATGACACAATGACAGCTGTTTTCTGACACTTTGCATTTAATTATATTGTGGTATGTCATTGGTATCATCACATGACATCATCACATATACATGCATGTATCCATGCAGGGTATCAGCACTTGAATAATGTGTGGCTCATTTAATGCTTTGTATCTATATATATTCTTGTCTATATATATAAATCACAGTTTTCAAAATATATGTACTATGATTTTTGATCCCATGTGACCTTGAAGTTTAACCTACTTTTCAAAAATTTTAACATAATTGCAAGGAGAGAATTAAGATAAAACATTCATATTTCACCTGTGCATACCTGTGACAGATCGTTTCCCAACAATATGCTATGATTTTTGACACATTGACCTTGAAGTTTGATCTAGTTTCAAAATTTTTTTAACATATTGGTGATAGCTTTTAAATGAGAGAAGTATTTGACAAATGCATTACCTGTGACAAGAAGTTTTCAAATGTGCTATGATATTTGACCTTGTGATCTTGACCTTCAAGTTTGACTTAATTTTCAAAATTTTTAGCATTGCTTCTAACTTTTGAAGGGGAGAAGATAGGGCATTCATATTTGACATATGCTTTACATTTGACAAGACAGTTTCATATGTACTGTGGTTTTTGATGTTCTGATCTTGTCCTTAAAGTTTAACTTACAGACTTTTTTTTCAATTTTTTGGACATTTTTTGAGCATTTATTTAATTAATCATGCAATGCATTATGAAAACAAGACTCTTTTCAATTTCATTTTTTTACTCCCAAAATTAAAAATAGATCTAATGTCAAGAAGCTCTGAAGAGGTATGTTGAATATTCATTATATAGATGCATGAGATTGCCCATTTGTTAAAAAGAAAATCAAAAGCACTAGACAAAATGAAAAAATTGTGTTCGTGCATGGATGGAGTCTCTTGTTTTCTTAAAAATGGTTATTTGTGAAAATATTCTTTGGTGAAATACACCAGTAAGCATTACTGTCATAACACACTCTGCATTTATTAAGATAAAAAAATCTGACAGGTAAGGGCTTACCTAACAGGTACATCTGCTGGACAGCTCTATCATGACTCATTATCTGTTGGTGAAGTTTCTCAGCAACACTCCATAACTCCTTGTTGTCCATCTCTGAGACCTTACTGTGGGCTATAACACCAGGGTCCCCTTTTCCTACTCTAGTTCCCATGCTGTCCTGCTGTTTTAGCAATTAATAACTGATTTCATTTGCTCTACATTAACCCAGCATGGGCTTTGAAGTTTGTTAATTGGGAATCTTCAGATTCTCACTTCAAACAGTACCTAAGTGATTGGTGTAACAGGTAATTGTGTATAATGAAGACACTCCACCTGCTGGGTCATAGGGCCCTGTGCTGGCCAGGTAATTAGGTCATAATTACCTGGATTAATCTTGTCACCTCTGGGAAGTGGACCACCTGCTTGGGGCCCCATTGTTTATCTACCTGTTGAGTAGGCAATTATTGAATGGCTTTATCTGTTAATCTATTTTAATTGTTAATTTTTCTGATCTTATCAGTTTTGTCTCCCAGCTGACATATTTTACAATGATAATTGAATTTTGTGAAAATAATTACAATTTTGACTTTCAATTTAATGGTAGCACATGATCTTATCAGCATGAATATTAAATTCAGCTCTATAAAATCATTACTGCATACCTTCAGGTTCACTTCCTAATTCATTAAAGTATGTAGTACTTGTGTATATAGAATTATTATTACTAACACTTGCCCATAAAAAATAATTTCTCAATTTGAAGAAATAATTTCATATAATTTGAAAACTATATGTTATCTTAAAGAATTATTAAGATGAATATCAGAAAGCAATGCTCTGAATGACAGAGGTATATTAGTATACAGTAATTCAAAGAAAAAAAGAAACTTACTTGATAAAAGGCTAGATCTTCATTTAAATATTTAATCATTCTTCACATAAGAATTCTTAATTTGCATCAGATTTTGGCTCTCTGCTTCTTTTTCATGTAATTCACAAGAAAACATATCACCGTAATATTTTAAGTTGTTCAATACTTGTTTTATTTTTGTAGGTCCAGATCTTACTAAACAATAGCAACTTTTATCCTACCACCACAATAACCTTCTATGATGGCATACAACCAGTCTCTCAGAATCTTTTATTGAAACAACGGTATGTGCTTCATCATACTTTCTGATAGGGTGTGAGGTTATTTTGAACAATGTAAAGTACAGGAGTGGCTATATAGCATTTGCATTCTTTTCTTCAAAATTCAGATTAAACTACTTACGATACAGTACCATATTTAATTAATGATTAAAGCAAGGTTTTTGTGTCACCTGCAAAGCTTAGCAGATGCATATAAGGGTCATTTGTCCTGTATCTATCTGTCCATGCATTCATCAATCCTTATAGGCATGGGAGCTATAGGAGTCAAATAGACTAACTCTTTTCAAATCATATCTTAGTGAAATTTTTATGCCCCGCCATGAATATGGACAGGGCATATAGTGTTTGTCATGTCCGTCTTCCGTCCTTCTGTCCTTCCGTCTGTCCTTCCGTCACACTTTGCGTTTAGCTCTCTTCAAAGCTCAGTTTCAAAGAAACTATCCAAGTTTTTTTTATCAAACTTCATATGCTGATAGATATTGATGAGAGCTATGCAACTGCATCAACATTTTTTGACCTTGACCTTTCATTTGACCTTGACCTCACTTTTCTTAAATTAGTGTTTAGCTCAATTTTAAAGATACCATTCAAGATAGTGTAATCAAACTTCATATGTTGATACATACTGATGTAAGCTATTCAACTGCATCAACATTTTTTGACCTTGACCTCACTTTTCTTAAATGAGTGTTTAGCTCAGTTTTAAAGATACCATTCAAGATAGTGTTATCAAACTTCATATGTTGATACATACTGATGTAAGCTATTCAACTGCATCAACATTTTTGACCTTGACCTTTCTTTTGACCTTGACATCACTTTTCTTAAATTAGTGTTTAGCTCATTTTTAAAGATACCATTCAAAATAGTGTTATCAAACTTCATATGTTGATACATACTGATGTAAGCTATTCAACTGCATCAACATTTTTTGACCTTGACCTTTCTTTTGACCTTGACGTAATTTTTCTTAAATTAGTGTTTAGCTCATTTTTAAAGATACCATTCAAGATAGTGTTATCAAACTTCATATGCTGATACATACTGATGAGAGCTATTCAACTGCATTAATATTTTTTGACCTTGACCTTTCCTTTGACCTTGACCTCACTTTTCTTAAATTAGTGTTTTAACAGGGTTCTCACACCCATTTTTGGTACTGGGGCCGGGGCCAATGGAATTGGGAAAAAGCGTTATTTTTATAAAAATTGGGAAATTTTTACCAATCATAATTTTAACTCTTTAAACAAGAAAAATCAAATAATCACAGAATAATCATAGAAACTGAAAACAAATCATCTTAATTATTCAAGGTAGATCTTAATTAGACATGTAATTGACTGTTCAGATGTTTAGAACTTTAAAATAAAATGTTTGTCTTTAGATGTCCTGAAATGCTCTAGGGCTCTGGTCAGAACTTCTTTGGATGTCCTGAAATGCTCTAGGGCAGGGATTCAGTAACCACTAATTCAGAATGAGATTTTGTTAATTGTAGAGCGGCAGCCTGTTGTTTAAACAAAGTGTCTATTTTCTTACATTTGTTAGTTGTCTTCGTAGAATCTTTTTTCTATAGTATTCACATTATGCGACATGTTTGTGAATAAACAAGTCGTACCTAAGAGAATTCGTAATTTACTATAGTCGACTTTCGCTTTCATATTAAACTGGTTCCAGCATATATACGAACTACCAGTTTACATGAATAAACAAGTCGTACCTAAGAGAATTCGTAATTTACTATAGTCGACTTTCGCTTTCATATTAAACTGGTTCCAGCATATATACGAACTACCAGTTTACAACACGGAAGTGTTTCCTTCATATCTTCACAGTGCTTTCACGACTGTCAAAAATATGCTTTCTATTTTTTTTACAGTAATAAATTTTAAGCAATCATACATTGGGAATTTTTACACTCAAATTTGGGAAAAAAGGTGCCTTTTTCACGTTGGGAACGGGGCCGAATATCGGCCCCAATTAAAGAGAATCGAGAGCCCTGGTTTAGCTCAGTTTTAAAGAAACCATTCATAATATTTTTATCAAACTTCATATGCTTATACATACTGATGTAAGCTATTCAACTGCATCAACAATTTTTGACCTTGACCTTTCTTTTGACCTTGACCTCATTTTTCTTAAATTAGTGTTTAGCTCATGTTTGGGAGTTGATTTTATCAACTCCTCATAGTCAGAGCGCCAGAGGCGCATCAATACATACAAATGACAAACAGCCGCCAAGGGGGTATCCTCGATTAAATGCAGGATGTTGTGAAAATGGGAGAAAGGTTGAAATTAGAGTTTTAACCTACAAATTGAGCAGGGTGTAAAGATTTAAAAATGCAATGTATAATCTCAGTAAACTGCAGGCCTAAATATTTATATAAGAAAATAGATTTACAGATATTGCGAATAAGAAAATAGTACATATATTCTAATTTTAAGATAGGAAACTCGCTCCTAAAATAGCTTAGATACGTCATCAGTTTGTAGGGAAAGGCTGAAGGTATCCTCGTGATTATAACAATTCATAAACACCATGCTTCGACAATATGATTCCCATAATAACGGGATTAATAATCAGACATACGTTTAAATGCATGTCAGTATACACAGAGAACACGAAATCAGATTGATATATACCCTATAATGTTTATGTACATATGCGAGAAAGACTGATTATCACAGCGGGCATTATGTGCCTCCAGTATCTCTAACGTGTAAAGTTCTAAAGCCGCAGATAAGATCTCCAAACTGCAGCAGACGTGACCTACTTGACAAAATTAATTTAGCAGCCTTTTACTTCTGTGCCTGGAATGATAATTATTGATAGTATACACAGGATTAATTTTTATTAGGTGTGTAATTGAGATGGCTTGTTTAATATTTTTATTTTTGCAGGAATATTAATGCTGTGCATGTAATTGTCTCAACAATTAGTTCACTGTTGATAGAACGGAATTTTTCGGAGTGGATCCAGAATTTTGCTAATTTGGGGCACATTGAGTATTTTTGGAGTGGAGTGGGGTGTTGAAATAGCCCATTTCCTTCTAAAACAAAACTGTGTGATTTGTATACATTTGTGAACAAAGACCAGATATGTTGCTTTGTGGTTTTATATACCTGTAATGAATTATTTCATCTCGCTGCAATCTAGTTAGATTCCAGCGAAAAGTAGAAAAAAAATAAAAAATAAAAATGATACATTTAAAAATGAATTATGCCACGCAATAAGGTTTAATTTATAAACAAACGAAATTTATTTATATGTAAATACACTGTTATGTCATATAGTGTATCTAAATACAAATACCTAATTAATTAATTAATTTTAAAAAAAGGAAGAAAAAATTAATAGTTTCAATAAATTCAGACATTAAAACCACTGTTCACTTTTTTGATCATTCAATTAACCCTATTTTAATCATTGTATGCATATGAAAGAATCTGGGGGGATAAGACGAGCCATGTGCCCATGCCCATTTTTCGGCTATGCAAGAACATTTATTGGAAAAAATCTCTCAATTGTTCGAATTTACTTAAGCATTTTAATGTTTACCGTAGTTTTCAAAATGATATTTATATTCTAAACAAGCCAAACAGTTGACTTTCATTTACTGTCACAAATGTCTAACATGGGTAAGGACTTCTATTAATTAATCTGCATATTGAGTGTTTACACTTATTGTGGAGATATTATAAAAATGTTAACATCGTATATAATGATAATGGTGATCTAGAAGCGCTTTTATTTAAAATAAATAAAAACGGGAATAAAAGTATTCAAATATCTATTATAATTTTTATCCGGCATTTTAAATAATTTACTGTAAATAAGTTCATTACTACATGTATATATTTTATTACCAGTGAAAAATATGATATTCCTATAGACATTTTTTATAAAGTAAAACAAAAAAAAAAACAACAACAACCAAAAAAAAAAAAAAAAAAAAAAAAAAAAAAATCAAAAAATCAGAGCTTGACTCGAACACTTTCCTCAATAAACATCTCTTTAAAGAGCTCCTCGCTAACCACTAGACCACGGAGTCGCACTTACATGTCTATTTAAATAGCATACAGTTCTCTATATTTAGCAAGCGTTTTCGGACTTAGAATTTTTTAAGACCACGGTGAAAATTTAAGTAAGTTAACTTAATTTTTTATGTAGAGTGGGTCTTCATACCGAATTTTTGCAAGTGTAAAAAGCAACATCTTTCCATTGCCTTTCATTAATCGTTCTCAAAAAAATGGTACGATGACCCACTCTATTTAAAAAATGTAGTTATATCATCCAATTTATGTCAGTTTCTGTGAAAATTGAGCGTTATGCCATTTTGTTGTGTTAATCAGAATCATTTTCGCTGTTACAGTATTCAGGTTTTGTCAAATTTATATGCAAATGGTAATAAGCATTACAATAATTCAACAAAAAGTGAAATTTTTGTAAAATGAATTTATTGATTTTTTATCGATCGTTATGTAGGCATATGGCTCGGCTTATCCCCCCAGTTTCTTTGGGTTAATTTTAATCCGTTTACTAAAAAAAAAAAAATAGCATCCCTGGCGGTGCAATAAACAGGATGTTATCCAAATCATTCTGTGATAAACTGAAATTTTGCAAATTAATACTTGGTGTGCATAGATATGCAACTAATTTTGTTGTAATATCTGAATTTGGTAGATTTCCCCTACACTTCGACATTGTAAGATCAAATGAAGATAAGCTATTGGTATAGACTTGAAAATCTGGTAAGTCTTTTCCACCTTTACAAGAGTGAAGATGTATATTGTGAATCCAAGTCACTATGAAAAAGGTGAAGATAACAGACAGTGATTGATCTAAAAAAAAATCTATAAAACAATACAAATCTGGAAAGAGGGCATAAATTTGAGAAGAATCTCTATCTCCGGTATACATTAATTTTCTCATCACCAATATAGATGGTATTTGTCGTGATTTAACTTTGGTCAGAGTACATCACATCACATCACATACATCACATGGCTAAATGTTGTACACCTTATTCATGAATTAATGACAACGTGACGTTGCCGATGAATATTCATTACATTTGTGATATTTTTAAAAAATAAATAAATAAATTATCAATCTTTTTATAATGAAACATAAGTAATTATTTGATCGTATCCCTCATCCTATGACAGTAATGAAGTTCAATATATAGGTAAAAAAAAAATAACAAAAAAACATGCAATTTCCCCACTGGGAGTGTTGTTCAGTTTTTCTGATTCTGTCTAAAACGGGATCTTCAGTTAAAAAAAAACAAAAACAACATCTGATTACATGTATCTTAGAAACTGAAATTGCAAGTTTGACAACTTCAAGCAAGATGAGGATGAAATCAGAAAATGACAAATATTTATAAATTTGCTTGATAAAGACCTTGTAAGCTCTTTCATCACATTTTTTCTACATGAATATCATTGTAATGCAGCTTCGCTTTAGATTTTCAAACTCGAAAGAAACTTTCAACTTTTCATCATTTTGTAAACGAAAGATTGCATTCCGATACAGGACAAAATAAAAGATAGAATCAAATGAGGCAGAAGTTATTCCGAATTGATATTTTTTAATCTATGCTTTTTTTTTCTTTTATAATGCATTGAACAAAAATTCGCCATATTGAAAACAATATGGCGCCTATGCAAATTAGCAAAACATATACCATTTCTCTATATGTAAATTCAAACATACACTTAAAAATCATTTATTCAAAGAATATATATAATTTATATATATATATATATATATATATATATATATATATATATATATATATAGGAGCGGAATCAACAACTTGGATCACATTCTGACGAAAAAAAAGTCGCTCTGGCACTTTGAAACAATTTTTGGTAAGGAAAATACCTTAAATTACTGAAAAATTTTGAGCAATGAAGAAGTCTTACACGTTTTTACATATCATTCAAAAGTTATGGTCAAATCAAAACAAGCCCTACTTTTTTGACTCCGTAGAATCGTTACATTTTTTTTAGTCTTTTGATACTCGCATACCAAATTAAGAAGCAATAATGTTGTACATAATTTAAAAAGTTGTAAACAAGGTTAAAAACATAAAATTTTATTTGAAAATATCGTTCTTAAAATCAACTCCCATCAGTACCTTCAGTACTTTGATTAAAGATACCATTCAAGATGGTGTTATTAAACTTCATATGCTGATACATACTGATGAGAACTATTCAACTGCATCAACATTTTTTTGACCTTGACCTTTCCTTTGACTTTGACCTCACTTTTCTTAAATTAGTGTCAAACTTCATATGCTGGTACATGTACATACTGATGTAAACTATTCAACTGCATCAATATTTTTTCACCTTGGCCTTTTCCTTGATCTTGACCTTACTTTTCTCAATTTTTGTTAAAATGTTGCATTACTAATATACCCTCGGCAGAGCATTCATGTCCTATGGACATATTTCTAGTTTAAAATGATACTATACATCACAGTAAGATTCAAACAAGAAAATATTTGAATGGTTTATTCAAGTTAAAAAAAAATGGAACAACTTTTCCTCATCGGTCCCCAGGCGATATACCATGTATGAGATTGCCTAAGCAATAAAAAAATGAAGTTTTTGGCATTTTTGGAAATAGTTTAAAACTTCAATTTTAAATGAAGTTTTAAACCTTGTCCTTTTAAAATATTCAATAAATATTGTATCATTGTTTATTCATTGAAGAACTGACAAAAATAATTGTCAACAAAGCCTGTGTGACTTAGTGCCGTTTCTTTCTTACTTAGCCATTCAAGATTTTTTCATGTAAACAAACCATAGAGATGTTGTTGAAGTTGAAAGATCTTGCAAAAAGAAAAAAATTAAATGCAACTGAGTTTATTAAGTCTAAAAGAACAAGACACTAACCCTAATCTCTCGGGTGGTATGCGAGGACTAACCCAAATGTCCCAGGCGGATACTAGACTAACCCTAATCAATGAATTAGTATGCTAGGACTAACCCTAATCTCTCGGATGGGTGTGAGACTAAACCTAAGCAGTCAAATACTTGTGCAAGGACAAACCCAAATCTCTCGGGTGCAAGACTATAACCGTAATCAGTCAAGTAGTGTGCAGGACTAATCCTTATCAATTGAGTGAAGTAAATCATGTGATAGTGCAATGAGCGTGCGGATCTTGTGGATCTGGGGACTGGTAAAGTATTAAAGTCTATAACCCCAAAAATTCACCACACTATTTCATATTAGAGGAAAATGTTATATTGATTTAAATATTGAATTGATATTTTTCTTCTGTATAAATTACACACTCATACATTATATATTGCACCCATAAGTATTGAAAAATCCATATAGTTTTTACTATATGTTTAGAATGGTTGAAAAACAGTGTATATTTTTATAAAAAAGTTGAGTCAGTGAATTTCTCAAGTACCACCTCTAATTATGGGTATATTTTTAGCTCACTTGAGCTAAAAGGGGTTAGTTTGGAACCACTTATAAATTTAAACTTTTCAATAATGAGCTGATTTCTGTGTTTCTTAAGCCAAATTGCTCAGATGAGAGATGTGTCCCATGGGCCTCTTATTATACCCCCCCCCCCCCCGGGACAATACAACTTTTTCTATATTGATACATATCACGATATTTGAGCCGCAATACAATATGTTGAATTGGTTAAAAAATCTTCTATTGTATTGAAATGAAGAAAAACATTTCTTCACAAATAAAAATAATTTTTTCAAAGAAGTTGTATATCTTTTGTAAAACAAAATTATTTTAAACAAGTGATGTTATTTATCATGAATTTCATAGATATATTTAATTAGCATATTTATTGTATATATTAAACCCAAAATGTTAAGTAAACAAAAAAAAACATATAAGTCAAATTGTTTTTGAAGTATTTCGATATTTCTTCATACGTATCGATATGTGTATCGCCCTCACACAGAATCGATATTATCGATATCTAGATATATCATCCCGGCCCTAGTGTATAGTGATGGGGGTGTCTGTCCTTCTGTCTGTCCGTTACACTTTGAGGTACCCATCTCTTAGTCTTATCTTCAACTCCCCTCTTATACCACTGAATAAAATTTAATGAGACTTTCACAGAATCTTTGTTATATAGTGCCATTGTGACCTCCTGTTTTACTTCTTTAGATTAGATTAGACACATATTTCGGGTTTCCAATAGCAAACCATAGATACTGCCATTCTTTCTATAATATTGAGGAGTACCCATCTCTTATCCACAACTCCTCCTATACCACTGAATAAAATTTAATGATACTTTCACAGAATCTTTATTACATAATACCACACCACTGTGACCTCCTATTTTACTTTTTGATCTGACACTTATATCGGATCTCCCATAGCAAAACATAGACTTTGCCATTATAATCATATGGGAGGCGGAGGGTATCATTTTGTGAGCTCAGTGCTCACAGTACTTCTAATTTATGCAGGATTGAATAGAGTGTCTCCAAAAAATGTAAATCTTTGATGAAGATAATGAATTGACCATGCACATCTATTTGTAGAACAACTGACCAGTTTTTCCCAGTGACCTCCAGAACAGGGTCTTTGCTGATTGTTGCTGAAAATTTCCAAAACCAGGAGTTTTTCTCTGGATTTTTTAATAGTGTGCCATCTGGTATGTAAATTATCTGATGTTGGAATGACTGAAAAGTTTAATTCATGTTTTCAGTGCATGCCTCCATCTGTTTCTGAAAAAGGATTTTAATTAGCTGACTTGACATTTTAGTAATGCATTTTTTTAAAAAAAAAAAAAAAAAAAAAAGCAGGCTCCATTCTTACATTAAAAAAAAAAAGCCTTCATTGTCATTTTATGTTAGATTAATCTATCAAGGAGTATTTACATGGTATATATATCTGTGATGGGCTCTGGCCTGTCACAGCTTATTCCATCTGTGGAATGCGACAAAGAAAACCATTTGCTTGCACATGAAGAGATCATGAGCTTCTTTATTTGCTCTGCAGGTTTTTGTAATTATTATGGCCCCCTTGCTGATTTTGAGGTCAGAAAGGTCAGGGTCAAACTATTGTAGACATAGGAAAATATTGTTCACTCAATATCTTAATAACAGTTTTGCTTTACAGACATCAAACTTGACATTCTGGTACACTGAGAACTACATGTAGCTGACCTCTTTTATGGGTCAATGGGTCAAACTACTTTTGTTGTAAGAAGATACATTATACAATCAATATCTTGAGAACCCTTTGGTTGACAGAAATGAACTTTAAATACAGGTACTCCTTAAAAAGTTGATTTATAACCCTTATCAAATTTTGAGGTCACAAGGTCAAATGGAATATATTGTCTGCTCAACATCTTGAGAACGATTTTCTTGAAAGACATCAACATTTGTACACTGGTAGCCTCTAGTAAGTAATGATATTGAGGTCTGATAGAGATCAAACTGTTATTTGTCCATGATTAGTTAATATCTATTTTTTTTTCACTATCATTACAGACAATTAAAGTTGATCCTTTTTATTATTGCCACAAGGGGGATGGGTATAAATGTTTTTTTTTTAATCTTGTTTCATGTCATTATAAACCTGTCGAAATTGTGAAAGAATTTTTCAGTACATTACTAAAAAGGTTGAGAAGGTAAATATACATATCCAAGTTTCTTAATTAAAAGGAAAGGTCATACTTTCTTTAAAGGCCTTAAACCACATTTTTACTGTAAAATAAGATTTCATACATCCTAATTAATATCAGTTTGTAGGAACAAAATTTTCTTTTTTCTCAGGATGTGATGAGATTTTAACGTCCCCTACATCTGGTTTCCAGCTACTGAGAAGAAACATAGACACACAATGTTCTTTAGTGGCAATTCCTCGAAACACAGGTAAGATAACCTTTTATGCCTACGTTACCAGCAACATAAATATCAGAGATTCGCAACTCCACCATTATCATGTTTGTTTACTAAAATATGTGACCGTCCTGGTATTACCCTAACAATTACTCTTTATTGGATTTGTATTTCTACCTAAAGTTAGATCAATATTAATTCTGTTATTTATGGGTGTGTGATTTGTAAAGTTTTATTGAGTTTTAAAAAGCAAAATTAAAGAGGTCAGTGACCGATAGTCGGCAAAATGGTGGCGATATGGCCGATCACAAGTCACCTATTGCAATTTCAGATTTGTCCTTTGTTATTGTTTTAGATAAAGAAACTTACAAAAATACAACATCCTGAATAATTTAACATAAATTAAAAATTTTTACTCTGTTATCCCTGATAATTTTAGAGTTTTATGTGATATAAATTGCACAATATTCGAAAAAAGTAAACAATAGGGAACACGAGATCACGTGAGACTTTGAACAGTTGCGAATCTGTTATTTATGTCTCTGACATAACCAATGATACAGAGTTATTTTTTGTTTGTTAGTTGTCTAACGTCCCTCTTGAGTATTTTTTACTCATATGGAGACACCACCACTTGCCGGTGGAGAGCTGCAAATTTTGACCTAAACTTGGCTCTCAGGGCCATGGAAATAAAGACTGACAAGATTATTCTTGTACCCCTCAGCCCCCCCCCCCCCCTAATTTTTTTTTAAAACATAAGGAATATTTATTCTGATAAAACATCTAGATGTAAATGACAAAAACCTAAGGGACAGATGTTCAGAGTTTTTCTTCATTGAATAAGAAAATGTCTGACAAACACTTCATTATTTTAACCTAAATTTGAGTTAACTGTATGTGTTTCATCTAAGTATGTTTTTCTTAGTAGGAATTACTGCCTTTAGAATTCAAGGACTGAACTTGTGCAAGAATGAGACAGTAACAATCTATGAGGGTCAAAGCAAATATGACAAAAGGATAGCGACCCTCACCAATCAGAGTGCCCAAGTTTCCCCACTGTTCTATGTCAGGTCTAACAAAGGGTTTAGGTAAGTATTCCACTGTTCTATACGTCAGATCTAACAAAGGATTTACGCAAGTTATTCCACTGTTATATAGGATTGTGAACATTCTATTCATTAACTTGATTTTACATGGGTCAGTTTGGGATAGTTATATTTTTTAAGTTATTTTTTTAAGTTACAATGTTAAAATCACTTTGCCTCCAAACTTCTCACACTCTTGACATTCACTCCAAATATCTGGAATTACATGTAGTAATTGATGAAGTAGTTTCAATAGATGATTAATTTATTTATAGAATGGACGTAGACTCCATTTATGCTGAATGTAGAAATGAATCTGTGGAACCTGTTACCTTGGCTGGGATGTATACTGCAGAATCAGGTCTGAGTGATCTTAAAAATCAGGACTGTATATAAAAATTAGTAATACAGCATGAAAAATGTAAACATCACAATATCAAATATTTCATCCTAGTGTAAGGAAAAATATGTGAATGACAGATAATTGAATGTTTTAGATTGTGGATGGGCCCTGACATCCTCGGATGGGATGATATCCAGTCCGGAGTATCCTAACTTCTATCCCCTCAATTCTAACTGCCGTTGGAGTCTTCCAGTTCCTGAGAATGGATCAACTTTAGTTTATATTGCCATGGATACAGCAAACTTAACTTCTGATCATTCTTTGAGTATTCAGGTTTGAAATGACTTAAAATTATGCTTATTTTTAATAACAATTGTTCTAGTTTGGTGAGTACCTTCTCTTATCTAAGTGTTGAAGGTGATTGATTGTATACTAGGATGGTACAGGCCAGGCATTGTGGGAGTTTAGTGGCAGTGTTTTACCTGTGACAGATGCAATCATCTCCTTAAATAAATCCGAGTCAGAACTGGCAAGTCTGGTGTTTGACAGCTCGTCAGCTTCAGGGCAAGGGGTCGGAAATGTTAGTACAGGATTCACTGCAAACTATATGTTACTCAGTAAGTATTTAGAATACCAGTCATTAAAGGAGTATCTGAAATTTATTGGTGTATTTTTAAAGAGATAAATTTCTTTTGACATGCGTATACATGTACATACTAGCATGTATACTTTAATTGCAAAGATTATAGTGTGTTATATTTTCATGAATTACGTATTCATTCATCATCTTGCAGAATGTGGAGGATACCTGAATTCATCCAATGGAAGTTTTGCCATTCCTGAGGGGATCCCCAAGGGGGAATCCTGTATTTGGATCATCAGTCTTCCTAAATCAGGGGTCGACAACAGCACAAATATTATCAAGTTCAGTTTATCAGTCCCCAAAATGACTTCAAACTCGAGCATGCAAGTACATCAGTTTTTTTTTGTGAAAATCAGCAAAAATTTTTGAATTGATAATAAAAAAAATAGAAACTTTTTAAATTTGTGAAAGTTATCATTGATTATTCTCAACTAAAATTCTCTAGCTAGACAGTTCTATCAACTATCAGAGATGTAATAGTCTATTTTTTTTTTAAATAGAAAAGTGTTAGATGGAGGAACATCAAAGTCTAAAGCATTTCCTTTCAACTCTAAGTCCTCCCAGAGTTATCTGAGTCGCACTAATGCATTGTGGGTGGAAATGGTAGCTCCAGCCAAGCTCACACTTTCCTACAACACACACAGTAAGACAGATAACTGGAGAATAACTTACACCTCTTCACATCAGTGATAAATTTTGACAACTTTTTTTTCATGAAATTTCATCTTGAAATTGTGGTACAGTAAGGATGGGTTTGATATAGATTCACTCATTTCCTCTAGGCTGTTCAACAAAAGACCAGTGTAGAAATGGAGTGTGTCTTCACCCGGAGTGGAGATGTGATGGCGTAGATGATTGTGGGGATATGACTGATGAACAGAATTGTTCTTCCCCTTCTCCTTCCACACAGGGATGTAAGCATCAGCAGTGTCACAAAGCTTATCCACATCCTCAAAAAGCTTATCCACATCCTCACAAAGCTAATGCTCATCATCATAAAACTTATCCACATCATCATAAAACTAATTCACATCCTCACAAAGCTTATCTACATCCTCACAAAGCTAATCCACATCCTCACAAAGCTCATCCATATCATAAAGCTAATCCACATCCTCACAAAGCTAATCCTTATCATCATAAAGCTTATCCATATCCTCACAAAGCTTATCCACATCATCACAAAGCTGATCCACATCATCATAAAGCTAATCCACATCCTCACAAAGCTAATCCACATCCTCACAAAGCTAATCCATAACATCACAAGGCCCATCCAAATTATTACAAAACTAACCAATATTGTAACAAACCTAAACCACATCATCACACTGGCTTAATATCCATAATGCCACAAAGCTAATCTATATTGTCACAGAGCTAATCCACATAATCAGGAAGGTAATCCAAATTGTTGCAAAGCTAAACCACATTGTCATAAATCTAATCCACAATATCACAAAGCTAATTCACCTCATTATAAAGCTATTCCACACCATATCAAAGCTAATCCATGTGGTCACTAAGGTTATCCACATCACCACAAAACTAATCTGTATCATTACAAAGCTAAACCTCATTGTTACAAACCTAAACCAGATCACTACTTTGGCTTATCCATATTGTCACAGAGCTAATTCACTTTGTCAGAAGCCAATTTTATAATTACAATGCTAATCTACAATAACCAATGCTAATCTAAATCACAACAAAGCTCATCATCACCATTCACAAGTTAATCCACATAATGACTTCTTGTATATGATGTTGAGGTAATGGCTATTGGTAGCTGTTTTGATTTCATATATTATGTACCTGTACAGTGATGTCTTTTGTTAGAGTACTCAAGTGCTTTGTTGTTAACATTTGAATCTGGGATCAGGAGATACCGTATAATGGGTATTTTCTGTGGTTACCTGTATTTTTGTGGAATTTTGCAGATCGATGAATTCGTAAAAATTACAATTGCAAAATATTCAAAAATATTAATTCTGAAATTTAACAAGTACATCACCATTTATTCCCAATCATGATAAGTGGTATATACATCAGTCAGTCTGATTTAATGCTTTTTCATAACTGCTTAGTGTACATGTATACATGTATTATAAAAATTATGTATATTTAGGTATGAAATAAAGTGATTTGAAAATAATTCATGTACAGATACTTGTTTAGTCCTAATGCACTGTGGAAAAAAAGTCAACATGTCATTGAACTAAAAATACATAAATCATGCAGTGTTCTGCCAAATCCTATGTATCTGGTAGTCCACTCCCATGAATAAATTTTGTGGTACTGCAACCAAAGAAAAATTAATTTGCTACCTTTTGGGGATCAAAACACAAAAATTTCCTTCCACAGAAAATACCTTTTATCTGGTATAATTATAGTTTGCAAAATTTTTGTTAGAAGATGTAGGTATAGAAATGCAAATATATGTAGGTCATTGCACCTTCATGAGCATTTGACCTGTAAGTAGAGGAATGCTTTGTTTGTAAGATTTATGTATTTGTTTCAGTGAAGACGTACATTGTGGTAATTATCGCTCTGATGTGCCTGGCCTTTGGGGTGGTTCTAACAATATTGATTCCAGCTGTGTACAAGCGGTGCCGTTACCCCAACTACCGTCACCTCCAGGACCTCATGGAGCCCTCAGTTACATAAACACCAGTAGGTGGACCTCCAAAATGGGTTGTACTGTATCTACCTACACATTCCAGCACCGAACCTAATTTTTCATATACATGTATTGTAGATACTTTATAGTCATTTTGATGCAGTTTTTCCATTCTTTTCTATTCATGTATATATATATATATAAAGCTTGGAGGTAGAAGGAAATTGCATATTCTTCAATATGTAATAATGCTCATATTATTTGTGCCATCTTAAATTCATTTTGTAAATATTTCTTGTTGAGAAGAGATTCAGCCCTGCATTGAATGACTGCAGACACCAGTATTAGGTTCCTGTTTGTGAGAAGGAAATTCAGTGGTGGAAGATCAGTTTTCAACAAACTTAAAAACAATGTATCAATGTTACAGGCAAAATGAGTTTACTATTTGTTATTTAAGTTTTTTTTTTTGTTGTATTATGATTTACAACTGAATTATGCAAGATCTGCAAGATCTAGTCATACTTTTTAAAATCTGATATATATTAAGCATTATATACAGTAGTTTTGATCTGAAATTACTTATGCATATGTCAAATGATCTGCCAAGGCATGATATTTCATTGAAGATTTTTAACTCCCTCTTAAACAGATCTTAAAATAGTTTGTACTAAGTAATAACTGCAATAAATGTTTCATGTATGTTTTGGAAAATTTACAAATGTCATCAATCAATATTTTGATGTTTATTTCATATTGGTACATATAAGTGTAAGTTCATTAATTTCTGCATAAAAATACTCAACACTTTGGAGATTACAAAAATTAATTGTGTTATTTCTAAAGAAGCACTGAGGAATAAAATACTTAGAAAGCTTGCAGAATAAAGATAATACCTGTATATATATCATAATTTTATCTTTGAAGTAGAATGTTATAGGTTTTGTATAGTGTTGCTAATTTCGTGATATTTCATAAAAAGAAAAAAAATCACTTAGCTTTTTAAGTGTTGTCAAAATACTTTTTTTTTAATTTTTGAAAGATGTACATTCAAGTTAAAGTATTTATAAGTTTGACCTTAAATGGCTTAATCATTTTTTCTTTATATGTTCTTTCTTTAGTTTAAAAGCTACAGAGATTTTTTTTTTGCTGAGGGAAGGTGGGACGGGGGACACAAAAATGAAAAATAATTAGGAACCTTTAAAAAAATTTTATGTATACAGTCAAACCTGGTTATCTCAAACTCCATGGGACCAAGAAAAAACTTAGAGATATCCGATGATTTAAGATATCGAAGGTAAAATACATAAAGTATAAGTAGTTGGGACTTCAAAATCACTTAGACATATCCATGGTATTCGAGATACCACTGTTTGAGATACCAAAGTTCAACTGTAGTTGCTTTATGCATATTTTTAAGCATTTTTTTTTTGGCTGTATAGTTTATTCATGATGGCAGGATGAAATGATGATGTTATTTCTCTAGTCATGTTTCAGTGTTAGCCAAGCTGCAATGTACAAGAGATTGAAATCAAAATATACAGTATGTTGGTTATTTTGACTTCCTAAATGATTTACGAAAGTTGAAATGTTTCAAAATACTAGTGGATATTTTTGTAAGGACTGAATATTTTTGTAAGAAAAAAAGATAAGAGAGTTAAGTTGTATAAATTTTAGAATGATATTGTTTATGAATATTGTTTTGGTTACAATTTGTTGAACAATTTTTGACAGATTTTATAAATTAAGGCATAGAAATGTTAACTTACTTGCAAAAGCATCTTCTAACAATTGATGTGGAAGCATTTGAATTCTTTTGCCCATTGTCTAATGTACATTTAGCAATTTACCGTGGAAGCATTTGAATTTTTATGCTCAGTGGAAGCATATGAATTCCTATGCAGAATGTTTCAATGTAGATTTTTTGCTCCTTTCTGGATACATGATGTATAATTTTTAAGATGACCTCTAAAGGTTTTGAGGTCAAAAGGTCAGAAATTCAAGTAATGCAGATATTGGATTCCAGATGATAATTAGTTTTCTGTAAGTTTTTGCTATGAAACTCATGAATTTCTCTAACTGTCCAAAAGCTGAAAGCTCAAGGTCGATCTTTTTTTCTTTCTATTCTGCATTTTTAGAGGTCTTCCTTTCTGTTCTTTTTACCTGAAGCAGGGGACACAAATTCCCTGAATTATCTTTTGACCATCATTTACTTGTTTTCATTAGTAATTAAGATTTTTAATTTTTTTTCCCCATTGTTCTGTTGTTAGTCTTCATATAATCTACCCCTAGGTATAAATAAATCCAGTCTATTCACTTTTGTTATCCACGCATGACTGCATCTATCTATATGTGTAAATTTATATTATCGCATAATTTTATGAATTTCAGAGTTGTTTGTATGTGATTTCAGATCGTTATCCTTTTCTGTTACTTGCAGAATGTAGATGTTCAAACTTTTTATTCATAAACAGTGCTTCAGTGTAATCTGTTCTACAAATTTTCTCTCTTTTAATTTGGTTTATTTATTTATTTTTTTAATTTTTTTTTGGCTGTTGTTGGATATTTCATTGGGGTGGTGGGTGAAAATGTTCATTAATAATTGTGTTAAAAACAGAAAAAAAAACAGAACCAGAAGTCTCTAATGAGACTGTAGCTCTACTGGTTTGTACTTATAACAAAGGAAAAGTAGTAACACTTGGACTTGAAACTTTGGAACAGCAATAAATAGAATAATGATCCTTGGTTTAGTCTCTTTTTGTGGCAAGCTTTATTGCAATCAGTCTAAAACTGTAGAGGGGGTAACCTTTTTGAGAGAATTTTACAGAAAGATCTATTTTTAGTAACCATAGAAACATCATTCATCACTTACCCAAAATAAAAAAAAAAACAATAAAGAGAATTATGTATCTCAGTGTAACCTACTTGTGTTTCAAGTTGTATTGAAATCAGACCAAAACTGTAGGAGGAGTATAGTGTTTTGAAATATTTCAGAGAATTTCTATTTTAAGTAACCACGACAACACAATTCAACTACCGGTAAATAAAAAAAAAAAAAATCGATACACAGAATTATGTATCTTAGTGTAGTTTACTTGTGTGTCAGGTCATACTGAAATCGGACCAAAACTAGGAGGAGTAGCGTTTTTAAAGTATTATATAGGATATCAGCACCGGGATATACTCTTCGCATTCCTTACACCTGACTGCTTTATTGTCACGGGTATCGGCGTGGAATGGCGACCGTGTTCGTGCTGGTTATCTTGCTTTACCTTTGTTTACATTTTATTGCAGTTACGTGTATTTACAAGTATTTGTTTGTATACTGCACTGACCTGTGCAACTGTTGTAAGTTTCTTTGGTATCTTTCTCTAATGCATTAGAATAGGTACACAGTACAGTTATATTTTGTCGCTACCGAGTGCTGTATAGCATACGTCCTTCTACACCGGTGACGATTGATTGAACAGCGACCAAGTCAGTGGCTTTATATAGGGGCCCTCAGATATAGCGAGAATCCAATCGAATATGGCGGACACACTCCTTTTACGAATCATAATCAGCTTTAATGAAAGAGATAGGCGAACAAGGCGAGTGAAATGCATTATAGTGCATCAAACATGAAGGTGAAAAATTATAAGTCTCGATTATAACAAAGTTTAACTTTTCTGCGATATTTCATCTAATATTAAAGTATACTATATGTAAAATCTCCACAATTTGCAAAATTCTCACAAAAATTGAAATTATTTGCCTATGAAATACCATACAGCACTAAAGAGGGCAAAAAGGATCATTCTCTAATACTATAATACAATTTTTCGATATGAGTGGGTCTTCTCTCCATTTTTTTTTTGAAAGTTTTGTTCTTAAATGTACATTTTTGGTTAACAAAAACATGGAGTAAAGACCCGTTCCTACATTCATATCTTTCCGAGAAAGTCCATTTAGTCAAGGGTCGTATCACAAACATGATTTAAATGCCGCCATTCATCAAGAGTTGTGTAGCGTAGTGGTTAGCGTGTTGGTCTCAAAGGAAAAATGATACTAAAGATTTTTTTTTTACCAATGCTCGAACCCCGCGAGTATCACATTATTTTTTAATGACAGAAAATTTTTTGCCGAGAAAATTTTCCTCAGAAAAGTTTTGTTTATCATAATTTCATAAATTTCAATAATGAGAACTTTACTCTAAATACTAAATTCACAAATTGAATGCGTTATATATCTGAAGCTATAGGCGCATTCTGCACGCCTTTTTCACCCATCTCCTTGGTATTTATTATTTACACAGGTAGATGAAGATTGAAGTACAGACAATTGCAAAGATATCTAAAACATTCATAACCCAGTAATAAAATCCAGACCTCAAGTGCATTTCAATTTAATAATTAAAACTTTTTTTTCATTACAGAAACTTTTACAATATCCGTGCTATATGCATTTGGTTACACAAAACATTTAGTGATAAGGAGCACTAAAAATGCGACAATTTTTAGAAAGTATTTTATCGATGTCCTTTGTGTATGGAACATGATCCTCCTTGACAGCAAAATAGCCCTAGATGTAATATAAAATAAAATAATCAGTAATATATCTACTACATGTAAAAACAGGTAACTTCATTAAAATGTTTTCTGTAATTGATTGAGTTTGTTAAATCTAAATTCAGGCCCGAAGCAACGGTTTCAAAAGGGGGGACCTCCCGGAAAAATTTGACTAGCAAATTAAAAAAATATATATAAAAAAACAAGCATTCTGAGAGAATTATTGCTTCCATACTAGGCACTTCTGGAAAATATCTAAACCCAGGTGCATTATGGCAACATGTCCTCTATCATCACTAAAAATTTCAGCGCTCTAGCTTAAGCCGTTTTGAGTTCGATCGCAGACAAGTAGGTCCTCTAAATTTTGATAAAAGGGCAATAAATGTCCCCTACCGGCAAGTGTAATCTGGTTCCCGTTAAAAATTTAGATTGCCATAATTCCGTCAAAAATCAATGAAGTGGAATGAAATGCAAACTTTATCTGTAACTCATCAAGGTAGAGACACATATCAAAAATCAGCTCAATATCTGCAAGCGTTTAGAAAAAAAATTGCGGAAAACCCAGAAAAATTGAAAAGGTCGTTATTCCGTCAAAAATCATTGAAGCAGAACGAAATGCAAACTTGATCTGTAACTCTTCAAGATACACTCACATACTAAAAATCAACTCAATATCTGCAAGCATTAAGAAAAAAAGTGCGGAAAACCAAGTGGGACAGACAGACAGAGGGACAGACAGAAGGACTGACAGACTCAGAGGAAACCTATAGTCCCCTCCGGTTTCACCGGTAGGGAACTAATAAAAAATAACTAGAAATATATCCATAGGACATGAAAGCCCCGCCGAGGGTATATTAGTAATGCAATATTTTAACACAAATTGAGAAAAGTGAGATCAAGGTCAAAGGAAAGGTCAAGGTCAAAACATGTTGATGCAGTTGAATAGTTCTCATCAGTATGTATCAGCATTTGATGTTTGATAACACTATCTTGAATGGTATCTTTAAAACTGAGCTAAACACTAATTTAAGAAAAGTGAGGTCAAGGTCAAAAGAAAGGTCAAGGTCAAAAAATGTTGATGCAGTTGAATAGCTTACATCAGTATGTATCAACATATGAAGTTTGATTACACTATCTTGAATGGTATCTTTAAAACTGAGCTAAACACTAATTTAAGAAAATATTAATGCAGTTGAATAGCTTACATCAGTATGTATCAGTATATGAAGTTTGACACTAATTTAAGAAAAGTGAGGTCAAGGTCAAAAGAAAGGTCAAGGTCAAAAAAAGTTGATGCAGTTACATAGCTCTCATCAATATCTATCAGCATATGAAGTTTGATAAAAATATCTTGGATAGTTTCTTTGAAACTGAGCTTTGAACAGAGCTAAACGCAAAGTGTGACGGAAGGACAGACGGAAGGACGGAAGACGGACATGACAAACACTATATGCCCCGGCCATATTCATGGCGGGGCATAAAAACTGTCCAAAGGGGGGGGGGCAGCTTCTCAAAAATAATCAGACAAACTAAAAAAAAAACTTAATTGTCCAAATCCTGGAATTTACCAGTGCTCGACCTTACAGCAACATAAATTGGGCAGTCAAACAGCATCTAAGTGAAAATTTACAACTGTAGATTCCTTATTTTTCGCGAGTACTTATTATTGCAAACTGGCTCTTTAATGTCAAATCGCGAGAACAATAATTTGCAAGTGGACGGTTGATCAAGGGATTTTACATTGATTTCAGCACCATAAAAATAAAAGCGAGTAATTTTATTTCGCGAGTGGTACTTCTCGTGTAATTACGCGATAATTAATCCCTCGCGTATATTTAGGAATCTACAGTATAACAAAATGCTATACTCAGAAGAAAGCCCCCCCCCCTCCTGTTCTACGTGCCTGTAAAGTCATGACCTACTTTTTTGATGTCACGTGAACCATTAGACCGTGATTTCTTCTGTTTGTTACTCAGTGGCTGAGGCATTGGGGTTAATCGATTCCTCTCTCCCTGGATGACGACATATTTTGTATTTTTTGACTAGATTTGAGAAAGAAACACTTTAGTGAGACATTCACTGAACAATTTATAAGATGCACATTTCGAGATGAGTTCTTTACTTTTTTTAAATTGACACTTGTGAGTATAACGTGTGAATTCCATATAGCACAGTTACCTGGGAACTGTCACTGGAGGAGGAATCGCTAACTGGACTGCATCCCATCAGAGAGGGGGGATCTGCCTGCTTATATCCCCCCAGACTTATTTTGTTAGAGCCGGATCTCACATGGAAATCAAAAACTTCGCTGTTTTCATCATCACTTACACAAACTGGAATGTCTCTTCTCCAGTTGAAGGTGTCATTCTGTCAAAAGAAAAAAAATTTAACTCACACATTGTCTATGGGAAACCTAGGAAACATACATGGAAGGGAAATTTCGATTTATTACTAAAAGTACATTATAGTGTTCTTTGAAATGATCAGCGTCTTCGATAGACTTGACAACTAGAGTCGGCGCCATATGCAGTGTATCTAGTTTATCAACAGCCTCTTTCACGTAGATAACTTTGTGGAGACAGTGGCCCAGAGATGGATAAAATCCTTTGGAAGGTTCCTCTGGACTGGCATCCTACTCGGACATAAATGGAAGATTACCCGTCAGATGTAGAGCTTTCATTGAATATGTTCATAATATGAAAATAATTTTGGAAAGTTTTTTTTTTACAAGAATTTACAATTTTGCTTAATCTGAAGTTCTTATTTATAAAATATTCTTCATGCTGGACGCCTACCTTTCCATGTTTTCCTCGTTCCTTCTTTGTTTTTTCCTTGCCTGGCATTTTTGTTAGATCAGAGTCTTTGAAGCTGGGAGTTTGATCTTTAAGATTCTCTAGAGAATCGTCCACATGACTCTTGTTTAGAAAATTCATCCCATTTTCTCTTTGTGTACAAATGTCAGAATCCAATGTCAACGATCTCTATTGAAAAAGTTTAAAAATTTCATTGTCAAGTAAATATACAGTATCTAGAAAAAACAAATTCTAATGAAGACATTGGTAACTTGAGATAAAAATTTATCAAAACTGAACCTTTGATGTGTTGACAGGTGCTTTCTCGGGGGTCAGAAGAAATTTGTTCACTCGATCAAGGACAGCAATGTCTTCTTTACCTTCGACGTCCCCAAGACCAGTGAGGCTAACCTGTAATATGAAAATTGCCAGGTTCAATGAAGATACTGGCGTATTATATAATTGATATGTCACATAGTTAAAAGGGGGATCTTACCTTAACAATTTCTCTCCTCCTGTTGAGTAAAAGATCCAAGTTATCATCTTCCTCCGGCTCTTCTAGTAACCTTAAGTTCAAGGGCTCTGGCTTTAAAGGTTTTGAATTTTTCTGTGTGATTAAAATGATAATTATAATTACAGCAAATTTGAAATTCAGGATATCTTGATCATATAGATAAAACAAACTTGAAGTTTATTGATATTTTAAATATAATTTTTACAAACAATGTAATGGATTTGAACATACCTTCAAAAATCGGCTTCCCATTCGATTTGATCCCTCAGATGGCATTTTATCTGTTGTGATTCATTAAGTAAATTATGACGTCGTGTTTTTATGACGTCATTTGATTTTGATCGATACTTTAAATTGTGACGTTGTACAGAATATGTTTGTAAGTTTCCAAATAAGGGTGGTTGGGAGGGGGGGGGGGGATAGTCAAAATAAGAAGACATACAAACTTCATGGATTTTCAGGCTGTATATATGAGTTGAAAATTGGTCAAAATACTTGTTTTTGTGGACTACAGATATTTTGAAGCAAATTAATAAAATGAGCAAATTTTATAGGGAGGGCAGATACAACGAATTTACCAAGCTATTATTTGAAGGGAAAAAAAAACCGAAATCCGACCTCGCTTTAAACAAAACTGACTTAAGAACTGCGAACGACAGTATTGTTCTGCAATCCATTTTCAAAAGTTAACATACATGTATTTAAATGATTTTTTTTTTATTTATATAGATATTTACACATGTACAGTACCTGGTCATAAGTGAGTCATATTATTTTTTAAACTACCGTGTATATATTTAATTGAAAAAAAGCGTTTTTCTAAAATATTACAGTGATATTTGTTGTTCATTTTAATGACCAAAACACTATAAAATGTGAAATTATTTGCAGTTTCTTCACAAAATTTCACAATAATTTTATCTATTGGCATTGTGGTGAAATTACATGTCAAATACGAAATAAAAAAAATTACAACTCTATTTTGTTAAGAGATCAAAGTAATTCTGAGGTTAGAAATTTTCATCTTGAAGATTTCATAAATTATACTCGGTGATTGGTGTATCATTTTGTTTGGCATTTTAAGACAGGAAAATCTGATGAATTCTGCATGATTCAGTAAAAAATCATGGAAATTGAGGTAAAATTGACATCACAATAAGTTTTTTTTTTTTTTTTATAATAATTGATTTTTCAATGAAACATATATTGTAAAAATGCAATTATGACTCACTTATGGCATAGTTTTAAAATGACATTTGAGGTAAACTGTTCTATACAACTTTGATCCTATCTTTAACAGACTTCCTATAATGAATCCACCATCTATTATGATCGACTAAATGAAGCAGTGATACATCTTTTTGACGGTTGACCCTCGAAAGCTTATCACCGCGAAATTCGAAGATCCGCCCGGCAATATTTTGATCGATCAAACGCATGAAAATATTCACATCGTGTAAAAAATTTAATGTGAATGTTGAAAATTACAAATATTTTATAAACTAAATTATACATGCACATAGTTTTCTTTTTCTTTTCTTTTTTTTTTTTTTTTTGGAAATATTTTATTCTGTTTGAATGAAATATGGAGATAACGAACAGTATCCAAGCTCAAATTCTATTAAAACATTACAAAATCGGGAGCAGTGAAAAAGTGAACCTCCAAAAACAGAGGTGGGATCAGGTGCCATGGAGGAGTGAGTTCATTTCCATGATCGGTAAATAACGGAAAAATCCGTCGACAATAATTGCCTAACAATTAGTATGAAAACCGTCAGTCAGCGTATGACTTAATGATAGGTTGTATTTGCTGACATTGTCGTTGTATTGACCATAGAACTCGAAATGATGACTTTAAACGAGTCTGTTGATATTCTTGTTTCATCAACTTGTTTGTCAAAACCTCGTTTTAAAAATTGTTCATAAGTAGAGCATGCTCTTGCGTATCGAATCAACTGAGAGATATATACATCCCATATGCAGGTGATAAGGGTATATTGCTGCATAAGTAATTAAGGGAAGTTGACGATTTAACATTTATCATAAAGCTTTGTTGTTAGATTACCATTATAACGTCTTTTTCTAGTAAATATGTGTCAGACTCTGTGGTATCTTTTATTTCAAGCTCACTGGGATATATCTTGTCGACTTATGAATGGAAATAACTATTGTTAATTGATAATACGTCGTCGATATATCTAAATGTCGAATTCAAGTTCGGACGCAATGACTTAATTTGATCTTGAGTCGGACAGTCAAGAAGATGGGTGAAAGCCTATAGTGTGAGAAACATGGTGAAAAATTAAATCTCAATTATATCAAAATTTTCCTTGATATTTCATCTAACATTTAAATATACTTTATGTAAAATCTCCACAATTTGTAACATAAAGCCCAAGGGCCTTAACGGTCACCTGAGTAAAATACAACAATTTAGAGGATCAATATAAACGGATAAATGAAGCTTTGTTGCCTAAAAGCAAGAAAAATAGTTTGATTAGCATCAACAAAATAATTGATCTAGTATCTAATCTGTCCCCCATTTATCACAATTTCTATGCAGACTATTAAACTGTTTATTTTTTTAACCCTATATTATTACTTTTCACATTGGCCTCTCTTGGCCTTTGAAGAACATTTAAAAAAAAGATAAGATATTCTTGTCTCAATTTTATTCATCTATTACTTCCAAGTCTACCTGATCATTAAAACTATGAAAGTACTTTTTTGTATTATACAATACATATTCTTGCATAATTCTCGTATTCTATTAATCATTCAAATACATTATTTACAGTGATTAATTATCAAAGGTGAATGGCAAAGGGGAATAACTTTGCTCAGCAGAATACACGTTAAGTGAGCCCTGGCCAGGACCAGAACACTTGACTAAATGGTCCTGGTGTTCAAAATTCTGGTAAAAATACCCTTGCATATCAAAACTTTTACTCTGTTTGCCTCAAATATGCCCAGAAGCATAGAAGATTTTCAAAGAAATGCATTTTCACTATATTATTAAATAAATAAAGCCCCATCCTTACACCAGAACATCTGACCCAGGGGCCACGAACTCACAATTCTGGAAGAAGCACCCTTGCTCATCATAACTATGTACTTAGTTACTTTATTAAATACCCAGGAGCAGAGAAGAAGTTTTTCACAGAATTAATGCATTTTCACTATATAATCAATAGAGCCCTGCCCTAACACCAGAACCCCTGACCCTTGGGCCATGAAATTCAAAATTTTGGAAGAGGCACTCTTGCTCTTCATAACTATGTACTTAGTTAGTATATTTAATCCCCAGGAACAGAGAAGAAGATTTCCAAAGAAATAATGCACTTTCACTATATGATCTATATAGCCCCACCCTAGCACCAGAACCCCTGATCCTGGGGCCATGAATTTCACAATTTTGGTAGAAGGTTCAATGCTTATTACAATCATGCCAACAGTTTGACTGCTTGATGTCCAGGAGTAAAGAAAAAGATTTTTAAATATTGCATTAATTTTGGTGGTTTTAGCCCCACCCCTCAGGCCCCAGGGTGGCAGGGACCATGAAATTCATAATTTTTGTTCCCCTTCACTCATAGATGCTATATGTCGAATTTTGTTGAAATTGGTTAAGCGATTTCAGAGAAGAAGCTAAAAATATTCAAATGTTAACGCACGACGAGGGACGAAAACGGATAGCAATAGGTCACCCGAGTGACTCAGTAGACCTAAAACTCTAACAAAGATTGAAATTATTTGCTAATGAAATATTATACACACACTGAAGAGGGCAAAAAGAGTGATTTTCTCATACTATAACACTATTTTTCGATATGAGTGGCTCTTCGCTCCATTTTTTGGAAGGTTAATCCTCAAAGTTTGCATAAAAATACACATTTTATGGTTACCAATTAAAAATATGGAGCAAAGATTCGCTACACCTTAAAAATATACTTTTATGACATAACATTCGCATCTTTTCGAGAAATTACTTGAAGTCCATTAAGTCAAGTGTCATATCACAAAATGATTTAAATGCCACTATTCATCAGGACTTGTGTAGTCTAGTGGTTAGCGTTCTAGTCTCGAAAGAAAATGATACTCAGGGTTTTTATTGCTAGGGTTCGAATCCCACGAATACCACATTATTTTTATGCCCCTGTATCGAAGATTCGGGGGTATATAGTTTTTGTCCTGTCTGTCTGTCTGTTTGTCCGCAAAAACTTTAAAATTGCCCATAACTTTTGATTAGTTGGAGCTATGGCTTTCATATTTCACATGTGTATTCCTTGTTTGGGTACCACCATATTTGACCTTGGAGTTTGACCCAGTTTTGCAAAATTTTACCCAACTTTAACCTTGGCCATAACTTTTGAACAATTGGTTCTAGGGCTTTCATACTTCATATATGTAATCCTTGTGGCAAGACCTCCCTTTGGATACCAACCACTTTGACCCTTTGACCTTGACCTTGGAGTTTGACCTACTTTTGAAAAACTTTAACCTTGGCCATAACTTTTGAATGTTTTGTGCTAGGGCTTTCATACTTCGCATATGTAATTCTTGTGACAAGACCTTCCTTTGGATACCAACCATTTTGACCCTTTGACCTTGACCTAGGAGTTTGACTTACTATTGAAAAACATTAACCTTGGTCATAACTTTTGAATAGTTGGTGCTAGGACTTTCATACTTCACATATGTAATCCTTGTGACAAGACCTTCCTTTGGATACCAACCACTTTGACCCTTTGACCTTAACTAGGAGTTTGACCTACTTTCAAAACATTTTATCCTTGGCCATAACTTTTGAATGGTTGGTGCTAGGGTTTTCATACTTCACATATGTAATTCTTGTGATAAGACCTTACTTTGGATACCAACCACTTTGAACCTTTGACCTTGATCCAGGAGATTGACCTACTTTCGAGAACTTTTACCTTGGCCATAATTTTTGAATAGTTGGTGCTAGGGCTTTCATACATCACGCATGTTATTCTTGTGACAAGACCTTAATTTGGATACCAACCACTTTGACCCTTTGACCTTGAACTTGGAGTTTGACCTACTTTTGAAAAACTTTAATCTTGGTCATACCTTTTAAACATTTTGTGCTACGGCTTTCATACTTCACATTTGCATTCCTTGGGACAAGACTTTCCTTTGGATACCAACAATTTTGGCATTGACCTTGACTTTGGAGTTTGACATACTTTTAAAAAACTTTACCTTGGCCATAACATGTGAACGTTTCGTTCTAGGGCTTTCACATTTCACAAACATGTGTATCACTTTTGACAAGACCTTCCCTTGGGCCCTATTTGACCTTGACCATGATGTTTTACTTACTTTTCAAAAACTTTAACCTTCGCCATAAATTTTGAACAGTTGGAGCTAGTGCTTTCAAATTTCACAGGTATATTCCTCGAGACAAGACCTTTCTATGATTACCAACATTTTTTATCTCTTGACCTGGAGTTTGACTTGCATTTGAGAAACCTTAACCTTCGCCATAAGCTGCCATACGGGGTCATCAGTGTTTCGCAAACACATCTTGTTTAATAAAAGAATAAATTTTGCTAAGAAAATTTTTCTCAAAAAAGTTATGTTTATCATAATTTCATAAATTTCAATAATGCGAAATTTACTGAATACTGAATTCACAAATTGAACATGATGTTTAATATCTGAAACTATAGGCTTTCTGCACGCTATGTTCGCCCATCTCATTTTAGTAATTTGTTGCTAAGTCGGACACTGTCCGAAGTTTATATGAATCTTATCACATAGATAATTGTTTGGAAAATTTTATGTAATAAGTCAAATATTTAAAACTCTTTAAGATAAATCACAAATTCAATTTTTAAATTAGTACTGAGTACTTAAAAATAAATGAAATTAATTCAAGGACAAAAAAGGAAGGAATGGGCTTAATCAATGAATGGAAGATGTATAAAGTGTTTAATATAATTCAAATTAAAAATTAAAGTGATTTTGATTAAAGTGAGTTATTGATTCTAACGAAAGGAAAATATCCCAAACCTCTCAGAGATGAAAAAACGTGATTATTTGAAATATCTTTGTTGTTTGCTTGCCCCGAGGGGAAGGGAGAGCTCCAAAGATGCTGATGTTTCATTACTGTAAATGGGAACCAAATAATCCGATAGACGAATGTACTGTAGCTGACTCTGAGTGCAGAAGAGTGACCAACAGCTTCAGAGATTTCGGTCAAACTATATAAACTACGATATCACATTGACTGCACTAAAAAGACAAGCTGTAGTCGAACTAAAAGCACGACTTGCTGCATATTATTATTATTATCAGTATTTATTTTCAAGTCTTCACAGAGCAGAAAACAGTAAATATTTCCAAGATGAGCAAGGGCAGATTATTTATTTTCTCTTTTAAAAAAGTGACAAACAAGAAAAAAGATGGGGAAACTGTCAAAACACGTTGTGGGTACCACAAGTCAAAGTCAGATTATTTATTGTCTTCCCAGTGGAGAACATATTGTTTATTTCCATTGTCTGACAGCATACCCCCCTAAAAATCAAACTAGGGGCACTTTAAAGTTTGTACGGAAAATACATAAAAGGAATAAGGGGCAAGGATGAGGGGATCTAGTCCTCTCTCCTAGATTCTGGTCTTTATTGTCCAAATTTTTTTCTAGCTACCATTTTTTCTTGCAGCACCCTCCGACCTAGCCCACTTTGAAAAACGAGGTTACGTGCCTGATAAAATTTCATACATCTTCATTGAACAAGTGCACGTCAGCATGTGTATGCAGTAAGTTCATTAGTCCCTAATTTTATGAGTGTCCGACTCAATTTCAAATGTACGAAGCCTATTAAGATCAATCAATGGAATTTTTTTAAAAAGGCAATTTGACGCCTTTCCAAAAGGCGTATTAACGCGAAAAAAAAAAGCGTTATTACGCTTTTCCAAAGGCGTTATTACGCCTTTACAAAATGCATTATTACGAAAAGGCGTAATAACACCTTTTAGAAATGCGTAATAACGCCTTTTGGAAAAGGGCGTATTAATGCCTTTTAAAAAGGCGAAATAACGCCTTTTGGAAAAAAGCAAAATTACGCCTTTTGAGAAGGCGTAATAACAACTTTTAGAAGGGCGTAATAACGCCTTTTGGAAAGGTAAAAAAAGCGCCTTTTTAAAAGGCAAATTAACGCTTTTTGAAAAGGCGTAATAACATCCTTTTAAAAGGCGTAATAACGCATTTTTTACGCGTTATTAGGCCTTTATTGGCGTTATGACGCCTTTCCACTTTGCGTTATCACATATTTTTGCGTAAAAACGGCTTTTGAAAAGGCATTATTAAGCTTTTTAAGTTTTTCATGCATAGATTGATCCTAGTAGGTTTTGTACCCTCGAGTTTAGGCAGTTGAGTTTTTTTTTTCGGGGGAGGGGGGAGGGGGAGTGTTTCTCGTTTACTTGTCAATATTTTGGAAACCTGCCCCCCCCCCCCCTCCTCTCTTGTAAAAAGGACGGGCCTGTCAGAGACATAATGTTGGCTATTCAAAAGGCGTAATAACGCCTTTTTGAAAGGCGTTATAACGCATTTGGAAAGGCGTAATAACGCATTTTGGAAAGGCATAATAACGTTATTTGGAAAGGCATAATAGCGCCTTTTGGAAAGGCATAATAACGTTATTCGGAAAGGCATAATAGCGCCTTTTGGAAAGACGTAATAATGCCTTTTAGAAAGGCGTAATAACACCTTTTGAAAAACTGTCATAACGCCTTTTTTCGCGTTAATACACCTTTTTTCGCGTTATTACGCCTTTTCAAAAGGCGTTATTGAGCCTTTCGAAAGGCGTTATAACGCGCCTTTCAATTTTTTTCTCTCCTTAGATTGATCCTAATAGGTTTTCGTAAACAACAACTACAATAACAAAGTGAAATTGCTTAAATATGTCATGCTTACCTTTACCCGGGATGGGCTGATCCGGAAGAAGGGAACCCCCCACCCCCCGCAAAAAAATCCACCTTTGACCTGTCGTTCTGGTCAGAACCCCAAAGAGTACTCAGTACTCGGTATATGTGTGTCACAGACAGGAAAGTTCAGTTTATGAATGAATATTGTCTGAAAATGGGATTGGTGTGACTTCCTCAATATGTTCAAATAGCTAGCAGGTTAGCTTTATCAAAAAGCGATAAATTTTACGACTACATTCCCTTCTTGAATATGACGTTAAGTCGCGACGCAAAGATGGTGTCCCTTTTCCCCCGTTTTTCCTTTGAAAGTTACAACCAAGTTAATTTTAGCCTGAATTATCATAACCTCGTAAGATCTATGAATTCCATAGTATATAAATTTCTGGTTTCCATCACATATTTCTGCAATTTTTTTCAGTTTCATTTTTGAAATAAAATTATGAATTATCAATTTTACGATATAAGTTTGACTTTTTTAAAATCCACCTATCATTTTTGAAATTCCTACAGCAATGTTGCATAAAATAAATATTGTAAACTGAAGTATCCCCACCCAACCCCGACTACACATGTAATCAACCGCAACTCCCACCGAAATACAATTTTGTCTTGTTAAAGGGAAAAACTTTCCTTGTTTGACATATGATACCTAAGTCGCCAAGGACTCCCTTTCCCGAAAAAAGCCTCTTTCGTCTTCCCCATTTCTTCTGTATTTGCTTGTCATTCAGACACCCCCTCCTTCCTTGACCCCGCTGTTCTGATTATAAAAACCAGCAAGTCAGACACTAGAATACTCAGTGCATGTGACACTGACGGGAAATGTGTCTCAGATACTTCAGTTCATGAATGAACATGTCTGAAATGGGATTGGATTGGTGTAGGAGAAATGTGTGACTTCCTCAATCTATAGTTAAATATGTTCACTTTAGATATCAAGTACTATATGATTCAAAAGTACACACTCAATATGTCTGCAAATCTCCTGGACTGAGAAAGCAATGTAAAATTAGTTGGTAATTTGTTGAGGAGAAAAACTCCGATAAAATAATTCCCACTTTTTCAGGCAAAGATTGCGAGCATTATATAAAACGGTTTCACTATACAACATACAAGATGAGAAACTATAAATAAAAAAAAATTAATATGATAAATACTCTACTACTGTTACATAACTTCCATAAAGATCGAAGACAAGAAAAACTCAAATCTGGATATTTAAGAAGCATATCGCTGTAAATGTTTGAAATATACGCTATTTTGGGATGCTTTCCTGGTTTGTTAGCATATCTTTATTCATCACCACGATTCTCTCAGGTTGACGATATAGAACTACCTCTTAGATTAATGCAAGGTCTCATACAGCAGTATTGCATCAACTACGGGTTTTCCAGTCATATTGGTAGGATATACACGTCGATGTGAATCAAGTTTATAAAAGTATAGTTGTAACACTGGACTCTTAATTTCCTCATCGCTCTGGAAAACACAAATATAAATTTAACGTCAAGACTTAACAACGAAAACATGGCAAACAGGCGTCTCTCTTCACAGCCCCAGCTCCGGCGCTACAGTATCTACCCGGATCGACAGGTTCACTTCAACGAGGGTCTAGAAGTGGACGATTTTACAGATCCCAGCTGGCAGCAGTAAGTTTAGACAGTAGGTAACAGACAGACAAACGGGTCAGGAACAGCAAGTCAAGTTTGGGACTGTCACTATATTCCCATAGACAGTAAGCGTAAACAATATATATACCGATATCAGACAGACGGACAGATGAACCCCATTTAAAATGCTAAGACACCCAAATAGTTATTTTTTATTCTGATATATATATATATATATATATATATATATATATATATATATATATATATATATATATATATATATATATATATATATATATATATTTTTTGCACGAGGTAAAATTTAGTTCCATATCGGTCGGACGACATATGTTCCAGCACAAGAAGTAAAAATACTGACATATCCTAAATATATACCAAAATAACTGTGACTTTTAGCTAAAGAGATTTCGTTTTATCCTCAAGTAGTTAGAGGTAACACAATGCACAAAGACTATTTTTGTATATTTAGATGCATATACACAAATATATTTCAATGTAAACTTTGTATCCCTTAAGCGGCTCCGCCCTCAACCTAGGTAAAACTTAATCTAAGCTAAGCATAAATGAATATACCCACAAATCAGTAAGGAAATTTTAGCTTTGTTATTTCAGTTTTTTTAAGGGGGATTTCTTAAGTAAGAATTTAAACTGCTATTATTGGTCTACCCTGACTGTAAAAGTTATGATTTGAAATGTCTCTAACATATATACGTGCTCGTAGATAAGTTTCACTAATTGTACTCTATATAATTGATACAAATTTGTTCTGGAAGTTCTTCTTTGGAAATATGTGGATTCCTATCTTCAATTTGGGCAAAGAAAGCTTTAACATCATTTGGCTGCAGCTGTCCTCTTGCTGATCTTGTAAAAAGGCCAGTGGCTTATTTTGGATGGTTTTTGGGTAATATATTCTGCTACTTTCTGCTTTGCTATTAACCATCCCTGGTGATTTACCCTTTTTCTTTCATCAGACGTATGGCCATGCTTGTTCTTTTGCATAAGAACAGCCTCGGCATCAGTTTTGATACAAGCTTTGCAGTCGTAAGAGCAGTCTCGGCATGAGTTTGGATACAAGCTTTATAGTCATAAGAACGGTCTCGGCATCAGTTTGGATACCAGCTTTGCAGTCATAAGAACGGTCTCGGCATGAGTTTGGATACAAGCTTTATAGTCATAAGAAAGGCCTCGGCATCAGTTTGGATACAAGCTTTGCAGTCATAGGAACGGCCTCGGCATCAGTTTGGATACGAGCTTTGCAGTCTTTCACAGCATCCCCAAGAAACAATACCTGGTATCAGATTGTAGTAATCCCTTAACTCTGTTTCAAAATTCGTCACATTTTTTCTCAATTTGTTTCCACCTCTATAACTTCCATACGTTTCAATGTTTCAATTACAAATGAACATGTACATGCACTTTGTGAGTATATTTCTAACGTTTGACGTTTCCTCCGTTAAATTTATAAGTCAGTATGTCTGATGGTAATTGTTCAGTGTTTGCTGATTTTACATTGATTATTTAAAAAAGTTTTTAAGTTACCTTCTGATACTTTTGTTGGGCTGGGGGTGGTGATGGGGGTGGCTTTTTTTTTCAAGGAAATGATTTACTTCTCTTTTCACATACAATGGTTATATAAGAAATGTGATCAAGTTTCTCAGCTTTTCCATCATCCAAACTGATATTACTTCCAATATCTCATATCCTGGGAATTTTGATAAGCATTCATTACACCATTTTATATCCTGGCCAATTTGGAGTATTTTTCAGCATAAGAAAAAAACCAGAAGTTTCTGACGAGACTGTAGCTCTACTGGTTGTACTTATAAAGGAAGATAAAAGTAGCACTTGGACTTGAAACTTTGCAACAGCAATAAATAGAATAATGATCCTTGGTTTATTTTCTTTTTGTGGCAAGATTTATTGCTCTCAGACTTAAACTGTAGAAGGAGTAGCCTTTCAAAAGAATTTTACAGAATTTCGATTTAAGTAACCATGGCAACATCATTCAACAAAAATAAAAAAATCAATAACATCAATTATGTAACTCAGTGTAGTCTACTTGTATGCCACGTTATACTGAAATCAGACAAAAAGTGTAGGAGGAGTAGCGTTTTGAAAGTATTTCAAGAAAATTCCTATTTTTGGTAACCATGGCAACATTGTTCATCTAATTCCAAAACTGGTACAGAGAATTATGTATCTTAGTGTAGTCTACTTGTGTGCTAAATTATACACATGTACTAAAATCAGACCAAAGGTGTAGGAGGAGTAGCATTTTGAAGGTATTTCAAATAAATTTCTGTTTTTAGTAACCATGGGCAACACCGTTCATGGAAATCAAAAATCGATTCAAAGAATTATGTATCTTAGTGTAGTTTACCTGTTTGCCAAGTTAAACTGAAATCGGATTAAAACTGTAGGAGGAGTAGCATTTTGAAAGTATTTCACAGAAATTTCTATTTTTAGTAACCATGTCAACACCGTTCATTGAAACCAAAAACCGATACACAGAATTAGGTATCTTAGTGTAGTCTACTTATGTGCCAAGTTATATTGATATCAGACCAAAACTCTAGGAGGAGTAGCGTTTTGAAAAATTGTTTACAGACGGACAGACAGACGGACGGACACCTTACTATCGCATAAGCTCTTCTGGTCTCTGACCAGTAGAGCTAAAAATAAAGACCCATTCCCTACAATTTACGGGTGATCACATACCCGGTTATATATTTTATATTACATTAAATCAAAGAGTAGTTTATCCGATATTGCAGTTACTACCAAGTCACAATGTATCCTACCATTTACTTAACATTCTGTTTCTAGGTCAGAAGATAGCCTGAACAGTCCTACATACTCCTACACAGACTTCAGTATTAGTCCCGAACCATACCAGAGAAAGTATTCCACAGCCCTCAAAGTACTGAAGCCATTCCGACCCCGGTCCAAGTAAGTTACTGAAAAAAATTTCAAAATTAGCTGAATGTTTTATAAATTATAAGTAGATTCTGTTTGTTTGTTCAGCATGACATTTAAGGCAAAAATAAGTAAAAATAATGAATTCTTAGATTGCTTAGATTTCTGTCAATTTACTCTGAATTTAAAGAAAACCAAAGTGTAGCCTTCTGCCATTACAATTTTAAGCACTTACTAGTATATCAATCCGTATTTTAAATAATGCTTTTTGTGGGTCCACAACATACCCAATGTAAATTCAACAATTTCACTTTCTTAACGATATCACCGTCTTTTGATACAGAGATGGTAAAATACCCGTAAATAAAGCGGGATTTTTCTCCTATGTATTTATGACATGGATCTCGCCACTGATCTGGAAGATCTTCCGTCATCGGCAAGAGGCGCTGAAGGAAGAGGACATCTGGGCATGCTCGACTCTGGAGAACGCTAACCTTAATACAGAGAGGTCTGTACTAATATATGTTCAGTGCTTGACAGAATGGAGGTGTAATACTAGAACATTTAGATTAGGCGTTAATTTTAATGCAAGGTAACTCTGGTAATTAGTCCCCTACCGGTGAAACCAGAGGGGACTATAGGTTTCCTTTGAGTCTGTCCGTCCGTCTGTCTGTCTGTCTGTCCCTCTGTCTGTCTGTCAGTCTGTCCCACTTGGTTTTCCGCACTTTTTCCTTAAACGCTTGCAGATATTGAGCTGATTTTTGGTATGTCAGTGTATCTTGATGAGTTACAGATCAAGTTTGCATTTCGTTCCGCTTCATTGATTTTTGACGGAATTACGGCCTTTTCAATTTTTAAGGGTTTTCCGCAATTTTCTTCTAAACGCTTGTAGATATTGAGCTGATTTTTGGTATGTGGCTTTACCTTGATTAGTTATAGATCAAGTTTGCATTTCGTCCCACTTCATTAATTTTTGACGGAATTATGGCATTTAAAATTCTTAACGGGAACCAGTTTAAACTTGCCGGTAGGGGACTATTATTGCTAATGCAATACTCTCAGAATGCTTGTTTATCTAGTATTTGCTTAACTGTATAGGTATACCCAAATGTTTGATCAATTTGTATGTCTGCCTTTCTGCCACAAAATCTAATTCTGATGTTGATTCATGAGCCATTGATTTCAATAGTTTTAATCTTGATACGTAATAGTCCATGACCTGTAGGTCATAATTTTGATTCAAAGTCAAGATCACTGAAGAATGAGACAGACATGGTATGTAGGATATAACTCTGTAGCCCTTCATTGGAAAAGAAATCAAAATTTAAAGTATATTGTTGCTGATGACCTACAGGTGTGACCAGAATTTAAATCAAAGTCAATTCTTAAAGTCCAAGCTCAATGGGACATGAACTATTGACATGTCCAGGTCATAACTCTGTGACCTTTAATTAGATTCACTTCAAAAGTGAGTAATTTGTTGTTAATGTCTGAAAGTTGCTCAGTAACTTGACACAGTGTCATACATCAGAAGTATTAGTCACTGGGAAATGAAGTAGTGAAATTACATATATATCTGATCCATAATTTTTTAATCCTTGAATGAAACAAAATCAAAGTTGAGTATTTAGGGGCTAAGTCTTGCAAACAAATCAGTTCAAAATAGAAACTGAGAAATACTTGTCTTATAACTCCAGACTCACTAGAATATGGAAGGAAGAGGTAGAGAAAAGAGGTCCGGAGAAAGCTTCATTTTTAAGAGTTTGGCTGAAGTTTGCCTGGACTCGCATCATGGTCACTTTAGTCATAATTGCCTTAAATGCTGTCTCAACCTTTCTGGAATCGGTACGATATTTTATGAAACACGTATTTTAATTATGTTATCGTAAGTAACTGTCAACATATGCTACCTCTTACACTTCCTTACTTACAGGGATATTTGCTGAATCTTATCGTCCAATATTTAGAGTCCGAGGAGACGGACCTCTGGTATGGGGTAGGATTGGTAGCTAGTATGGCTGCTTGTCAAATCATCAGGGCGACGTCGTTTTGTGTTATTATCATATTTGGTGTCCAAACAGGTAACTGAATTTAAAATTGAATTGTTTCTCTTTGCGCGGCAATTTTAAAAATCAATGTAAATATAATAGACATTGAATATGAATACTGATCGTCTGTTTCATGTTATTTTTATAGGTGTGCGTTTCAGAGCTGGTTTGCTGGGATTAGCTTTTGATAAAATGTTGAGGTTGAAATCTGTACGAGGCAAGCAACTATCCGAGGTAAAGCATCTCAAGTCTTTTTAAGAAAGTGGGGGAGCTAGGGATGTCTGATTGAGGTATTGAAATATTTCCACTTTTGTCTACAGCTGATCACTATTTTTGGTGCTGATGCTTACCGCGTATTCCTTAACAACGTGACCTTTGCATACTTGTTGGCTCTACCTATATATGTAGTCATAGGCGCCATCTACACATATTACTTGTTGGGACCCTGGAGTTTCACTGCCATGGGAATATTTATCTTCTGTTATGTTGTTCAGGTTAGGGTTTTACGTTATCTTCTCAATTTCAAATGATTTTACACACTTGATTCTTCTGTGTTTTCTTTATTTTATATCCATTTCATAGGCTAGACTGACCACAGTTGTTGCAAAATTGCGAGCGAAAACTTTAAAGTTTACGGACAAGAGGGTAAGTAGAAAATAAGAAATTGGAATTCTATTCAAATCAGTTTGAATGGCAATATCATATCTTATTTTCATTTCATTTAGGTTCGAAAAATGACGGAGTTGATCAACAGTATGAAACTGATAAAAATGTATGCATGGGAAAAGCCATTTAAAGCGGCCATTCAAGGTATTTTTATTTCCATCTCCTTCAAATGTGCCACTGTCCATAACGAAATGGCCATTCTTATTTTAAATTATTTAGAAATACGAAAAAGGGAAAAGAAGTACCTATTTCTGTCCTCCATTTTGAATTCTATCAGCACAGCAGTGATCCCAGTCACTCCGACGCTTGCTTCTGTTGCCACCATTGCTTCTTACAGAGCCGCAGGAAATGAACTTTCTGCTTCAACGGTATCTTTCAAAGATATAAAAAAAAATGTCTGTTTTACATGTCATTGCACTAATTTTATCGTTGTGTAAAAAATACATGCTAAGTATTTCTTTAAAAGAAGGAAAAACTTGTATATTTCCATCTAAATTATCAAACAAAATATTTTCAGGCTTTTTCTGTTGTTGGAACCCTGAGCTTTTTACGCGTGATTGTGGCTTTTATACCTTTTGCTACAAGGACACTTGGAGAATCTAAAGTCAGCTTTGCAAGGATGAAGGTTGGAAAAAGAATAATAAAATAAAAGAAATAGTACTGTGAATCCTGTCTAATCCGATATGCAATAGGACACAAAGTTTTTGTTGTCACAATAGAAAGGATGTCGGATTGCACAGTGAAAAATCCACTCTCTACCATCGGCTCATACATTCACCTCTGTCGTTGACTCGCGTATATCACAGTGATAAGCACGAAAAATAGTGCGTTTGTTTTAATTCATTATAATTAAATTCCTGCAATAATGTTTGTCTTTTAAGGTAGATATTTACTAAGTAGATCTAGAAATATTAGTTTAATTTGAAATGATCCTAGGAATATAATGTTTTTAACCTTATGTCAAAAATCTTGACGCTAGCCCATTGCAGAGGTGTCTGAGAGAGGAACGAACGACAACTCTGCATAGGAGATTGTGTAAAAACAGAAAACAGTAAATTGGGGATTTAACAAAGAATTCAATGAAACAGATTATACAGGTGTTGGATTAGACAGTTTTTATTTTATGTAGTAGTGTAAAATGTTAATGGTTGAGGATTTTATCAACTGATATTTGCTCCTTTTTAGCGCCATTTAAATGCAGAAGAGTACCAGGCACCCTCCGACAAATGCACAGATCCGTCTTTAGCTGTAGAAATTACAGACGCTACCTTCATATGGGATTCAACAGACACAAATGACGATGGCAAAAAGAAAACCAAGAAACAAAAGAAAGGTAAACGCAGGATTTGCTCTCAATGATTGAAATAGTGGTGAAATAGCTATCAGAGCGAAAATAATTTGCATATACATTGTACCCCTAATTGGAATATTTTGTTATGCAGAAAAAACACCTACAGCGAACCCACGCAGAGAAACTATCCATATACAGAATATGACTTTTAAAAGCATAAAGGTAAACAAATATTTCCTTTATGTACATATTACCGTATATCCGTTTTTTTCGCGATGATCTAATTTTCGCATTTTTTGCGATCATTTTTAATTCTCAAAAAATAAAACACGCAGAAATTATATCGAATATTGTGTGCCATAAAAACGTTACCTTTTTTTAATTTGTTTTTTTAAATGGCAAAAAATAACTTACGCAAAATAAAAACTGTACAAATCTACCCTTTTTTCGCAAAATTTGCAACACGCGAAAAAAACCGGATATACGGTAGTTGTTTTAGTTTGAAATTATCATGAATGTTTCTGGAAAGATTAGATAGATTTCCGCTTGCTTCAGGGCCAGTTAATTGGAATCTGTGGACCAGTGGGGTGTGGTAAATCTGCCTTTATTTCATCAATTATGGGAAGAGTGAGTATATTTTGGACAAAGGAGCAATGAAAAACCATTTGTTTGATTTTATCCGATTTTTAAAAAATCGCGTTCGGTATCAGATGAATTTCTTTGTCTCCGTATTTGCCTCAGTCGAGTATTCTTGACAATGACTCATCCATTTGTTAAAGAAAGTAATGCTACCATACTATGAATGTTTCCTTGTATAATTGCTTCAGCCTTCCCATCTTCTACATCTACTCTTGTCCTAACTTTAGATTCTTGTCCTAACTTTAGATTCTTGTCCTAACTTTAGATATCTATGGTCTCTGGACATCTAGCTGTCAATGGATCCGTTGCATACGCTGCTCAACAAGCCTGGATATTCAATGGTACCCTGCGAGATAACATACTGTTTGGAAAACCCTACGATCAAGAGAGGTGAGGAACAAAACTTCGGCTCTTTTGAATTGTAAAAAGTAAAATTGATCATCTGTATTTCCTGATTTTCATGTAAATATGTATGTTTGTTAGGTACCAAAATGTTTTATTTGTCTGTGGACTTCAACCAGACCTTCTGCTACTGCCAAATGGCGACGAAACAGAGGTATTGCTTTTATTTTTTAGTAATGTAACTGTTGAATTTCTGGTTATCATTATATAGCTAGTTGACGGAAATGTTTGGAATTAATAACTAGTATAGAAGTCAAGTACATTGATTTGAAATACCCTCTAAATATGAATAAAAAGGTTCTCACTTTTTGGTTTCTAACTCCAATACTGTTCTACAAGATGATTCTGATGTTCTTGTGATCTATGGACTTCCATTAATTTGTAAGGATTTGTCTTTTGTTATAATTACGTAGATAGGAGATAGAGGCACAAACCTCAGTGGAGGACAAAAACAGAGAGTTAGTCTTGCGCGCGCAGTCTACAGTGACAGCGACATCTACCTTCTTGATGATGTCTTGTCGGCTGTTGATGTACATGTGGGACGTCACCTTTTTCACAATTGTATCAAGAAATTTTTAAGCGGAAAAACTGTCATCTTTACAACACATCAGCTTCAAGTGAGTCTGACATAATGAATAAAAATTAATAACAGCTACACAAACCAAGCAGTTACTCTTTAGCTGTACAGTGGTTTTCATTACAATATTATCTTACCAGTATCTGAAACACTGCGACGAAATCTTGGTCATGCAGAATGGTGTGTTTGTGGAGCGAGGGAAACACGACTCCCTCATATCTTCTGCTGGATATTATGATTCAATGATGAAGCAATTCCACCAAGTAACAGATAACCCCTCACGAGCAGCCTGTAAGAATGGTTTTCATATACATTTAATACATTGCTATTTAATATGTTACTGTAATGCACATCACTGCTAGGAAAACATTGACGTAGAAGTGTAAATACATATACACCATCTCCATTTCTTAGTTAACGAATGGGAACATTAAAATCAACGTAAATTCTCCATTGCTGACATATAATAATAAGGAAACAAGGCGCATTAATAGGGATGATAAAGTTGGCTTGAACTCTATCAGGAAATCTTTTGCAAGGACAAGATAGGCTAAGACCCCTCTTTGGCTCCTAATGTTGGGTGTTTTTTCTAGAACGATACGATAGGTCATAATCAAAAACCCGTTGTCATACCTTTTATTTTAAGTGATAGGAAATAGAGGTCATAAAATATACGGGTTTCCGAATTTTCACAGTTTTATTCAAATTTCCATCAATTTTATTAAGGCACATTTTGTTTTAGAAAACAAAATTATATCTTTATATGCCATGTCTTAAATGCTAGTATATTGAAGAGTTGAAATGAATTCAAGATATTTCATAATAAACTTGAAAAATCCTTTTTTAAGCTGACAGCATCAAACAACAAGATAAAGATGATGAGGATCAAGGATCTACACCACAGAAAAAAGTAGAGAATGGTGTACAAAATGGAACTAGTGACAAGAAACCGGAAGTAGGAAAGCTCCACAAAGACACGTCAAACAAAGGTTTCATTTGCACACATGATATTAAATTTGTTATGCCTATTGTCATTCTTAAAGAAACTATGTGTTTGTCAATGAAGGCCACTTTTAAAAAATTGTTTGTTTGCCCTCTCCCGACCGACTGACAAAAATGGCCCTTTTATTACGTCCAGGAAATTAATATTTATTTTATTCAATTCATTCAGAAGTTTACTCATCCCATTTTTAACTATTTTAACTTCAAATTTACAAATGTTTTTGAGTAAAAATAATTCCCCCTACCTACCTACCAAACTTTTTATACTGAGTCGGGAGAGGGCAAGCAAACATATTTTCAAAGATGGCCTGAAATGAAAGTGTTTTTTTAATACAGAATTTCTAATTATTTTCTTATTGTTCTAAAGGAAAGTTGACACAGACAGAGGAAATGCAGGTAGGAGACATAACATGGGGAACATACTACTCCTACATCAGCGCCATGGGAGGGATTTGTGTGGCCATGTTTGTTGTCTCCTGGAGTACTCTCACTTCCGCTTCCGTAGTGTTCAGTGATTGGTGGCTAAGTATATGGATCAACACATTCTTTGTACGTCTCACTTTGCCTATTTTTCAATGAGATGTTGTCATCATATAAATAGGTATATTAAATCATGCAAGTTTGAATATATTTCAGACAAGCAGTGGCATTGATTCTTCGAACTCAACCACAGTCCAGAATGTCTCTTTGCAATTAAATTATACGGACCAGAAAATTACCAGTGAAAATCCAATTTTCAATACTACTATATCGGACGTTTCCGACTCGTCTTCGGGACTGGATTTTTATCTGACAGTATACGTATCATCCATGGGGCTTATCATCCTGATGATGATTGCTAAGGGGTTTATTGGAGCCACGGTAATTTTTGGCATATATCCAACAAATCTAAGCTGCTCCCAAGAATTCTTTTTTATACTAGACCCCACTCCAAGAATTCTGTTTTCACTTTTTATAACAATTAAAAAGGAACAAATTAGAATTAAAGTAATCCCAATATATGCTGTTAACGAACCTGCTGGATTCTTTTTTTCAGTATTATGTTCGAGCAGCTTGTAGACTGCATGACAAAGTTTTGACAAATGTGATGAAAGCTCCAATGCGATTCTTTGATGCAAATCCACCGGGAAGAATTCTGAATCGCTTCTCAAAGGACTTGGACGAAGGTATTTTTCTACACACAGTCGTCCAATGTCAATTAAGGAACTATAAAAAAAGCAAGAGGCCCAAGGGCCTTAGCTGTCACTTGAGTATAATACAATACTGTAAAAAAAATCCATAGAAGTATGAAGTAAAACAAACTGAAAAATAAAGATATGTTGTCCCTCCAAGAAACCCTCTCCCAGGGTCCACAAATTTTACAATTTTGGAAAAGGCACCCTAGTTCACCCTTGTATCCACAAAAGATATTTTAAAAATCATGCAATTTTCACTATTTAATCAATAGTGCCCCGCCCTAAAGCTAGAAATCCCTGACCCAGGGGGTATGAAATTCACAGTTTTAAAAGAGGCACTTTTGCTCATCATAACCAATGCACTAAGTTTATATGATAAATATACAGGGAAGAGGAGAAGATTTTTATAAAGAATTTATGCATTTTCCTTGTATAATTATTAGAGACCTGCCCTAACTCAGGAACCTTGATCCTGAGGCCATGAATTTCAAAGTTTTGGTAGAGGACTCAAAGCTAATTACATTCATGACAACAATTCAACTTCTTGATGTCCAGGAGTTAAGGATTTCCTTTAATTTTGATGGTTTTAGTCCCACGCCTCAGGTCCCAGGGGAACAGGGACCATGAAATTTACATTTCTCTTCCTCGTTACTTATAGACGCTATTTGCTAATATTTGTTGAAATTGGTTCAGTAGTTCTAGAGAAAAAGCTGACAATGTTCAAGTGTTAAAGGACCACGAACGACGACGGACGAAAACATAGCAATAAGTCATCTGAGTGACTCACGGTGCTCAAACGTTGTGGTTTAATGGAATCATTAAAATATAGGCTATTACGAGGTAAAGTTATACGATAAGGTGCTAGATAAATCTATCAATGACCATGAATATCTTCTTATTTTTCTCATTAACAAACTATTCGTTTTAGCTGACGTTTTCTTGCCACAGCTTCAGGACACATTATTCCAAGTCTCTACATCCATTGTGGTCTCTCTGGTCTCCGCTGTTGTTATTATGCCTTGGATCGGTATTGCGATTGTACCAGTAGCTATTTTCTTTTACATCTTCAAAATCGTTTCTTCTGTCTCAGTCCGTCAATTCAAACGTTTTGAAAACATAACCCGGTCGCCATTACTTAGTCACGTGAACACTTCAGCACAAGGTTTGAGCACCATCGTCTCCTTCCAACAACAAACAAATTGCATACAAAGGTATGTAGAGACTACTACATGTCGGTATTCTTCTACATCGTATCCATATTCTGGACATAAAAATAAAAGTTTATTTATTAATGAATCCAATTTCAGTATCCGAACTTTCACTGATGTCTCTACCGTGGCCACATTTTTAATGGATTCTGCGATGCGCTGGATTGGGTTGCGACTAGATCTCGCAGCATCGTGCATCACTCTTACCACAGCTTTATCGCTGATTCTCACCAAGGCATCCACTGACGCTGCACAGGCCGCCCTCGCACTAACACAATGTATTAAGGTACGATTATTTTCATGACCAAATATCATTATTCTCTTGCCATTAATGTTGACACCTTACCTTGTTTCAGAGTACTGTAGCATTTAGAACCTGCTGATCTATGGTCGGCATGCCCATGATATGTATGGGACATTTAATGATTTTCAGACTAAAGGTGAAAGTTCGTGTGTAGCTTGCCCATAATACGAAGAGAGTCTTTCTTTATGGTGTTTGTACACTTGGTTTTCTTCTATACTCGCAGCAGAATTTCTTCTAACCATATCTCAAGAATCCTGTGTCATATTTGTTCACAGGTTGTATCAGTTATGCAGTTCATGATTAGAGTTCTAAACGAGGTAGAAGCCAGATTTACATCAATTGAACGTCTTCACCAATATGAGGTGGTGTACATACATGTATATTTTCACGTAAATTCCTTCTTTTACTTCGTTTTAATCCCAATAAAGAATGTTTTAGATTTCTATGAAAAAAGTTGCATTTTATTATTCTACACCATAGAAGTTGGAATCGGAGAGTCAGACATTTACAGACACACCTGCCGAAACTTGGCCTAACGAGGGACGGATTATTTTCTCTAACGTTCAGATGAAATATCGCGATGACATGGACCCAGTTCTTAATGAAATTAGGTTCGATATTCATCCGCGTCAGAAAGTTGGAATTGTTGGTCGCACAGGAGCAGGTACAATTGTTTGCTTTCTGGTCAAAGTAATTAATGTGACCTTTAATGAAAATGTTTATGAGACCCAGTTCTTAATGAAATTAGGTTCGATATTCATCCGCGTCAGAAAGTTGGAATTGTTGGTCGCACAGGAGCAGGTACAATTGTTTGCTTTCTGGTCAAAGTAATTAATGTGACCTTTAATGAAAATGTTTATGATACATAAAGTCTCTTTGGTATGTTGTTTTAGGCAAATCATCGTTAGCAGCTGCATTATTTCGCTTAAACGAATTGTCCCGTGGTCACATATACATAGATGGTGTAGACATTGCCAATGTCTCTCTACATCTTCTTCGCTCCAAGCTTTCTACCATACCACAGGACCCGGTCCTATTCGCTGGTACCATGCGGTATGTAAATATAAATATAGAATAAAAATTGCTTATCCATTTTTAACTCTACTGGTCAGATACCAGAAGAGCTTATACGATAGTAAGGTGTCCGTCGTCTGTCCGTCTGTTTTCAAAATGCTACTCCTCCTACAATTTTGGTCTGATTTCAGTATAAATTGGCACACAGACACTTTAAGATACATAATTCTATTTAGTATTTATCAGTTTTTGATTTTGATGAATGGTGTTGTCATGGTTACTTAAAATAGAAATTTCTGTGAAATACTTTAAATTGCTACTCTTCCTACACTTTTGGTCTGATTTCAATATAACTTGGCACACAAGTAGACTACACCAGGATACATAATCCTTGTATCGTTTTTTTATTTGGAGACTAAACCAAGGATCATTATTCCATTTATTGTTGTTGCATAGTTTTAAGGCCAAGTGCTACTTTTCTCTTACTTTGTTATAAGTACAAACCAGTAGAGCTACAGTCTCATCAGAGACTTCTGGTTTTCCATTATGTTTACTCCCACGTGTTGAATTCATCAAAAATCAGTGGGTTTTTTTTCAGATATAATTTAGATCCCTTCGGCCAATACACCGATGAAGTTATGTGGGCGGCTTTGGAGGATGTCCATATGAAAGACAAGGTTTGTGTTTTCGCAGTTAAGGCTTTAAATATACAAAAATATTAGGAAAATAAAACTGTTTAACTCTGTAAATGTTTCTTTGATTTAGGTTAAACAATTTGATAACGAGTTGGATTATATGATAGAAGAAAACGGAGAGAATTTTTCAGTAGGAGAACGTCAGTTGATATGTTTAGCAAGGGCTATCTTACGGAGGAACAAGGTAAGAATTTGGACAGACAACGGACTTCAATGATGTTTAAACAGAAGGACATTTATAAAAAAAAAATACATATATGCCTTGTAGATTCTGCTCTTGGATGAGGCCACAGCGTCCATAGATACGGCAACAGACGCAAAAATCCAGCAGACGATAAGAGAGAGTTTCGCAGACTGCACGGTCCTCACCATCGCTCACCGCCTCAACACGGTCCTCCATTGTGATCTCATCATTATCATGGACGCCGGAAGGGTGAGTCATCACATCAGCACCTGGTTTCATATAAATAACCACGCATCTATACATGAAGACTACTTAGTTGTTCTATGCCGCTACTTTGATCAAATTTGTTCAACAAATTATCATTTCCTTTAAAAACTTATCCTTTAACAAATTCTACATTAAAATGCCAAAGATAAGTACACGGATCTCTCGATTTACTGGATAACTATCTTCTTCAACTTAATAACGTCAAATATATTTATATAAAGTGCCGTTGAAATGGAACACTACATTAACACAAACTCAAATAATTGAAGATTTATTTAATTATTTGAAATCATTAATATTTATTTATTTTATTAGGCCATTATTAGTCCCCTACCGGTGAAACCGGAGGGGACTATAGGTTTCCTCTGAGTCTGTCCGTCCGTCTGTCTGTCTGTCTGTCCGTCTCTCCATCTGTCTGTCTGTTTGTCCCTCTGTCAGTCTGTCCCACTTGGTTTTCCGCACTTTTTTCTTAAGCACTTGCAGATATTGAGCTGATTTTTGGTATGTGAGTGTATCTTGATGAGTTACAGATCAAGTTTGCATTTCGTTTCGCTTCGTTGATTTTTGACGGAATTACGGCCTTTTCAATTTTTAAGGGTTTTCTATGGAAGGGAATTACCGCCAAAAGTCTATTTATCTTGTTTTTATTCTTATTCTGCCTACTTCTTTATTCTTTATTATTATTGTAACTATATGTCACTTTATTGTTTTCATATTCGTCTTTATTACATTTCACTTTGAACTTTTTTATTCTTCATTTTGTCCTTACTTCTAATATTGCTTTATTTTTGTAAATACGTTCTTTTTTCTTTTAAATTGATACAGTTTCTTTAATAAGTAATTATGATCAATGTAAATTCAATCACGCAAACCATGAAGCGCATTCAAAGAAGACGAATACAATGAGTGAATTTAATGCGGCATTATAACGTTAAGCAACAGGGTGTTCGCTGCGAGTGTTGGTAAAATTAGGTACGCAAACCCGGGCCGAGGTTATTCGAGATTTTTCCAATTTTCTGCCTTAATACTTTATCAATCGAACCCAAATTTTCAAGTTATATTAGTTATAGGTTTTTTTGTATACGCGGTAAAATTTCCCCAAAATGCTCAATATTTTAGATTTTCTCGAAGATATTTGATTTCCACTTTGGTAAAATGGGAAGGCAGCATCAAGCTGACATTTTTAGTTGGCTTTTTTTTTTGACAAAAAGCTAATAAATTTATAAACCATTCTGATGTTAAACATTAACTTTTAACTATTTATAACCATTTCTTCTATCAAGTGTGCTTTTGTTGCTTTAAATACATGTAACACGTTTTAAGAAAATCTGGGTCATTAAAACCAATGAACCAATGAAGAAAACTCCAAAATAATTGTGTATTTTCTGTCACCTGAAAAATATAACTCTATTCAAGTTATTTGTTGGATGATTGAATTTCAGTTTTATTGAAATAAAAATATTAAATATTTTGATAATTACTAGTAACCCTTATAAATTGAGTTGTTTTTCAGGACCCCTTTATATTCTTCCACAGATCTGCCATTTCTTTATTTCAGGATAATAACTATTCATGCTCAGTCGCGTGATTCTGGGGATTGGGGCTAGTCTGGTTTCGGCCAACCCATAATGATCTGCAAAGTAGTGTGGAACGTCATGGGTAAGCGTGGCCAGAACCAGGCTAGACCGAGGCATACTAGAAACTTCCCCCGGTTTTTTTGAAAATATGTATTAATTTTTTGTATAGGAATAGCATTTTTCAAAAAAGAAATAAATATCTCTAGTAAGCACACAGTGTTTGACATCAGAATAACTCAAAAAACCATTTTGTCAATGTCTTGTTTGGCAAAAAATACGTAAATGTCGGCTTGGTATTGCCTACCCATCTTAGCAAATAGGAAATCAAAAATCGCCAAAAATAATCTAAAATATATATTGAGATTTTCAAAATATAAATACATGAATATAAATATTGGCAATTTTTACAGCGAATACAGATAAAACTTAGAGACGTAGCATTGTTTTTGAAAGGGGTAGTTAGAATAATCTAACTGTGTCTCGGGACAAGCCCTCACCACAGTTAGAATACGTCCCATATACTTGCAATGTAGCAAATCGGAGTGGATCCACTCCGAAATGATTTTGAAGAATACAAAAGGAGTTGCACTGAAAATAACTACCAAATTAATCATAACAAACCTTTTTGAGGTGGAATAATTATGTCTTTTAACCTAAAAAATAATCCATATAAATACGAAAATTCAACTTATTTTCTCAACTTTTTGTCATCTCCCTCGGGAGATGACACATTAAGTTTGAATCACCGGAAGTAAAGTCCTAGTGTAAGCTGCCATTGATAAGCTGGTGGTCTGGCAAAGGAACTGACGATGACACTATTTCTAAATATAGAGATGTAAACAAAATTGACCAAAGTCTGTCTATTATTATTAAACAAAATGGTGCATCTTAAAGTTAAAGTAAAACTACACCAGGGTTCATTAAGAGACATAGAGGTAGGATCACTTGGGTGGTGGTGGGTCTTCATTAACGGCTTATATATATACATAAACTTTGTATCTAGACTATTGCGTAAAACGGTCAGCGCGCGGGGATCAAAATACACAAAACATGGCATATTGAATGTATAAGCCAAGGCGTGGAACCAAGATTTACTGACGAAAGAAAACAGTGAAAAAATTTACTAGTAAATAACAATTACATTAAATGCATATATACAATGGCAAAAACTTTACTTTTATGTGCACTTTAGTCAATCGATAATTACTGCCGTATATATGAAAAATAAAACAGAACTTATTCAAAGAAAAAATAAATTTCGAAGAAAAGAAATTTTACCTATAAAAGCACAATTTAGGTAGAAACGTAAATGTCTCTGATTTAAGTAACTCAGTGCTGCAGTCATTTGAATAAAGATCATAAAGAATCATTATGAGTATTTTCTCGGATGTGTGCACTATATTCTTTTTTATTTAAATTTACCCCTGTAGAAAAGTTTTAGGAAAAGATACAGTTTCCTTTATCTGGCTCAGATTTTAAGAATTAATAAACAAAGCAACTGTTATCATTTTCTTTATGCAATTCTAATTTGCGTTTTTTGTCAATGAGAAAAGGTAAAAAAAAAAATCACTCCTCGTATTCTTGAAATAAAGCCAAAATTATAAAATGTGTGTCTCATGGAACAGCCTATAAAATCGATGTTGGTAGATTGGGGTTCTTTTCGGTGTGTAAATACTTAATTTTAAATGGTAACGTTTCAATTTTATTACCTTTCTATGCATGATTTTTTCCCAGGAGCGTATATACATGTACTTACATGTATATTATACATAATATAGCGTTAAAACATGAATCTGCATGGGCAGCAGAAGGGCATGATGCAGGAGTGTCTCAATTTTTTCCCTTCATATTCCCAGTGGCTCGATAATCAATCAAATCCCAGTGGCTCGATGGCCAAGTCACTTCAGAGGATACGATTAAGGAAAATAAGGAAATTCTTGGGAATTAATTCAGGTTCAGATTAATTTTAGTTGGCGCTTTAAAACTTCTTTGCTGCCGTAGAAGGCGGCTAAGAACTAAAGTCAAAGGAACGTTAAGTTTTTATCCATCTTCTTTCGGAACAATTGTTAAAGCTATCGATGGTGTATCTGAGCTATAAAATAAAAATACGAGATTGAGTGTAGCTTAACATGATATATGTTTTTTACGTTGAAATTAAATTTTTCACCGATTTTGAACTTGAATAACTTCATGTTTCCAGAGTTAGATTGATTAAAAAAAAAAAATTAAACTGTGTCTGTTAATTAAATGCGGAATCGGTAAATAAATCGGTTATTGTTTTTAATTTCTAATATCTTTGAAACGTGATTGATTTAAATTGTGTAATTTACAGGAAAGTCCTAATTTTATATAAAGTAATAAAACAAATAGATTTTTTTTTTTTACTTAGGTAGTCTGAACTTATAAAAAAACAAATACGCCATATATGACTTTAAATAATTCTTACGAATATTTCTCAGTGGTTAGAATTTTTTTGCAGACATTATACAAAATATATTTAAAATGAAAAAAGCATATTTACAACAGGTAAAATAATACAGACACGGAGCTTCAGGAGGGCCGCCCCCTTCCATTTTCCCCCCAAACATTGAAAAGGCGCACCCTTGTCCCCTCTTCCACCATTTGTTGTAGTATGGTACGTCAGATCACCCCATGAGAATGTATTATGATATAAAATATTTTTGTCGGAAAAGTTGTAATCCCTCCTTCCAAGAAATGAAAATGTTGAGTTTGGATAGCCCCTTTTTCTCCTTGTCAAAGATTGTTCAGATAAATCGTCGATTTTTTTTCTGTCCTCCACCCCCCCCCCCCATTTTTTCAAAAGCGATACTACTGCCTGTAATATAAGCTGAGAAAATAATATAACATTCCACTTTTTATTCTGTGACATTAATGAAGCCAAAGAGATGACATTTCAGGCTTTCTGGAAAGCCAAACTTGTTTTTCCTCGCTTCAAATTTAACGCCATGTTGACATTCGGAACTCTCTGGATTGTTCATAGAAAATGCACAGAGTTCGAGTTATCGCCCGTGTTCATTTTGCAACATTGCCAACAAACGGAACGAATTCTATCGTTAAACCGGGTCCGTAGGACAATATCATTTTAACGATAGAACGTTCTATCTATGAAAGAGGCAACCAGAGAAAAAAAATAACTTACCTAAAAATCTTGACAAGCAAAAAAAACAAACAAACAAATAAAACAAAACAAAACCGAACAAACTAACAAAAACCAAAAAAGAGGAAAATTCTTCAAACTCGAAAATTCTATTGGGGGGGGGGGGGGGGTCAAACTTCTTTCAGTACCAAAGTTTACTCATACATCACTATGTACATGGCCCTTATTTGACTAAACTGCGACAAGAAGTGGGAGAGGGCAACCAGACTTTCAGTGAACATTTTCAGTAGTAAAAAGTTATGGCTAGAAAAATGTTTGGTGGCCAGCCCCTCACCCCCCCCCCCCCCCGTGTCATATAGTGAGACTTCCCCCATAAGGAGTCTTCCCCCCGGAAGTCTGGCTATATAGCAAGACTTCCCCTCCGGGGGGGGGGGGGGGCAATGACTATATAGTGAGCCTTCCGCCCTAAACGGCCATAGTGAGACTTCCCCTTCCGTGTTTGGTTTGGATTTTATTTACATCGACGATGTGTATACATGTATTAATATTGCATATTTAGGTAATGATCTTATATATATATATATATATATATATATATATATATATATATATATATATATATATATATATATATATATATATATAAAGATGTATAGTTTCAATCAATATAAAAGTGCGCATTAAAAATTTACTGTGCACAGCAGATTATTGTATTGTTCCGAGACGATTCTTATAAAAAAAAAAGAGAGAAGACATATAATTAGTTTAACAGTAAATAGGTCATTACCCGTAGAAACGTGCAGTTTACCTATGTTTACCTGCATGGTTAAGATGTTTTAATTATAAAAATCACTATTAAAATGTTTTAATTATTTATTCATATATTTATTTATTCATTCATATAGGACGGAGAACTTTTATCCAAACACTGAAAACGTTAGTATAAAAACATTGTTTTACAATAAAAAAAAATTTGGAAACTAAATTAAAGGGGGAAGTTTCGCTATGAAGGGGGAAGACTGACTATACGAGGGGTTATCAAAAAGTTCGTGGACTAGCGTCATAAAATTAAAACCGCTTTAGTTACATCAATGAATTTTTACACATTTAGTTAGCATCATCTTTTCTATCTATGGAATAAACCATAAATCATAATTTTTACTTTTTAATAAAATGTTAGTGTTTTTGTAAGCAGAAGTATGTCCAGGCGGCGCAACCTCTAATATGACGTTTTTTTTCTACCTGAGTGTAACTGAGAAAAACTCTTTAAATATGAGTATTTGTCATCAAAAAAATTCGTTAATTCAGGCATGTGGTACGACACATTTGTTCAGTAAAATTTGCAATTTTTACCCCATTCTGTAATTTCTATGAAATTTTATCGTAAATTTTATATGGAGTGTCCAAACAATTATGGGCTTGAAAATAACGTCAAAAGGGGGGAGGGGTTTCTTTTCCAAACACTCTATAGAGTTTCGGTCCTGGAAAAACTGGTATTGACCTAAAAAATGTTTAAACTGGCTACAGAAAAATAAAATGCATCCAGAGTACTTGTTTTTTAATGCCCAAAAGATTCAGAGAGATGAAATATGCACAGTTAGTGTCGATTTGTAGTCAGGGTGTCAAAATTCAGTCACGTCGAAAAGTGACGTTGATCATGTGTGGTAGAAATTGAACTCCAACAAGCTTAAGTATTCTGGCATAATCAAGTGAGGATCTTTCCCCATATAAAGATCCATTTACAATATTATATGCATTGAAAACAGCTGCTCATGACATTGTAAATTCATATAAATAAGACGGGTTTAAGTCCTTACTTAACTCCAGGTAATCTCATCAAGATAAGTGTATGAGGTAGAGAGAGGGGACATTAAGAAACAATGACGTTATGCGGACGTCATGACACTAAACGGCGACAGCGCCGGGTGATCACATGAAGTCTTTTTAATTTTAGAATAATTTGGCAAATTATCAACTTATTAAGCTAAAATTTTCAACATTTCTTAAACTTTTGTTGTTTTATGTTCCGCATAAATTTTGTAAGCAAAGACTACATATCATTAATTATATCGCGTCAGTCCACGAACTTTTTGATAACCCCTCGTATAGTGAGATTTTCTCCCGGAAGACTGGCTATATAATGAGACTTTCCCCCGGAAGACTGGCTATATAGTGAGACTTCCCCTGGAGAAGTCTCACTATATAGCTAGTCTTCCGGGGGAAGTCTTACCATCTAGCCAGCTTTAAGGGGGAACGGCACCGGGTACATGCCTGAACCTATAACATACATCATTTGAAAATTTGGGTTCGATTGATATAAGGCAGAAAATTGAAAAATCACGAATAACCTCGGCCCGGGTTTGCGTACCTAATTTTACCAACACTAGCAGCGAACACCCTGCCAACTAGTTATAATGCCGCATTAAATTCACACTACTTGTATTCGTCTTCATTGAATGCGCTTCATGGTTTGCGTGACTGAATTTTCATTTGTAATAAAGATGATCATAATTACTTATTAAAGAAACTGTATCAAATTTAAAAAAAAAGAACGTATTTACAAAAATAAAGCAATATTAGAAGTAAGGACAAAATGAAGAATAAAAAAGTTCAAAGTGAAATGTAATAAAGACGAATATGAAAACAATAAAGTGACATATAGTTACAATAATAACAAAGAATAAAGAAGTAGGCAGAATAAGAATAAAAGCAAGATAAATAGACTTTTGGCGGTAATTCCCTTCCATAGTTTTCCGCAATTTTCTTCTAAACGCTTGTAGATATTGAACTGATTTTTGGTATGTGGCTTTACCTTGATTAGTTATAGATCAAGTTTGCATTTCGTCCCACTTCATTAATTTTTGACGGAATTATGGCATTTTCAATTCTTAATGGGAACCAGATTACACTTGCCGGTAGGGGACTAGTATTGCTAATGCAATACTCTCAGAATGCTTGTTTACACTGAATTGTCGACGGATTTTTCCGTTATTTCCCGATCATGACAAGGAGACACGGCGGGTGCTAACTCCTCCATGGCACCTGATCCCACCTCTGATGTTTTGGAGGTCCGTGTTTGCTCTGCTCCTATTTTGTAATGTTTAATGGACTTTTGAGCTTGAATAATGTTCGTTATCTCCATATATTTCATTCCATTATTGCTCTTTTCAATTGATGAGAGAAATAATGTGATGGAATTATTGCTTGCAAAAATTAATAAGACCTCGGGATAAATGATTTGTTGACCTCTTTTAGTTTAATTCAATGGAAGATTTTTTTTTATTTTACAACGATTTTGTTAGAGCGATTTATTCGCGCATCAATTCTTTTGATATCTTTAATTCATTGAAAAGAGCAACAATTCAATTACTAGTATCATCAAACGAATTGATGATATCGACAATTGAATCTCTGACTTGGAATATTTAAGCTTAGGGTGCCTAGCAAGCAGATATGTAAGTAGATTCAGAATTGAAGATATTATCGATTATTTGAAGAAATCTTTGCCTGAGTTGTGGAGCATACAATGAACTTATAATATCTTCAAATTGTTCAAGATAGCTTCAATTATTTGAGTTTATGTTAACTTGGTGCTCCATACGTTGACGCCACAAACCAGACAACGAGCGATGACGTTTGTATCCAAACAAGGCTGTTGCTTGACAGATAATAATTTCAGATCTTACAAATAAACAATTAGATTTCTGATTTTTATTTCAGAAGTTATGCTTAAATTTTGTTTTAAAATGTACATAAAATAACATTCAGCAAGCATAAGAACTTGCTGAATTCATCACCATTATAATGTCAAATCTGCAAATTGTCTACTCTTTATCAATGAATATACTATTATGACTATCTAGTATGAGGATGACAAACTATAGTATATAAATACTCAACAGCAACAATATACAACTGTCCACTTCAAAAATTTACTTGCTAAAGCCTTAATTCAATTTTGTTAGACAGCAATGTCAAAATTGACAAACATTTAATAACTATGTGCATACATTGGCTGTTGAATACTTATATTTCTCTTATTATGATTATCAGTGCACGACCAGTTAATTAAAGTTTTGCATTAATTAGGTAATGGAGATGGGTTCCCCACAGGATTTGTTGTCGGATCCAAACTCTTACTTCAACACAATGCTGTCAGCACAGACCGTCAAAACACCGTCACCTTGAGGTCATAGTGTTGTGGTTAAAATGATGACTCTTACTTTGTCATTAATAAAACATTGTCAAAAACCTGTTTTGAAATTTGTTGTTCTTGGTAAATGTAACATAAAATTGGTTAAGATTTTAATGGGTTCAGTTACATCATTGTAACTAGTTTTTGCACTGAATGACCATGTAAATGCATTTTAAGAGAGAGAAAAAAATGTTAGATCGATTTCTAAAAGATGAAATGTAAAATATGTGTATGACTTCTATTTGAAACTCGACAATTTAATAGGAGTAGGCCTTATTACAACATATCAACGTATGTCAAGTGAATGAAATTTTGAAGTGTGTCAGACCTATGGTCTACATTCAAAGGCAGTGGAAGTGGTTAATTAAATATTCCTACTAAATCTTTCTTTTCATAATTGTACTATTAATAAATATCAAATTAAGAAATGTATTTCTAGAATAATAATCTTATTTACACGTCGTTCGTGAATTTGAATATTAATTACTCTTAAACATATCGCCCCTAACCAGAAACCTTCCTTCCTCGTTACAACTGTCAAAGATCAATCGATGTTTGTGAAATTCCAGGTTTGATTTGGCGAAAAACTCCAGAATCATTCAAATCTATCAGTGTCAAATTATAAATGTAATTCTGGGAAATGTAAATGGAATTTTTAAGATCTTTTTACTGTCTGAAAATAACCTGGGACGTTACGCGCCGTAGTTTTCTGTATCATCGATAACAATCAGTTGTCTTGTTTATTTGTCATCATAGTAATGATCATTTATCACTTTCTAGAAGCGGATTCATTAAGATGCAAATGTATTCAGTGACGTATAAAATCTGCTTTAAAAGTACATAGATGATGGTATATTTATAAAAGTCAACACAATCCTAAAATTTTGTACAATGTGTTTATCGTCAAAAAGGATCACTCATATAAAAAAATTGATATTGGAATAGCTGCAAAAGATACAAAGGTTTGTCTGCTTTATTTTTTCACAATTTTTATTGTGACTGATCATTCAAAATGTTAAAATTTTAAACATCTCTAAACATGCATGAATTCGATGTTGATAGATGTTTTATCCAAGTGACAGATTGTTTTAACCATCCTACACTTTTTTCTATTCACAGAGACCACTGCAAATAAATTAAGTCAAACAAGCAGAACAATTTGTCATCACGCCACAATGGGTTTGTCGCGGAACAATTCAGTGACCGAAGACGGATTTACAGTCGAAGACAACGCTGCATTATGGTGTCACTCTGTCGATACCTCTGTTGGTGAAACACAGTCCTATCCCCCATCTCCAATCATGATGGAACTAGGGGCTCATTTTGAAGATTCGGAAATATTTAGAAAATGTGGAATCTGTTACGAAACCCCGATTGATGGACGTCTTTTGGATTGTTTTCATACCTTTTGTGAAACTTGTCTTGAAAGAGTCTGGTGTGACGCAACTGTTATAAGATGTTCTTTGTGTACAAGAAATACATCGATTCCCCATGAAGGTATCCATCGTCTACCAAAAAATCCATTCATAAGATCAGAGCCCGGTGCAGAGATACAGCTGACCATAGCTTGTGATTTGTGTGAGGATAGTCGTCAAGCAGAAGTTCATTGTCTCGACTGTGACCAAAACCTGTGTTCCTCTTGTCGTCTGATACATCTAAAATGTAATGCTTCAAAGGAACACACTGTCCAATCCTTTGAATCAGGCAACATACCATTGCCCGATGATTTACATAGACCAGCTTGCAAAAAAATCCCCAGTACCTGTGTTGATCATGACGAAGAATTGACCTATCATTGTAGGATGTGTGCCAAAGCGATATGTAAATTTTGTAGGAAAGAACCAGTGCACAGGGGTCATAGGACAAAGCCTCTTTCAGTTGCCATGGACACAAAGCGTAAAATTGTATCTCAAAAAATGGCATCAATCGAAAATGGCTATTTTGAAGTCTTAAGAAAGAAGTTGTATAATACAAGAAAGCATGCGGAAGCCCTCTCCAATAACATTAAAGATGTAATAAATAGCATCCTTGCCAGAGCTGAAGACCTAAAGCATGAAATCGATGTGGCGAGCGAAGCTCTCATTTCTGAAGTCTTAGAGAAGGAAAAAGAGGGACTTGAAAAGTGTTCCTCGTTAGAAACACTCATTGAGCAAGAGGTGTTGGGTATTGGAAGTGCTCTACAGTATATTTACAACATTTTGCAGTATGGTTCTCCTTTGGAGGTTTGTGACGCCTTGCCAACAATCAACAAGATTCTGGATGGCTACAGCGAAGGAGGACAAACCCCTCGCTTGGAGAAAACTGACATCACATTTGAACTTGGGGACCTGACACCCAAATCAATCAAACAAGGTTTCGGTAGTTTGGCAATGAGGAACAGAGGACGTTTATGGGCCAGGTCAATTTCAGTAGGTTTCGGAGGTTTACAAGATGTAAACATCAAAATGCAAACAGGATTCGACTTCCCAACTTCATCATTAGAAGAAGTTCAAGATGAGGAAGAATTACCAATACACGCTTTAACTGCATCTTCAACTCACCAAAATCAGGTCTGGACATGTGCTGGATGGAATTCCTCCACCATTGCTCTCCTCGACAACCAGGGTACACCCCAAACTTCTGTCCCAATTGGCCACAAAGTGGATGATATCACTGTCTCCACAGAAGATGAATTGTTTATCTCATGCTTCCACAAAAGAATGTTGGTCCGTTATAAAATTTCCACAGTCACCATGGAGACAGTCCATTTACCGTACTATCCACGTGGTCTCGCAGTCCGTGCTGATGGTGGTCTTCTGATATGTATGACAGATAGCTATAGTTCATGTGCATCGGACAACAGCAGAAGATTTGTGGCGAAATATACAAAAGACTTAAAATTAGACAGTGTGTACGAATTTGAAAACAATAAAAGACTTTTTACGAGACCGTATAGAGTTGCCGAAAACATCAATGGGGACATCTGTGTTACAGACAAAACATCCATGGGTTCTGGACGAGTTGTGGTTCTTGATCGTCATGGGAAGTTCAAATTTGCTTTCGAAGGTCCGTCAAACAACCAATGTAAAGGAAGCTTCTCGCCAGCTGGTATTACGTGTGATAGCTACGGACGAATCCTTGTTGCAGATTCAAACAACAACTGTGTCCATATCCTTGACCCAAATGGGAACTTTGGTGGGTTTCTTCTAAAACAAGGGGACACTTCAACGAGTCCGCATTCCATATGCATCGATAACCACAGTCAGTTCTGGGTTGGAGATGAAGAGGGCAACATTAAACTGTACGAGTATCTCTAAGAACGAAGAAGGACAAAAAAATTACAATTGAATATGACAGAATCGGCATGTATAGTATTTGCCAAAACTTGTAATATTTATCATTTGCTTTTTGTCTAATACATTAAAAATAAAATAAAATTTTTATAAGCCTTCAGAGTGTAAAAAATAATGTTCATTAAAATTTGGTAATTCTAGTATTTGGAAATGCTGAGTCAGAATTTTCGGTTTGACCATAAACAATTATAAAACAAGAGATCCAAGGGCCTTAATATAGTGACGGTAACCTGAGTATAATACAAGACTGTAATGGATCCATAGAGTGGCAATTTAATAATTGTACATGTTTAATAAAACATTTTATAAACTGAAAGATGAAACTATGTTACTCAAAAACAAGAAAAATAAGACGATCAGGGATCAACAAAATAGTAAGTCTGGCAATCAGAAACAACTCGGAGAAAAGATCTATTTTTATGTGCCAGTGCTAATGACAATGAAACACCGCATTTACACAATAGAGAGCAGATTGCATTGGCAAATACAGGTAAGTTTCTGATTGCCAAACTAACTAATTTGTTGATCCCTTATCATCCTCTTTCTCTTGTTTTAATATCCACAATTCCATGGATCCTTGTCAAGATTGTACTATACTCAGGTGATTGGTAAGGCCCTTGGGTCTTTTTGAAAGAATGCATTAATTTTTGTGGCTTTAGCCCAATCTCTTAATTCCCAGGGGGACGAAATTCAGTTTTTGTTCCTTTTTACCCACACATGCTATATGTCAAAATTGGAGTTCACTTTCTAAGGATTCTTCAAAATCACATTTCAGTCTTTAAAAATTTTAACATTCCAATCAACAAATACCTATACCTGTACCTATACTGGAGATTCCTAACATTACAAAGATACATTGCCGGATCCAGCAACTGTTCTAACAAACATTTTCTTTACTTCTTACAAAAATTTTAACTGCTATAGTTCTGCAGCTAGATATTAAAAGGATGCTGGAGTTCCTCATTGACAATCTATGTAGTCTCTGATGACCAGGTCTTCCAACAAGAGGCCCATGGGCCACATCGCTCACCTGAGCACATTGGCTAGGCAAAAGCATAAATCAGTTCAGTATTGAAAAGATTACCGGGGGGGGGGGGGGGGCTTGAATTTTAAACTACCTGATGATGCTTCCATGTCAATATAACAAACGGCTTTGTTGTACTTGACAAGTTTTTTTTTTTTTTTTTTTTAAATTTTCCTATATATTCCTTTGTAAAAATCTGATCCCCCATTGTGGCTTCTCCCTATCCCAGGGGTCATCACTTGAACAAATTTTAATCTACACTACCTGAAGATGCTTCCGTATCAATATGACTGCACTTAGCTTTTTCTGTTCTTGAGAAGAAATTTTTTTTCTATATGTTCTTATGTAAAACTTTCGATCCACCATTGTGGCCCCACCCTACCCCGGGGGATCAACATTTGAACAAAATTGAATCTACATTACCTGAGGATGCTTCCATATCAAAATGATTAAACATGATTTTTTTGTTCTTGAGAAGAAAATATTTTCCTCTATGTTCCTATGTTAAATTTTCGATCCCCCATTGTGGCCCGACCCTATCCCCGGGGGTCATCATTTTATCAAATTTGAATCTACACTACCTGAGGATGCTTCCACATCAGAATGACTAATTATGGCTTTGCAGTTCTTCTGAAGAAGATATTTTCCTATATATTTTTATTTAAGACTTTGATCCTCCATTAATGTCGCCCCACCCTACCCCAGAGAGTCATGATTTGAACAAAATTGAATCTTCACTACCTGAGAATGCTTCCACATAAATATGACCAATCAGGGCTTTGCTGTTCCTGAGTAGACAATTTTTAAAGATTTTTCCTATATATTTCTATGTAAAACTTTGATCCTCCATTGTGGCACCGCCCTACCCCTGGGGGTCATGATTTGAACAAACTTGTATCTTCACTGTCTTAGGATGCTTTCATATAAATATGATTAGTCAGGGCTTTGCTGTTCTTGAGAAGAAGATTTTGAACAAACTTGAATCTACACTACCTGAGGATGCTTCCATATAAATATGACTCATCATGGCTTTGCTGTTCTTGAGAAGAAGGTTTTTAAAGATTTTTCCTATATATTTCTATGTAAAACTTTGGTCCTTCATTGTGACCCCACCCTACCCCTGGGGTCATGATTTGAACAAACATGAATCTTCACTGCCCGAGGATGCTTCCATATAAATATGACTCATCATGGCTTTGCTGTTCTTGAAAAGATTTTTCCTTTATATTTCTATGTAAAACTTTGATCCTCCATTGTGGCACCGCCCTACCCCTGGGGGTCATGATTTGAACAAACTTGAATCTACACTACCTGAGGATGCTTCCATATAAATATGACTCATCATGGCCTTGCTGTTCTTGAAAAGAAGATTTTTAAAGATTTTTTCTATATAGTTCTATGTAAAACTTTGATCCTCCATTGTGGCCCCGCCCAACCGGGGGAGGGGGGGGGGGGTCATGATTTGAACAAACTTGAATCTACACTACCTGAGGATGTTTTTGCACGAGTTTCATCTTTCCTGGCCCTGTGCAGTGGTTCTTGAGAAGAAGATTTTTAAAAGATGCTATTAATTTTTCACTAATTCTTAATTATCTCCGCTTGGAAGAGGGCATGGCCCTTCATTTGAACAAACTCGAACCCCCTTCACCCAAGGATGCTTTGTGGAAAGTTTGGTTGAAATTGGTCCAGTGGTTCTCGAGAAGTCGAAAATGTGAAAAGTTAACAGACAGACGGACTACAGACAAAATGCGATCAGAAAAGCTCACTTGAGCTTTCAGCTCAGGTGAGCTAACAATCTGTTTGAATTTCGATGGCACTAATCGTGCTCCTTTATTAGCCGACCTGTTTTATATTCCTATGGAAGAATTTATTCGAAAATGTCTAGAAAAACACTGACTCTTGCTGTGGCCTTAGTTCGACATTCAGATAATTTTTATATCGACGACGTTTCATCAATTCACAATATTGGTTAGTTACTTCCAATCATATGTCAATTATATATCTCAGTGAACTCCAAATAAAAGACATCACAGAGTCTGCCATATCTGATTCATATTTTGATGAAAAAGTGTAAATTTATTGCGACGCACAAAAAATGCACTGTTTCTCGACTTATTTCTCTGTATATTTAAACTGCCATCTCTATATATTACAAACCGTGTATTCCTAACATATTTTTTTAATACTTCCACAAAAAATTTCCAAAAGTCGTTGTTAAAGCCCTCCTGGGCCTGAAATTGAGACCATCGAACATTTCGTCTACCTATACTTCCGTCTTGGGTGGCAAGACAATTCGGTCCAACGCACTTCGTACATGACTTTTACATACAGTTTTGTTTGTGGAAGTAGTAAAAGAAAAAACACATGGTTAGAAATAGTTTGATATATACGGAGAAATAAATCGAGAAACAGCGCACTTTTTTGTGCGCAATAAATATACACTTTTTTCAATGGGTGGCCATTAACTCTATGGTCGTCCATCCCAATTTTTTTTTCAGACCAGCGAGCTACAGATCTGCAGCTACTGACAAATAAGTTGATGTAACAGATTTCAACAACCTCGTTTGAAGTCGGCATTTCGTCAGCAAATGACATTGTTAGCAAATAAAACCTATCACAGGGTCGTATTTTAACATATTGTTATCCAATTGTTAGATATTTGTTTTATACTAAGTTTGACAACAGATTATTCCGTCTACCTGATCAATAGATAGGGCTCACGGTGGGTGTGATCAGTTGAAAGGGGATGCTTGCTCCTCCTAGGAACCTGATCCCACATCTGGAATTTCCAGGGGTCCATGTTTTATGCCTAGTTCACAGATCTGTATTGTTTGTAGTTTTTTTTTCTTTTTAGATTCATCCTGTTCGTTATCTTCACCTATTTCATTGAATTGATTCAGCGGCTCTAGAGAAGAAGCTAAAAATGTTCAAATGTTAACGATGGACGACGCACGACGACAGCCGAAAACAGATAGCAATAAGTCTTCTGAGTCACTCGGTTGACCTAAAAATTGCTGAAATACAAAAGAAGATTCGACTTTAAAAGGTTCAAGACAAACTACTGTTTGTATCTGCAAATATTATATTATCTTTTTCTCCCTCAGTACGTTCGTCCGAAAATAAATTTATTATACTCTTAAAACTGTATAAATAAAGAAGTATGAAAAGATAATAACATACATGTAAAATCATGTGTTTGGAATGCTGATCGACAGAACCTTAACTATAACACATTTTAAATTCAACATCGGAACTCATTACTTACGACCTTCAGTTATCATATAATAATAAAAAATATATATGTAATTTAATGATTTCAATTCCTAAACGGATTCTACGTTCTATGGGCGGCAAAGTGGCTTTTCAAGCACGCATTTGCAAATTATATCACCATGTCCAGTGACGTAAAAACCACAAAGATCCACCATACTATCCACACAAGAAGTGCCCATAACGAAAATAGTATTAAATATGTTGTTATCACATCAAACACAGGCCTCCAAAAACATCAGAGGTGTGATGAGGTGCCTTGGAGGAGTGAGCATCCCCTGTCGACCGGTCACACCCGCCGTGTGCTCCTTGTCATGAGTGGGGAAAATCCGTAGACAATTCAGTGTGCAAATAATGACCAAACAATAGTTTGAAAAACGTCAGTCAGCATTTGACTTAATGATAGTTTTTATTTGCTGACAAGGCCATTGTATCGACCATAAAACTTACGAAATGATGACTTTAAACGAGACTATTGATATCCTTGTTTCATCAACTTGTCAATTACTTGCCTCGTTTTAAAAATTGTTCATACGTAGAGCATGCTTTTGCGTCGAATCAACTGGGAGACAAAAACTCCATATGCGTGATAAGGGTATATTGCTACAAAAGTAAGGGAAGCTTACGATTGAAAAAAATTGAAGTCATCACGTTTATCATTAAGCTTTGTTGTTAGGTTGCCATTAAAGTCTTTTTCAAGTAAAATATCCAAATATGAAACACATGTCAGACTCAATGGTATCTTTTATTTCAAGCTCACTTGCTCCAATATCAATATTTAATATAACTTGGTACACAAGTAGACTACACTAATAGACATAACTTTATATATTGGTTTTTGATTTCAATGAACGGTGTTGCCACGGCTACATAATTAAGAAATTTCTGTGATATTCATTCAAAATGCTACTCCTCCTACAGTTTTGCTCCAATTTCAATATAATTTGGTACACAAGTAGACTCTACTAAGATACATAACTCTCTTTATCGGCTTTTGATTTAAATGAACGATGTAGCCGTGGTTACTAAAAATTTCTGTGAAATTCTTTCAAAACGCTACTCCTCCTAAAGTTTTGGTCTGATTTCAATATAACTTGGCACACAAGTCGACTACACAAGATACATATTTCTTGATATTGGTTTTCGATTTTGATGATCGGTGTTGTTATGGTTACTTAAAATAGACATTTCTGTGAAATTCTTTCAAAATGCTACTCCTCCAACAGTTTTGGTCTGATTTCAAAGTAACTTGGCAAATAAGACTGCACTAAGATATATTTCTGTTTATTGGCTTTTGATTTTGATGAAGTGTTGCCATGGTTATTAAATTGGAATTTCTATAAAATTCTTTTGAAAGGCTATTTCTCAAACAGTTTTAATCTGATTGCAATAAATTTTGTCACACAAAGAGACTAAACCAAGGATCATTATTCTTTTTATTGCTGTTGCAAAGTTTCAAGTCGAAAAGCTACTTTTCTCTACTTTTGTTATAAACATAAACTAGCAGAGCTACAGTCTCGTCAGAGACTTCTGGTTATATCACACATCTGAAAACAAGAAAAAAGATTTTGTTTCAGTGAAAACAAATTACAGGAGTAAATAGACCACAACGCTCACCTGAGTCACTATGACTTTGATGCATTTTCCTCCTATATATTCGGATGTAAAACTTTCATCTCCTATTGTGGCCCACCTATATCCTCATGAGCCATGATTTGAACAAATCTGAATCTAAACTACCTAAGGATGCTTCCATATCAATATGATATGCCTTTGATGTTCTTGAAAAGATTCTTAAAGATTTGTTCCCTTACATATACCTATTATGTAAAACTTTGATTCCCTATTGTGGCTCCACAATTTGAATCTATACTATGTACATAATGAAGCTTTCACATAAGTTTTTAACTTTTCTGCCCTGTGGTTCTTCAGAAGAATTTTTAAAGATGTTACTAAATTTTCACTAATTCTTAATTATATCCCTTAGAAAGACTTAGAGAGTGTGGTCCTTCCTTTGAACAATCTTCAATCCTCTTCACCCTAGGATGCTTCGGCTCAAGTGAGCTAAAAAGCATAATCCTTCTACCATTCTGTTAGTCCTCTCTGAGTATTCCCGTTGTCTGTGATCAAAATTTATCTCACACATTTTACAGGTACTCTCCAAACATGAAAAAATTCCTTTAGTATTAAAATTTGTTGACATCGTTTAAAGCAATTTTTGGAAATCAAGCAGTTACATGGCAACACAGGACCCTATAACGGCGATGCAGCCCAGGGTCCCTGCTCCTTTCGCAGTAAGTATATAACAGCTATATTACGTCTTATAAATTTATACGTTTATTAATATTTGTCAATTTTGCACTCGTTTCAAAATAAACCTTTTGGTAAAAATATGAGCATGAAATGATAACAAAAATACTTTTTGGTTCATTTTTTTTAATTTTAAATAATCTAAATCATTTGATAGATGTTTGTAAACCCAGCCAAAACAACATTTGAAGAATTGCATCTCTCTGCTCCTTTATTAGATAGTCGTATGGTTTAGTATGGTATATGGTACTGCTCGCACATATATCACTATGATCTTTATGGTTCAAAATCGAATGGAAATGCCCATCACTCATTTTAAGGAATGTAAAAATCAACTGAAATTAGAAACAAATAAGTCCAATTTATTAATATATCTACCTCTAAAGCTTTGAAAACGTTAGCAACTATTACTTCTGATCATGAACACACTCTTAATATGTATTGATGAAGATGAATTGATGAGTGCACTTCTAATGAGGTTTAGCAAGTATCACTTGAGCTTATTCTTTTGTTTAGTCTTGTCAGGATTGAGACAAGTCCTTAATCCTCCATTAATCACCGCACATTTTAACTGTGTTTTATCTGCAACGTTCTCTGGTATTGTCCGATTTTTTTACGATGTGTGGATTAAAAAAAAAAGATTTTTGGAGACTGTATTTTATGACATTGAAAAATAAATCAACACATAAAAAACACTGGTCGTGAGCCAAAGAACAGAGTCAGCGTTATTTTCTAAACGTTGATTCTATGATTAAAGGTAAGCAGATTAAAATTTTGGCAGGCTTGATAATTTATGTTTGCCTATCCATAGTCTCGTCCCTCTGTATACCTTATCTCTGCAGATGCATTCATGAACGCTTCACTGTGTGTGCAGTTGCTTAGGTGCATATTATTTTATCTTTTATCCTTTTTTTTTTATACATATCGTCACTTAAACATGGAATGAGTCTAACAGTACAATGTGAAACTTTTTTCTGCATTAGCCTGTTACAGAGTCTTTCGGGTATTATTCACTTGAAAAAAAAAAATAGTTGCATATGAAAAACTCCCGAAGTGTAGTAACCATACATGATTTTTTTATTGAATTGAATAACACATAAAAACCCATAATATTACGCATATGCCGTTATGGTACACAGTGCATATCCGGTTTGATCTTTGATCGTCTGCTTTGATCTAAAGGAGGGTTGGGAATGGTATGCGACATGAACTTAAAATTTTTATTGTTTTAATGACCATGGTGTTATGAACAACATTTGCTCCGTTGAAATATTCGAAGAAGCCAAAGGGCAAATGTTGTTCACAACACCATGTTCATTGAAAAACGTAGTTCATTTCTTTCTTGTAAGTTGTAATCAGGTGAATCTTTTTTAAAAAAAAAATCACTACCACCCTCAGAATAATGAAACTACGTCCTCCGGCATGATAGAACGTAGCAACACAGTCATTCTACAGAAACATGACCAATTAAGAATTTTTTATGTCGCTTACAAATTTACCGTAATATCTTACCAATAAATTTAAAGATCGATTTCAACTCTAAGATTTAATATACACACATGGTTTTGTAAATTTTTACCGATATATATGCAGGTAAAGTTTTGATATGAACACAATTTAATGTTGGAACACTATACCACTGCAAATCTTAACGTCGCTTCATTCATTTACAAATTTCAAGATGAAATTTTCAGCCGTATAAGCGTTCCGAGTAGATTGAAATAAATGTTTAAAAAAGAATTTTTCCTACATAAAAAGAAATCAAACCATTTCTCGAAAAAAATGTATGGATCTTTTTTCCCGGTCCTTCGGATTAGACCGTATAAACCGAGGTCCCGTGTCGCAGTAAGTGCGAAAAAGATCCCTCACTGCTCAATGGCCGTAAGTGCCGAGTAAAGGACAAAATTTGCAGCTCTCCACCGGCAAGTGGTGGCGTCTCCATATGAGTGAAAAATTCTCGAGACGGACGTTAAACAACATACAACAATCTTTCATACGAAATCATAGCATGTCGCTGAAAACAATTAACTTTCGTAACGATTTTGTTTTAAATTTCACGCACAGAATGCAGATTTCAAAAAAAAAAAAATAATAATAATAATAATAAACTTATCTGAAAGTAACCATGGAACCTAATATAATCGATTCTAGTTGCGGCTCAGCTACTTTAGACCATTATATTTTCGACATAACAAAATGAATTAGACAAAAACAGTTGTCTCTCTTAAAAAATTAACTTCCGTAATGGTAATTAAGGAAAGTTTTTGCATTAAAGGTATATATATTTTTTATTATTTTGGGAGCGAAATGCTTCAAACTTTTGTTTATCATCCTAAAACAAATGTTAATTCTAACTGTTGTCGAGAATTTTAACTTAAATTGCTGGAAAATAACTTCAGTAACGATTAACTTCCGTAACGATATTTTCCCCGAAATTTTAACTTAATATCGGATTCATGCGAAACTTCATGAATCATACTTTAGCGTCCTATACTGAACATCAGAAAACGAAAAAGTGGTCAAATTCAGCTTTATTTCAAAAATAAGACCTAATCGAGCATTAACTACCGTAACATTACCTTAAAATCAAAGGTATATTGAAATTGTTGTAAAAAGTTAGCGATACCAGATTTGTGGACAGTTCTTTTTTTTTCAAGATCACTGATACATCCTTTAGAGAATTATGATGTTCATTTTACTATTTGAAACAATAATATTTTTTTCATGTTTTATATCCTGAATTGGTCCTTTTATCATAGAATGACTGTTAAATACATACGAAAGAATGCAACCCCCCTCCCTCTTGGGGAGGATTTTTACAAATCTGACTAAGTGTACATCATAATAATGATAACAATTAAACTGCTAGATGCACATCAGTAAAGAGAATATTTAAATGTGTAATGCATTTCAATATAAGACCAACTTAGCCCCACACTGGTATATGAATTTTATATTTTTGGTAAAAGGTTAAGTACTCATTGTAATCATTTAATCAATATGACCACTATATGTCCTTTAAAAAAGAAGGCTTTCAAAGATGAAATGTAGTTTCAATATATGACCCACTCTGTAGGGCTGAAATAATACATCCCCTTTATGATGCGATATGAATTGCAATACTTGTGCCACAATAATGAAAATGGCTGCATTGTAAAACAATTGAAATATTTTCAATACAAAACATTCATAGGTGCAACAAATCACAAGGTTCAAGAAAAGACACAAGATGGCAATTCCTAAAATTACACAATGTATGTAATGATTTTATTATCTAAAACACAAAAACACTTGAAAGATTATACAAGTAATGGTTCTTATGATTAAAACAAATTAGATTTTAAGAGTTATTATTTTAATGATTTCTTTTAACATACATATAACAGGACAAAGTAAAGACTTACAAATTTACTATATGACATAAAGAACATAGGTGATCCAATTATTAGATAAATAAATCTAATGAACTGCCATTGGTTGACATGAGCGAAAGCATGGTAAGGTGGACTTTGGATGAGTCAGCCATACTACATACCTAAACTATTAAAATGATGTGCTATTAATACCACTGAAACATCTTAAGTTGTAATATGCAAGCAATTGAATAAATGATTCAAACATAGGTAATCAGAGATTACAGAGCTCACCTCAACGAATGTTGTCTTTAAGTAAGGCAAAGTCCAACACTAAACTAATAATCTAGGAGTGTGCATCCCTAGATGCAACATTTATGCAATTTTGGTCTGATAGGGCTTGCAGTTACTTGGTAATAGACTTATCTGAAAACTTAAAACTAGTCACTCATCCAGAAAATGTAAGTCAAATCCAGCATCCGAAGCAAGTTTTGAGATTGTTCATCCCTTGATGCATCATCCATGCAAGTTTGGTTCAGATAGGCCTTATAGTTACTTGGAAATGACATCTGCTCCAAAAACTTTAACCTGGTTACTCATCCGTAAAATATAGGTCAGATCCAGCATCCGAAGCAAGTCCAGTAGTGTGAATCCTTAGATGTATCATCCATGCAAGTTTGGTCAATATAGGGTTTATAGTTACTTGGAAATGACATCTGCTCCAAAAACTTTAACCTGGTCACTCATCTGGAAAATGTAAGTCAAATCCAGCATCCAAAGCAAGTCCAGTAGTGTGCATCGTTAGATGTATCATCCATGCAAGTTTAGTCAATATAGGGCTTATAGTTACTTGGAAATGACATCTGCTCCAAAAACTTTAACCTGGTCACTCATCCCAACAAGATGTGTTTGTGAAACACTGATGCCCCCGTATGGCAGCTTATGGTGAAGGTTAAAGTTTCTCAAATGCAAGTCAAAATCCAGGCCAAAAGATAAAATGTTAAATTTGAAAGCCCTATCTGCATCTGTTCAAAAGTTATGGCGAAGGTTAAAGTTTTTTAAAAGTAAGTAAAACATCAAGATCAAAGTTGTTGGTATCCAAAGGAAGGTCTTGTCACAAGGATTACATATGTAAAGTATGAAAGCCCTAGCACCAACCATTCAAAAGTTATGGCCAAGGTTAAAGTTTTTAAAAGTATGTCAAACTCCTATGTGAAGGTCAAAGGGTCAAAGTTGGTGGTATCCAAAGAAAGGTCTTGTAACAAGGATTACATATGTGAAGTATGAAAGCCCTAGCACCAACCATTCAAAAATTATGGCCAAGGTCAAAGTTTTTCAAAAGAAGTTCAAACTCCTATGTCAAGGTCAAAGGGTCAAAGTGGTTGGTATCCAAAGGAAAGTGATGTCACAAAGATTAAATATGTGAAGTATGAAAGCCCTAGCATCAACCATTCAAAAGTTATGGCCAAGGTTAAAGTTTTTCAAAAGTAGGTCAAACTCCTAGGCCAAGGTCAAAGGGTCAAAGAGGTTGATATCCAGAGGAAGGTCTTGTCACAAGGAATACACATGTGAAGTTTGAAACCCCAAGCACCAACTGTTCAAAAGTTATGGCCAAGGTTAAAGTCTCATAAAATTTTGCAAAAGTGGGTCAAACTCAAAGGTCAAAAGGTCAAAGTTGTTGGTATCCAAAGGAAGGCCTTGTCACAAAGAATACACATGTGAAGTTTGAAACCCCAAGCACCTACTGTTCAGAAGTTGTGGCCAAGGTTAAAGTCTCATAAAATTTTGCAAAAGTGGGTCAAACTACAAGGTCAAGGTCAAAAGGTCAAATATGATGGTACCGAAAGAAAGGTCTTGTCACAAGGAATACACATGTGTCATAGCTCCAACCAATCAAAAGTTATGGGCAAGGTTAAAGTTGACAACAGACAGACAGACAAACAGATAAACAGACAAACAAACAGACAGGACAAAAACAATATACCCCCAGGATCTTTCGATCCGGGGGCATAAAAATTTAGGTCAGATTCAGCATCCGAAGCAAGTCCAGTAGTGTGCATCCTTAGATGTATCATCCATGCAAGTTTAGTCAATATAGGGCTTATAGTTACTTGGAAATGAGATCTGCTCCAAAAATTTTAACCTGGTTACTCGTCCGGAAAATATAGTTCAGATCCAGCATCCGAAGCAAGTCCAGTAGTGTGCATTCTTAGATGTATCATCCATGCAAGTTTGGTCAATATAGGGTTTATAGATACTTGGAAATGACATCTGCTCCAAAAACTTTTACCTGGTCACTCATCCATAAAATATAGGTCAGATTCAGCATCCGAAGCAAGTCCAGTAGTGTGCATCCTTAGATGTATCATCCATGCAAGTTTGGTCAGTATAGGGCTTATAGTTACTTGGAAATGAGATCTGCTCCAAAAACCTTAACCTGGTCACTCATCCATAAAATATAGGTCAGATCCAGCATCCAAAGCAAGTCCAGTAGTGTGCATCCTTAGATGTATCATCAATGCAAGTTTGGTCAATATAGGGCTTATAGTTACTTGGAAATGAGATCTACTCCATAAACTTTAACCTAGTCACTCATCTGGAAAATGTAGGTCAGATCCAGCATCCGAAGCAAGTTCAGTAGTGTGCATCTTTAGATGTATCATCCATGCAAGTTTGGTCAATATAGGGCTTATAGTTACTTGGAAATGAGACCTGCTCCAAAAACTTTAACCTGCTCCAAAAACATTAACCTGGTCATTCTTTAGCTGAAATTGCAGCATCTGAAACCTTGACTGGTACAATAAAACACACTAGAAGCATCCTCCATGCATCTCTGACTAATATAGGCCATAGAAGTACTTGAAAAAGAAAACTGCTCCAAAAACCTTAACGTGGGACACCGACGCCGAGGGTATTACATAAGCTCCCCCAACTTCGTTGAAGTGAGCTAAAAAGGAGTGAAGGGTTTTAACAAGATCATTGTTTGGGTGTCAGGATACTACTGTTTTACAATGCAGCCATTTTCATTTCTTCCTTATGCATGAAAATACATGTATATTGAGGTCAAGCCTGATGTATTTAACCAAACTTGATTACAAGAAAACATACTGAAAATCGAGACAGTGAATCTCACATTGATTTGAGCTTTTGTATTGAACAGTATCAGTATTTGGGATCATTTCAGTCCTACCACTTCCCTTCTCTGTGCTCTGACCCATGGGCCAAGGGGCCATAAATTTCAAAATCTGATAGAAGGATAAGTACTTACACGTATTATAATCAGGGGAACAGTTTGGCTGCTAAATGTTCATGAGCCATGAAGATTAAATTATAAGACATAATACATTTTCAAAATATGACTAATTTAGGAAAACCTCACCCTGGAGCCTGGCCCTCAACTCAAGGGCCATGAATTTCACAATTTTGGTGGTGCAAGGTCATGATTTTAATATTTATCCACATTGTGAAGAATATCTTGAAAAATGGGTTCCCAGTTTTGATTGGCTTCCTTCTTGACTGATGATATGAAACACTTGAAAAATTTCAAATAAGATCACCACAAAAAGGTGCATTGACATTGAAAGCCACATGTACAAGTGAGGATCTGTATCATAAAATAAAACTTGCATGTTAATGTATTTATGCCTTGGAATAAAAAAAGAAGTACCGTATATACTCGCCTATAAGTCGGTCCGCCTATAAGTCGGTTGTATTTTTTGAGGTTATTTGGAGGGATTTGCCATTGATCCGCTTATAAGTCGGTACAACTTTTTGCAAGAATCAGTTGACAATTTCAAATCAATGCTGTAATGTTTTAACCTGGTTTTGATTAATATTTTTAGAAATGACGCCGATATTTAATTTTGAATCATAAGAAAAATATATAATGCACACTTAAAGAAAAAAATACAATTATTAAAATATGTAAATACTCGTATTTATATATAATCTTAGAATACATATTAAATGATGTAATATATCCAGACTTACTTCAGCGAAAATCATTGGAAATGTTTATAAAATGCTACATTTCGTCGTCTAGAAAAATACTAATCTTTTTATGACTCGCCTATAAGTCGGACATAGTGTTTGGACCAAATTTTAACTCCCAAAAAAACCGACTTATAGGCGAGTATATACGGTATGCAGACCTTTGTCCTAAAGCAAAGAATCCCAAAGACTGCTTCCTCAAACACTGAGTATTCATATTCAAGCAACATCTCACCAGCATGCTGCCCAACAGCATTAGCTGGAATGTCCTCTGTACTGTACAAATCCATATCGCATGGCATATTCAGCTTCTCCTGGAGATAAAAGTAGTTAATATAATGCTTCATACAGTCAAATTTCAATATCTGTAATGTGCAATTGTCAAATAAAAGGCCAATGAGTGTTGGCAGTCAACAGAGCACCACTTCATTTGTTAAACATAATCCAAACATGTAACCTTTATGTCACATGCAAGCTTTTCCATTTTTAATGAGACTGAGAAGTCAAAAGTTAAAAACATGTCTATATTAATGGCAAGGTTACACAAAATAGACACACAAAATCATGGATCCAGATACAGGCCACTTGTACATACGTTATATGCAAATAGATAAAAAGTTTAAAATGTAACAATGCTAAATCTTCTCAAGTATTGTTTAATCACAATTTCTTTTTGGATATTTCACTACATGTATTTGTTTCATTTGATTATTTTTCAGGTTCACTTTTGAATTGTTTTTATTTAACATCAAATGCATAGATATGTAAGAAGTATATCAATTAAAAAAATTATTTCTGAAAAATCAAAAACTTTCCAAATACTAGAAAAGACAGTGATATCATTGCCAGATATGATTGTGAATTTTGCTTCATGTAATAACATACCTCTATGACTGTGATGACTCCAAGAGTTAAGGGAAATTGTTCATAAGAAACAATACGAAGCTCTGGGATACTTGTTGTGGGAACTCCTCCCAGAACTTGATTTCTCTTGTTAGATTTCCCAGGTCTGTCAATACGAATTAACACTATGATGTGTGTGATGTACTGTTAAGTATGTATTTTTGTAGTACAATATACATGCATACTTTTCTTATGTCTTTGCTGTTAAAACAAAGATTTGTTACAAAACTTTATACAAGTGGGGAAAAAACTATAATCTTGATCCGACATTTTTTAATAAGTTACTGCATAAAAACTCTTAGATGTGTAGGGAGTTACTATCTACATGTACCATAAAACTTTTTTTTAATATTTGGTAACTTTTAACCATGCTCCATAGCGCAAGTTATGGCCCCGCTTACGGGATCGCCGATCTGTGCAGATTTATCACTGTATGGTAACCCAACAACAACCGCCAATATAAACATTATGCTTTTCAAATCAAATCAGTTCCCGTTCTCAGAAAATTCATGTTGATGATGCTGGGTTAAACTTTTCAAATATCAGAAATTTAGTTTTTCTCACGTCAGACAAGCTTTTAAGGAAAGCTAATACCTTTATGAGAGTGCACGTAACCTGTACACACAGGCCACATGCAACACACAATCAAGATAGTGACAACCTCTATTTATAGAAAGATGGAAAACTTCACTGCCTCACTAGTGTGCGTAGTAATACACATTTGTAAGTATGTCAAGCAGCCGACCTTGTTAGGTAAATGTTGCGATGTTTAACATGTTAAATTAAAATTAAAAAAAAAAATAAAAGGAAAAATAATCGAAGATTACAATAAATGAAGTGATAGTATTACAAATTGTAAGTTAAAAATATCGAACAAAATAATCTGGAGAATGTTGTTCCAATGAAAATAAATGTGCGAAATGTAATGCAATATCCTGAAACTATGAGGTAACACAGTGTTATACAGAGGTGAACAAAAACCTGCTTTTGTTTCAATATACACTTATTGACTAGGTTCGAGGGCACCATGCGTTTTGTCGGACCCAAGAACCAAACTGTTTGCCTGAGGCCATTAGTTTGGTTCGGGGGTCAACAAGATGCAGTCAATAAATGTTTTGTTATACCTTTTATTTTATTTGCATACATGTATCATGTACTTGTCACCATAATGTAAATTTCCTTTACCTGCACTGCGGTTAAACTCGGTCCCGCCCACAGTGTGACGTAGTGGTAGAATATCTCATCGACAGGTCCAATATCTCAATCAGAGGTCAAACATCGATTTTCAATGGACCACTTAATGATACATTGGAAATATCAGCCTTTTTGAAGTATAGATTTATATAGGATACAATTTTTATAACAGTTATTTCAGGTATGTTTCATGTAAAATGGTACTGGTCACTGCTCTATAAATGAGCCTGGCTCTCTGTACTTCTGAGTACTTTGATTTTAGTTTTAATGACCTGGTTTAAGCTGCAATTCACATTTTTCTACATGCACCAACTGGCAGTTTCTTAGTTCTAAGTCTCAAATCTACATGAACCCAAAATGACTATTAAGTCAATAAAAATGAAAATAATACCTGTCAAATAAAGAAAAATATCCAATTATCATGATGAAAAAATTAGGTGCATATCTTTATATGATGAATAATAGTTGTACGAACAGAAGGACAGACAGACAGACAGACATGCTGATTCCAATATACCCCCCAAACTTCTTTTGTGTGGGTATAACAAGTGATATAAAACATGAGCTTACTGTGGTGAAAGCATAAAAATAGTGATGAACTGTGACAGCAGAGTTGTAAAATCTGATTTATTCCACCCCTTATTGTCAGATCCATTTTCAAGGAAGTGCAGATAAGTCTTCAGGAAGTCATATGTATGGTAATAACATGTCTGCAATTGAAATCTGAAATCAAAAAAAGATTATCTTTTTAAAATTTCATCATTCCGTTCAATTAAATCACTGGTTTAACCAACTCTAAGACAAAAAGTCTACTGGTCTCAGTGCATTAAATTTTTTTTCATTGTGACTCTAAAGAAAATATCTAGGAATGGTGCTTTAGGATATGCACATCTCACAGTACAGTTGCACAAACAGTCTATAGACACTAAACATTCCTCCACAGATCTCAATGTAGATCAGCAATTCAACAAAATCATCATCATAAAATGGTCACTACACATAATAGAGTTTTTATTTTTATGCTTGTCAAAATTCCTGACGGCTGTGGTGCCCCACCTCCCTCCACCTCAGAGATTCCTTTCTATAGGCCAGGTTGTCTGTGCAGATCAGCATCACATGATGACACTGCAACATGTTCTTTAGCTGTCCTATTACACACCTAGCTATATGCTGTTAGTGATATATTCTGATTCAAACAAGCATACACTCATCAACTAATGATAAAAAATAACACACATTTAATTATTATTTTTTTCAAAGAGGTAGTCTCATAACAGTAAAGGCATGTGCAAACAGAGTAATGTGCATTAGCATGTTAGGAAAACTTGTTTGCATTCACCGTTGCAGTCATGAGACTTATACATCTTTTAATATTAATTAGAATAATAATTCAATGCTTTATATTTACATTTAATAACTCACTGCTATATCCGCAAATGTGATTTATTATAATTCCAAATCCCTGCATTATCCTTCAGTTAAGTTACAATTATATGAGAGAGGCATTTGAACAGTGCTACTTATACCCTTACGCTCGTCAATGTGAGCATGAATTTTAATTTTCACTTGTGAAATGTTGCTCTTGCAAGACATTCAGCGTTTGTGACATCAAAATAAAATTTATCACTTAACGTTAACCTTTGACCTCCCTGTCCATGTTATGGTGAATGCCGAAGCTTTCCACTCATTTCATAGGCAAAATATGTGTAGAATGTAAATTTAATATAATTTCCATGGATAAAAGTCTTCCATCATTGCCATACTCAGAATATAGTGAATTTTACACCATCACTGGTTCAATTTACCATGTTTATGCCACAGGAAAGGAGAAAATGTATGGCTGGACCGGGAATCAAACCCGGGACCCCTGCATCACTAGTCAAGTGCTCTACCGACTGAGCTACCCAGGCCGATATCCATGGCCCAAACCACTACATTCCTCCCTCCTTAAATTATCTTCGCCTTGGAAGACACAACCCAAGGTCTTATTTGCCCCTGGCAGGACTTTAACCTGCAAGTCCAGGGGTGGTCAACGGCACCAAATCTATAACAGTAAAGGAGAAAATGTATGGCTGGACTGGGAATCGAACCCGGGACCCCTCAGGTGCTCTACTGACTGAGCTACCCAGGCCGATATCCACAGCTCAAACTATTACATTTACAATGTAAGCTACCTTGATAAACCACTTTCTTTGGGAACTAATTCTCCTGTATAGCCATCGTCATCTTGATGTTCAGCGTCAATTGTCACTCTCCTTTCCCACAATGTTCTTCTGGCAGCTGACATCTCCTTTTTTACTGTTCCTTTAAAAAAATCTGGTTTATTTTCATCAATACTGAATGACACATTAACACAATTTTTCGTTAAGTCGATTAGCGTGTCCAGAAGATGTTTTGATTCATCTTTAAATGGAAGTGTTAACTTAGCAGGTGTTCCACTTACAAATTTGAGACCACTGCTGGACAACATAATTTTAAATTCGTCCAGTGGTGTTGGTTCCTCGTTATAAAACAGACCTAAGTGTTCCGCGGTATTCTTAGTCCAGTGAGAAACCATATCCATGATACATTGTTTGTTCTTTCTTTTTGTTTGATAACCATGACACGATGTGTACAAGTTTGAATCAGAATCTGATGAGCTTTTATCACAAGTGTAAATACCCGCCATCTTCCCGAATGTAAACAATTCTTACAGGCGGTATCCCAAAATTTTCGTTACATACAGTTTTCGATCTGGGCATATTTTTAAAAATCAGATGCTTCCATATATTCAAAATTTGACTAATCACGGCTGTATAGATAATGGTCTTGAAAAGCTTTTTAAAATATTTTTTTTCAGTATATTCTTATATAAAATTCTGATTGCCTACTGTGGCACCACTCGACCCAAGAGGGGGGGGGGGGTCAAGATTTAAACAAACTTCTTCATGAGGCTTAAGTTTTCTTGAGAAGTTTTTCCCAAAAAAAAAAAAAAAATTCCTATACATTCCTATGAAAAACTCTGATCCCCTACTGTGGCCCAACTCTACCCCCGGGGGTCATGATTTGAACAAACTTGTATCTACACCAACTGAGGATGATTCCACATTGATATGAATAATCATGGTTTCACTGTTCTTGAGAAAAATAATTCCTATATACATGTATTCCTATGTAAAAGTTTGATCGTCTATTGTGGCCCCACCTACCCTGGGAGTCACGATTTGAGGAAACTTGATTCTACACTATGTCAAGTGTCAGAAGCTTTCATAAAAGTTTCATCTTTTCGGGCCCTGGTGCAGTGCTTCTTGAGAAAAAGATTTTCAAAAGTGTAACAGGAAAGGAGAAAATGTATGACTGGACCGGGAATCGAACCCAGGACCCCTGTATCACTAGTCAGGTGCTCTATACCGACTAAGCTACCCAGGCCGAAATCCACGACCCAAACCATTACATTCTTCCCTCCTTATATTGTCTTCGCCCTCGAAGACACAACCCAAGTTCTTTTTTGCCCCTGGCAGGACTTTAACCTGCAAGTTCAGGGGTGGTCAACGGCACCAAATCTGTAACAGGATTTCAAGTAGAAAATGTATAACTGGACCGGGAATCGAACCTGGGACTCCTGCATCACTAGTCAGGTGCTCTACCGACTGATCGAGCTACCCAGGCCGATATGATCCACGGCCCAAGCCATTACAAAAGCATACCAATAGATTTTCACTAAATCTTTTTTTATCTCCCCTTGAAAAAGGCGTAATTCTTCAGTTGAAGAAACGTGACCCCCTTCACCCAAGGTTGCTTTGTGGCAAGTTTAGTTGAAATTGGCCTGACGGACGCCAACAATTACGAGGCTCACTTGAGATTGCCATACACTTGTCACCAAATCTTGGAGAGGCTTTGATGGGAATCGGAGAAAAAATTAAAATTAAAAGAAAAAAAGATTTAAAAAAAAAAAAAAAAAAGAGGGATGGTTTCAGCTGGGAATGGAGATTCGGGTGGTTATTAAGTATTATTTGTTTTATTGCAAAAATCTACAGTCATATTTTTTCTTTCTTTTTTTTTTTTTTTTTTTTTTAAAAAAACTAGAACAAAAGCACGCACACGAAATAAATTCCTTGTTTTGTTTGTTTGTTTTTTCTGAGAAGCACATTCCCCCTTACAACATATTTGCTATGTCCCCCTTTTTTGTGTATGAAACTGATTTTTTTTTTTGTTTTGCTTGACACCAAGATAATGGCAGCAAAATTTCATTTCTATTATGAATTCCGTCGAGGAGTATGCTAGACAATGGACTTCATATGAAGGGGAATACCTCGACACTATGAAGTTATAAAAATGTATTAAAGAATCGCAATGGAAAAGTAAAGGGCAAAATGCGAACTATCTATCCTTCCGTTTCCAGTATACCGGAGGTAAAGACTACATGGAGTATGTCATGATTCCACTTGACAAAGCTTGTAAAATAGTTTTGTTTGTAAGGCTCATTATACAACTGTATTTTAAAAGAACGTGGTGTTTTTTATGCCCCCGTATCAAAGATTAGTTTTTGTCCTGTCCGTCCGTCTGTCTGTTTGTCCGCAAAAACTTTAACATTGCCCATAACTTTTGATTAGTTGGAGCTATGGCTTTCATATTTCACACGTGTATTCCTTGTAATATGTCCTTTCTTTGGGTACCATCATATTTAAAATTTTGACCTTGACCTTGGAGTTTGACCCAGTTTTGCAAAATTCTACCGAACTTTAACACTGCCCATAACTTTTGAACAATTGATGCTAGGGCTTTCATACTTCACATGTGTAATCATTGCGACAAGACCTACCTTTGGATACCAAAAGCTTTGACCCTTTGACCTTGACCTAGGAGTTTGACCTACTTTTGAAAAACTTTAACCTTGGCCATAACTTTTGAACGGTTGGTGCTTTGGCTTTCATACTTCAAATATATAATCTTTGTGACATGATCTTCCTTTGAATACTAACAACTTTGATCCTTTGACCTTGACCTAGGAGTTTGACCTACTTTTGAAAAACTTTTACCTTGGCCATAACTTTTGAACGGTTGGTGCTAGGGCTTTCAAACGTCACATAAGTAATCTATACGACAAGACCTTCCTCTGGATACCAATAACTTTGATCCTTTGACCTTGACCTAGGATTTTGACCTACGTTTGAAAAACTTTAACCTTGGCCATAATTTTAGAAAGGTTGGTGCTAGGGCTTTCATATTTCACATGTGTATTTTTGTGAGAAGGCCTTTCCTTGGGCATCATTAATTCTAAACATTTGACCTTGACCTTGATGTTTGACTTACTTTTGAAAAACTTTAACCTTTTCCATATCTATTCAATCGTTGCTGCTAGGGCTATATATTTCAAAATTTCACAGGTATATTCATTGAGACAAGACCATACTTTGGGTACCAACATATTTGATTTGAATTAATTGAGAAAGTTTAACCTTTGCTATAAGTTGCCATACGAGGGCATCAGTGTTTCATATACACATCTTGTTAATCTATATCTGATAATCAATCATAAAGTTTCCTTCCAAAACATGAAATTCCCCAAAATCACGTTTCAGTTTAAAATACTTTCCATATTCAAGCCAATGGAAGTGATTTTGATTTACCATACCTATGCTGGATTATAAAACCAGTGGTGGATCCAGGATTCTTGAAAAGGGGGTCCCGCGACCAGTTGCGGATCGGGTGGGGGCCCAGGGGGCATACCAAAAATTAATTTATTAAATCTGATGTATATTTTTTGACACAAAAGTGGGGGGGGGGTAGCCCCCTACCCCCTCTAAATCCTCCAGTGAAAATTTACAAGAAAAATCCTTACAAACATATACATGTATTACAGAGTACAGTATTTGTTTAACCAAGCCTTTATCCTCCCAACCAATTATTCAAATCATTAACTGTTGTGAAGGAGAAACTTAAAAGGTGCTGTGCTACAACATATTCAGAAGTGGTTGAAATCAAATGTTGATTCTCAAAAAATCTTATAAACTTTTGGAAAATTTACATTTCAAAACTTTTCAAAAATCAAAAGCATCAAAATATATTACTTTTCAGCGCTTTATACAACCATTCCTCGCTGAAAATTTAAGAGCAGAACCCAGGATGCAGTTAAGCATCTAGTTCAAGATGACTTTCTTTTCAAATTAATTTATGAACAATAGTTAAAGAATTTTAGAGTTAAGAAAGAGAGTGATCTTTTCATCTGTAGAAGACTTACTGGAAAGTTTTTTCCATCAAGAAACACCATAGATGAACCATTTAGCATACAATATTTGATTTTGCATACCTATATGATTAAACAGATTTACACCTGCCCCTGACTTGGTGCAGATATGTTTACAGGTATATTTTCATGTCTCTGTTATCGAAGATTCGGGAGCATATAGTATTTTGGTCTGTTCGTCTGTCTATCTGTTCGTTAATCTGAGCTGTTTGTCTGTTAATCTGTTTGCCTGTCTATCCACAAGAACTTTAACTTTGACCATAACTTTTGAATAGTTGGTATTAGAATAGTTAGAATTCAAAAATTAAGTTGGCTAATAAATGGACATTTAAAATTTAATTAGTATCCATGGTAATTTTAACAGATTGTATTCTGACACGTCATTCTAAGACGAAAGTGTGTGTGGGAGGGGGCTCTTTGTTTTGACTTTGTGTTGTCATTGTCCGTGTTGTCAATAACTAGTAAATTATTTACAACACCAGTCAGACTTACAATAATTGCACTTTTGCAAGGTTTGTATTGAATGAAGTATCAATCAAGTGAAACGAAAAACATGCCTCTTAGTGCCCAGCATATCGTTCTCGATCGCTTCTTATTGATGACTACACACATGGAACATTAATTAAATTTCTGAATTAATATACTTAGATTAAATCTGTTTCTTTTATTTATTGACAAAAGGATATATACACAAAAGCAGATTTGAGACACACTATGCTAGGGAACAATACAATGCGGCATTTCATGCACATACATCGACTCTCGAATGAATATTAAACACAGGCGCAATAAGTATACATTCCAACTTAAGGAGGCTGGGGGGTCAACAAATTAACCATCAGATATAACTTAATTTTTTAGATATGATATCTTAAGCTGTCAACTATCATTTGGCAAACAAAAATTTCATACATTTTAAAATTTGATCATTTTTGTATATCTTTATATGGAGCTCTTCTTCTAAAGGAGATCAATATAGCCTGAAAATGGCCACAACCACCCAGCCCTCTTAAGCTTTAGTTCCAAGAATGGTTCCAGGAATATGAAAGTTGGAGGAATCTCGGAATAACGTCAATGTTGCTTCCGTACAGTAAGTCGTGATTCTGAACTTTAAAAGGAGTTCTGAAGCGTGCAATCCATGTACTGCTTCCTCGTAAATATGAGAATATCAAATTTCACCATTGAAACAAAGGCTTAAATAACAGATAAATTTATAATGACCTTGAACCAAATGCCGTTTGATTTGGGTTCAGAGGATTATTTTAGCATGAATATTAGTTCCGTATTAGTAGAAAATCTGGAGAACTCTATTTCGGTTTTAAAAAAAATTCTTAAATTTTCTCTTTCCATGCTTACAGTACACTGTCGGAGCTAGGAATATATTGCTGTATACATGTATAAAGAGACAATATAAACATACAGTATGATGTAAATAGGAGGAGGGGGTCTTAAGTTGACCGACCCCAAAACCTTTTTACGATGCACTCATTTTAGCTGCTATTATATAATCATTCATAATCAACAGTCTTGTATCATATTGTAAATTTTGAATTTACTAGCTGTAGGTGGAGGTAAATGCAAAATTTACAACACAATAACTAGTTATCATTTTGTGATTTAGCATTTACCTCCACCTAGTAAATTCAAAATTTACATGATACTTGAATGTATTTTAGATGCTTTTTCAAGTTAAATATTAATTTTAATCTGTGACAGAAAATTATATATCAACATTTTATAAAAGGCCTTACTACTTTAGTATCAACTTTAAGATATTTTGCATAACTGTGAGGTAAATCAGAGTTTGAAATAAAGATTTACAAAGTCTTTGCATTTTCTTGGAGCGGTCTCCTTGCGATAAATACTGTTTCTTATTCATACTAACGAGATTCGCTTTCCAAAAATATGATTATACAATTAAAGAATCCCAACAATCTGGTGTCCTACAATGGTAACCACACATCTTTATATTTATATGAAAAATATGGATGATTTGGATAAGGGATCGATAATTACGATGTGTTGAAAAATAATTTGATATGCAGATATTTTTTTTGCAAATAGCGTGCATATATACATTGCACATTACAGTCATTCAATTAAGAATTTTTTATGTCGCTTACAAATTTACCGTTGTAATATTTTAACTATTAATTTAAAGATCGATTTCAACTCTAAGACTTAACATACACACGTGGTTTTATAAATATTGACCGATATGTATGCAGTTAAAGTTTTGATATGAACATAATGTACTGTTGAAAAATGTATTCCACTGCAAATCTTAATGTCGCTTCATTTATTTACAAAAATCAAGATGAAACTTTCAGCCTTAAAATCGTTCCGAATAGATTGCAATGAATGTTTTAAAAAGTTTTTTATCCTTTATAAAAAGAAATCAAACCACTTCTCGCACAGAAATGCATGGATCTTCTTTTATGCAAAATCATAACATGTCGCTAAAAATCGATTAACTTCCGTAACGATTTTGTTTTAAATTTCATGCACAGAATGCAGATTTCAAAAAGAACAAGAACTTGTCTGAAAGTGACCATGGAACCTAATATCGTCGATTTTAGTTGCGACTCAGCTACTTTAGACAATTACATTTTCGACAAAATGAATTAGACAAAAAACAGTTGTCTCTCTTAAAAAATTAACTTCCGTAACGGTAAATCATGAAAGTTTTTGCATTAAAGGTAAAAAAATTTTCATTATTTTGGGAGCGAAATGCTTCATACTTTTGTTTTATATCCTAAAACAAACTTTAATTTTAACTATTGCCGAGAATTTTAACTTTTATTGCTGGGAAATAACTTCCGTAACAATATTTTTCACTGATATGTCCTTTAGTGAATTATGATATTCATTTTGCTATTTGAAACACTTATTTTTTTCATGTTTTATACCTAGAATTGGTTCATTTATCGTAGAATGACTGATTAGCTTTTATTTTATCTAGGAGACCAATAGAGAACATGTATTTTCTTTGGAATAATTTGTTCTGGACGCATCTTTGAAATCTTAAGAATTATTGTTCGTGATTTGATTTTTTTTTCATTTTTAGCCATTGCAGTGACTATAAGTGATTTTGTAATTTATAAACTCTATAGCTTTTCTCTATTGGGGCTGCTTTTCCTTTTGGGTTATAAAGGGAGTCGCATGTTAGATCTTTTGCTGGGAATGTCCAGTACCCATGCATGCTCGATGAGTACAGTGTGACAGTGAGTTCTACTGTTTCATTTTGGTACATACACAGAGCTTAGGGATCCGCAAGTTAACTTTCTACCCGGAAAGTGTGGTATTGGATCAAAACTGCCCCGGAAGACCCCCTACTCTTAGTGTCCACATCTCAGCTCCAGGGATTTTTCATTTGTTTTGCTTTATAACTTATTTTTCTTTAACACATTTAATATGCTCAATATGATAATTAAACAAGTAAAAAATAATGGTGATATAATGGTAACGTATATTAATGTTTTGTAAAAAAAAAAAAAAAATACTCGCGGTATTTAAAGTTTTAGAGTAATGTAAGGAAATGATTTCTTCCATTGCTAATATCTAGCTATAGTGAGTTTTGATGTGTATATTTATGAATCAGATGAAATTTTAAATTTTATATTTTCCGTATTTAAGTTTTCATAATATTATTGAATCAAGGCAAAATTTTTACAATTAATACAATAAATCAATAAAAAGGAAAAAAAAAAAGATCTGGCACGGATTCAGACGAGGCCAACTCTCAAGTTCTCATTTAGTTCTCATGTCGATGTAATAATTGTATAACTATTGTTATTTTTTAGTCAAAGTAAGGTTTTCTACTCGATGATTCTCAGAAGATTACGGGAGAATTCGCCCTTACAGTTCCCACTGGAACCGCAGGGGATATGAGCGGTTCCCAGAATCTTTGCCTTTTAATAGCGGTCCATTGAGCAGAATTCTAGACCCACACCTGAAGAAACTAAACCAAATCTTAGGCCGAAAAGAATGGAACTAACAAAACAACATACACACACACAAATACTGCCATATTCCAAAAGAACAACATAAAAATATATCTTATTTTTCATCGTTCTGAAATGGTGTTTAAGTTCGTCGATCATGTGTTTTATTCCCTCGCATATACTTTTTGGTCTGTCCGTCTGTCTGTTAATCTGTTTGTCCGCAAAAACTTTAACCTTGCCTATAACTTTCTAATGGTTGGGCCAGGGCTTTCATTTTTCACGTGTGTATTCCATGTTACAAAACCTTTCTTTGGGTACCAACATATTTGACGTCTTGACCTTGACCTTGGAGTTTGATCTACTTTTGTAAAATCAAACTCTAACCTTGGTCATAACTTTTGAACGGTTAAAGCTAGAGCTTTTATATTTCACATGTGCATGATGTGTGTTCTATGTGTCCAGACTTTTTTGGGTACCAACATTTTTAACCTTTCGACCTTGGCCTTTGAGTTTGGTCTCTTTTTGAAAAACTTTAACCTTGGCCATAACTTTTGAACGGTGGGTGCTAGGACTTTCATATATTACTTGTGTATTCCTTGTGACAAAACCTTTCTTTGGATACCAACATTTTTTTTACCCCATTACCTTGACCTTGGACCTACATTTAAAACAAAAATTTAACCTTCAGTTGCCTATAACATTTGAAAGGTTGCTTCTAGGGCTTTTATATTTCACTTTTGCATTTATTGTAACATGACTTTCCTTTGGTACCATTATTTTTTACCTCATGACATTGACCTTTGGATATGACCTACTTTTTAAAAAAAAAAAAAAATCAACCTTAGCAACATTTTCTTAATGGTTGGTACTAGGGCTATAATATTTCACATGTGTATTCCTTGACAAGACCTTTCTTTAGGTATCAACAATTTTAACTTTTAACCTTGAATTTGACCTAGCTACATTTGAAAAACTTTAACCTTGGCCTTGAGCTGCCATACGGGAGGGGGCATCAGTGTTTCACAAACACATCTTGTTTTTCTTCCCTGAAATAGTCATAGATTTCACCAATACCTATCTCATTTCGTACAGGATGTACTAGTTTATATAGGTTTTTGCGATATTTTTAAACAGAATAAATCATACTACGAACAACTATTTTTGTCAGGAAGCTTTATAAACTTAACCGCAATGTTTTGGAGAAATATGTGTTTAACATACCTAAATATGTGATGCTTTATTGAAAATGTTTTAAAGTTTAGGACGCAAGTTCTATAGAGAGACATTTTTTTGTTTACAGCTTAAAGTTATTCAAAACCCAACTAAACTCAACCCTCAGGGATTGTTTTGAACATCTATTGTGTAATACATACAAAAGGATTGGATGCAAGATTCTGAACTTAGTGAATCATGTATTTGCGAAATCCTTTTTGTAGTGATTTAGACAGACAACGTAAACAAAATTCTCCAAGCCTGAAGTAAACAAGAATCTGCTCTTATCTTTGGATTGAAAAAAAAACCCAAAAGATCCTGGAAAATATTTTGAAGACGAACGATGTATTCGACTGATTAAAGAAAGAAAAACTGAAAAAAACTTATTGATTACTGCTATTACATACAATTCCTACGTTTGATTGATCTGTTTTTACAGAATCCCATCTTTTTCTTGCGAAATTTCCTTTATTTTTTTTACGTCAATTTGATGAACTGATGCGTCATGGATGCGGAGGCGATACAAAATGCAGCAGAGCAATAAGAACGCACGGATTTAACCTAAAGAATTTGAAGATAGATAACGCCAGAATGAAAGTAACGTGTAATTCGTTCAAAAATTGTGATTACCATTTTTTAAAAAAGTTTTTAACAAAAATTTGAGGAATTTTTGAATTACCAATTCCGATGTGTATTATAATCAAAGTTCTATCGGTCATAGGAATATAAGGAATGGATCAAACCATTCAGTGTTTGGTGATGGTAGTAATGGTGATAACAGCTCAGGGAATGGTAAGAAATCTATAACATTGATGCATGTTTTCAACCAAAAGAACCCCAGCTCCTAGTGTTATTCTGCCTGATACTTTCTCTCTATTGAGAAGAATCTTTCTCATATATTCTTTACAGTCAAATGACTACTTGAAACTCAGTTACTATAAATGACAACAGTTTTGCCTGAAATTTTACATCTTGGAAGGAAGTGCCTTTTTAAAATACGGAATATTTACTATCTTCATAGAGATCTACTTTCTTGCTCAAAATTTCCATCTGTCTGTAAAAAAAAAAACTTGGGCACAGTCTAGGAATTGTAAAATGCAAAACAAGTCCCTTTAAAACTGATTCAAACACTTCACAAAAATACTTTAATTTTACTTTTGACATTTGATTCCACCTTTGTTTTCAGAGGTCCGTGTTGGCTCTGTTTGCTCGTGAATTGTATATTGTTTTATATGAACTTTTGAAAATGAGAACTGTTATCTTTACATTTCATCTGTAATCAGAGATGTTTTCGTAAAGAAGAATTTGTGTCATCCAAGGATGTCTGATTGAATCTCTCTCTCTCTCTCTCTAATTTATCTCGATTGTAATGTCAGTGGTTGTAGAGAAGTATGTTTTCTGAGTGCCATCTATTTATATCAACATTTTAGGCGGGGTCACGGAACTATTTATAAGAGATGCTTTTTTCCGGAAAATGACACATAAGGCCATGCACTTGGAATTTATTTTTTATTTTTGTTACATTTTGTTTTACTTCCAGGGAACACTTCCGACGCCACATTTTTATGTAGACAGAGAGAATGGCGAGACGGGGCGATAGTAAGTACCATCGCATCAGTTCTCGGAAGGATATTTTAATATATTGCAGTACAGAGAAAATTTCCTAACATCCTTTGAAACTTTTAACATGATCCCAATAAGTCATTGTTCCAAGAATGGGGTATTACTATATGGTAATTAATTATATTTTATTTCCAGTTACGTCACATTACCATCTACCGGGAACAAATATCTCTGCTACTATGACAAAGCAAGTTCTCTACACATAAAGAATGCATTCTCTGAACCATGTTACGAGCAAAATAAAGAGATATTGACTGATACCGAGAATACGACCAAAACTTATCCTTACTTTTTCTCCAAAGTTGGAGAGCCACCAGGTATTTTTCAGAAATTCTTTCAAACTATACATGATTGCTCTCTCTCTCTCTCTCTCTCTCTGTGTGTGTGTGTGATTACTTCTTTAAAAAAATCAGGTATACATTGGTCAGTGTCCTTCTTTGACCATCTGTATGCTTGCAAGCATTTTCTCAGAATCCGACTCCTCCTTCAGTTTAATTTGGCCATATTAATTAAATTTTGTACAAGTTTACTGCATTAGATAAATATTCAGTTTAATAATTTTTTTTTTATTTTGATGAAAGGATTTAAAAAAAAAAAAAAAAAAAAAAAAAAATCATTTTTACAAGTTCTCTTCTGTTTAATTAGAAGGAAAAAATTTTCCCATTCTGAAAAGGAAAAAAAAAACAGAACCCAAAAAACTCCACCCAATAATAAAAAAATCAACAGAAAAAGATCAAAGTACTTCCTTAAATCATATGATTCTGATTTCAACTGGGGTTTCTGATCAAATTTGATGCTCAGCCGTCTGTCTATCTGTCTGTCCGTCCTTCTGCTAACTTTTCATCTTTTCTTTATCGGAACTACTGAGCAAATTTCAACAAATCCTAGACACAAAAGATTATTTGATGAAGGGAATTTATATTTGATTTATGTTTGTTCATATTAATGCTCCTTTTCGTCAAAGGGAAGATAATTTAGAAATTACTAAAGCAGCTTGGTAAGGAACCACTGGGATAGAAAAGACAAAACTTGTAGAAAGCTTCCTAATATATACTATAGATTCAAATTTCTTCAAATCACGACCCCTTGGAGGTAGGGGTCATAACAGGGGCTCAAATATTTACAAAGGAATATACAAAAAACTTGTAAGAATAGAAGAGCTGTAATGTTACATTATTGTATACACTTATAAACATCTTTATGAGAGAATTTAAGTTTCCATAATCATAATTCCAGGCCTTGGGTGGAACTTCAGTAGGGGTTAAAGATTAATGTGCGAATATAATGGGAATATGGAGCCACAGTAGGGGTGAAAGTTTGATAAACGAATATATACATGTATGGAAATATTTTCAGGATTTTTTTTCCAAAGGGGGGGGGGGGGTCCATCCCAGTCAAAACATTTCCAACCAAGAAATTTCTTGACAAGCAAAAAAAAAAAAAAAAAAAACAAAAACAAAAACAAAAAAACAAAAACAAAAAACAAAAACGTAAAATCCATTTCCTATACGTGAAAAAAACCTACCTCGTGGTGGTGGTGGTGGGGTTTCCAAGTTTTCGGGAGGGGGGGTCTAAAGTCATTTTTTATTTGCTTCAGTATATACTTTTAATAACTCTGCAAACAGAAGGGGGGGGGGGGTACCCTCTAGATCCGTGCATGATCTTTAAAAATTCTCTTCTTAACATATGGACTAAAGGTAGTCATAAAATATTCTAGAAATTTCAATGAAATGAGAATTCATTTCTTTTTAGTTTTTCCCTAAATCATGACCTTCGGGGCCTCTATAAGAGATCAAAGTAGGACATACAAATGTACAGAGAAAGATCTTTTTAAAGTCCTCAAAAGGTAACCATAATATTACATAGAAAATCCGATGTAGTGAAATTCAAGTCCCATCCCCTCAAAATCGGATCCCAGGCCTCTATAGGGTTATGGTGTATCAGAGTTTGACATTGAAATATATGGAGGAAATCTTGAAAAATCCCGTTTTTAAGAACACAAGGATCATAGATCATATACCAGCAGGATCATATGGCAGCATACATATGTTATGGGGATTCAGATTTATTCAAATCATTGCCCCTTGTGGCTAGGGGGGGGCCACAGTAGGGGGCCTAGGTTTTACTATAGAGAAACACATAGGAAAACAAGATGTGTTTGTGAAACACTGATGCCCCCTAATGGCAGCTTATGGCGAAGGTTAAAGTTTCTCAAATGCAAGTCAAAATCCAGGCCAAAAGATAAAAAATTTTGGTACCCAAAGAAAGGTCTTGTCTCGAGGAATATACCTGTAAAATTTGAAAGCCCTAGTTGCAACTGTTCAAAAGTTATGGCGAAGGTTAAAGTTTTTTAAAAGTAAGTAAAACGTCAAGGTCAAGGTCAAAGTGGTTGGTATCCAAAGGAAGGTGATGTCACAAGAATTACATATGTGAAGTATGAAAGCCCTAGCACCAACCATTCAAAAGTTATGACCAAAGTTAAAGTTTTTCAAAAGTAGGTCAAACTCCTAGGTCAAGGTCAAAAGGTCAAAGTGGTTGGTATCCAAAAAAGGTATTGTCACAAGGATTACATATGTGAAGTATGAAAGCCCTAGCTCCAACCATTCAAAAGTTATGGTCAAGGTTAAAGTTTTTCAAAAGTAGGTCAAACTCCTAGGTCAAGGTCAAAGGGTCAAAGAGGTTGATATTCAAAGGAAGGTCTTGTCACAGGGAATACACATGTGAAGTTTGAAACCCCAAGCACCAACTGTTCAAAAGTTATGGCCAAGGTTAAAGTCTCATAAAATTTTCCAAAAGAGGGTCAAACTCCAAGGTCAAGGTCAAAAGGTCAAATATGATGGTACCCAAAGAAAGGTCTTGTCACAAGGAATACACATTTGAAAAATGAAAGTCACAGCTCCAACCAATCAAAAGTTATGGGCAAGGTTAAAGTTGACAACAGACAAACAGACAGACAGGACAAAAACAATATACCCCGGGATCTTTCGATCCAGGGGCATAAAAAAGCTTTGAAGAATGAAGAAAAATACCAGTGGGATCAGTTGCAGCTATGGCTTTCATATTTTACATGTTTATTCCTTGGGACAAAACCTTCCTTTGGGTACCAACTTATTTGACCTTTTGATCTTGGAGTTTGACTCACTTTTGCACCATAACTTTTGAACACTTGGTGCTAGGACTCATATTTCTCTCATATTTCATACGTGTTTTCAATATGACAAGACCTTTCCATGGTTGTAAATATTGTTGACCTTTTGACCTTGACCTTAGAGTTTGACCAACTTTTAAAAAACGTTGACTTTGGCCATAACTTTTGAACAGTTAGTACTAGGACTTTTGAATTTCACAGGTATATTCATTGTGACAAGACCTTCTTTGGGATACCAACAATTTTGACCATTTGACCTTGAAATTTGACCTACTTTTGAAAAACTTTAATCTTTGCCATAACTTTTGAACATTTGGTGCCAGGTCATTTATATTTTGCATGTGCATATCTTATGACAATGTCATTACCTGCATACCATTAATTTCGACCCCTTGACCTTGGAGTTTGACCCATGTTTAGAAAACAATAATCAAAACATTAACCTAGACCATAACATTTAAATGATTATTGCTTGGGCTTTCATATTTACCAGGTATATCCATTGACACAGGTCCTTTCTCTGGGTAACAACATCTTTAATTTCTTGACCTTGACATTGGAGTTTGACTTGCACTTGAGAAACTTTAACTTCGCCATAAGCTGCCTCTTGTTTTAAAGATAAACGAACAAAGAAATTCGGAGGTATGAATTTTTTTTATTCCATTTAATATACCGATCTGTTGATTGATAGGATGTGGTTCCCTACCAAATGTCACTGGTGCGAAAGACGAGTGGGCGTGTCCAAGGGGCGTGTCTCCGTTATCAGTTCCAGTGTATGAGTCCTGTCATCTGCAGTGTTTCGATGGTGCCAGCATTAAAGTCAGATGTACCGAGAAACTGAAGTTCGACGGCTTGACTTCTCATATGTGCCGTATAGAAAGTACCAGTTTATACTAGTTGAATGACATTTCTATTACCAACTAATTGAGATTTCACAAATTTATGTTCTTCAAAACTGAATTGTTAAAAAAGAAATTCCAGGCATGAAGTATCACTGGGGCATAGCCCCCTCTTCCAATTTTCCCGAGAATACTCTTGTAGTTAATTTAGTATGGAAATTGAAAGTTTACTTAATTTAGAATGGAAATTGAAAGCTCTTTGTACATCTGAAGTACATCTTTCTTTCTTATAACTTAAATATTTTATTAAACAACATTAAATATTTATAAGTTTAGTTTAAGTCTAAATAACATGGCTGGGTTTTTAAAGGCGATTTAAGACAGTTGTTTCTTGTTTTAGCTCGAACGGACAAAACGATAAAAACATCGTCAATTTTTTTCTCCACTGCTAGTACTGTACCTTCATCAGCAGAAAGTATGTATTTGATTTTTTTTCCTTTTAATCCCCGAAGATTCGGGGGTATACAGTTTTTGCCCTACCCTGTTTGTCTGTCTGTTTGTCCGAAAAAACTTTAACCTTGCCCATAACTTTTGATTGGCTAGACCTATGACTTTTATATTTCACATGTGTATTCCTTGTGACAAGACCTTCTTTTGGGTACAAACATATTTGACCTCTTGACCTTGGAGTTTTACCCACTTTTGCCAAAATTTACCCAACTTTAACCTTCGCCATAACTTTTGAACAGTTGGTGCTAGGGCTTTCATATTTCACATGTACATTCATCGTGACAAGAACTTTCCATGGGATTAAACATTTTTTACCTTTTGACCTTGAACTTATAGTATGACCTACTTTAAAAAAAACTTTAACCTTGGCTATAACAGTTAGTACTAGGGCTTTCAACTTTCACAGGTATATTCCTTGTGACAAGAACTTCGTTTGGATACCAACAGTTTTGACCTTTCGACCTTGACCTTAGAGTTTGACCTACATTTGAAGAACTTTAACTTTCGCCATAACTTTTGAACAGTTGGTGACAAGATCTTCCCCTGCGTACAATTAATTTTGATCCTTTGACCTTGGAGTTTGGTCCACTTTTAAAAAACATTAACATTGGCCATAAATTTTGAATTGCTGGTGCTTGGGCTTTCATATTTACCTGTTATATCCAATGACACAAGTCCTTTCCTTGGATAACAACATTTTTGATCTCTTGACGTTGGAGTTTGACTTGCATTTGAGAAACTTTAACCTTCGCCACAAGCTGCCATACGGGGGCATTAGTGTTTCACACACACCTTTTGTTAATAAAGCATGTTTTTGAAAAAAAAATATTTGACCGGAGAAAATATCTATTATTACTTAAGACTGCATTACATAATTATCTGGTTTTGAAAGGAGAGCTAAGACAGCTTTCTTTGTTTTATCCCGAACTAATAAAAAGATAGAAACATCGAGGAATTCTTTCTCTATTGCAAGCACTTTACCTTCAGCAGCAGGAAGTATGCATTTGGTTTTTGTTCTTTTTGTTAATTAAAGACAGATAACACAAACCAAAAACATGGATGCCTGGATTGATATATATTTTTGGACCCATTTTGGTTATAAAAGATGCAAATTTCAAACTTTTGAAAAACTTTCTATCGTGTTCTAAATTCTACCTCTCTGCAATCATCCTTTGATCTATGCCACTTTATATCACTTTAGTATTGTGACAGTATTGGACAGTATTGTGAAACTTTAAATGAAAAATTAAAATCTAGGCCGTTAAACTTATTCATTTTTCTTATATAAACATTAGTTTTTATTTTCATGTTTTTTTTTCTCAAGTTTATATGTATGTTTTGAAAAAAATATTGAACAGTAGAAAATATTATTAATTTATTAAGACTGAATAACATACGAGTATTTAAGACAGTTTTTCTTTGTTCTACCTCGAACTTATAAAAAGATTGAAACATCGAAGAATTCTTTCTTCAGTGCAAGCACTATACCTTCAGCAGCAGAAAGTATGTATTTGATTACTGTTCTTTATAATTGTAAAATTATAAATTGTGAATAATATGTTTACCCCTGTCTGTAATACCACCCCACTTCAGGTAGGAGATAGAATAAAACAGTTTAAACTGCCTCTAAGTTTATTCTCAGTTTGCCGCGTGGATACCGATTCTAAAGCATGCTATGAATACTTGGCTGCTACGTTTGACTTACATTTCATGCTTCAGTGATTGTGGTTGTGTGCATCATTTGCATTATTTCCAGCTTTAAGTAGTATAAAAACTGGAGCATCTTTTGATGCACTTTTCAAAGCTGGAAATTTAATTCTTTGAGACCCCTAGATATGAAGTTAACAATGTACATGTGGGTTTTAGCTATATTTATACATGTATATCTTCTTTACATTTGTTGTAGTTAATGACTGTGATGACTTAATCGATAGAACTTTTGCATTGTATGCTAAAACAAAACTCTCGAGATCGACTTAGCTAAATTCGACCAAAAACTGAAATGAATAGGTAATAACTATTTCTCCGCCAACGCGTTCATTACAGTTTAAAAACCTACTTTTCCCTGAATGAGATCATAAAAGCAAAGATCTCGTGTCACTAGGCGTTGGTACAGAAAGGTCCTCAGTGCATTGACTCGAGTCCAAGCATAGCATTTGTTTGACACATCATATATACAGGTATAGAGTTATTAATGTTTTGACTGTAAAAAAGAAAAGAAAAATAAATAACCAATATAGTGATATTTTCCTTTGTTTTAGATTTGCCTGGTGAAACATTACCCAACTCACTCATCGCAATTATAGTGTCTTCAGGAATCGGGTTTTTTGTTATCATTTTCCTAATGTTCTTTTTTCTTCGAAGATGCTTGTCCACAAATTATAAACTTTTTCGAAAAAGGCTATTTCAGACCGCAGCAATTGACATCGACCATGTTTCAAATTTTGCTGATACGAATTCTGCTGACGGCAGCACTAATCAGGGAGCTGACTGTCTTATTAATAAGAATACAAGACCTGTGTTGTATGGAAGTGATGAGGTCGGTCAGGTTGAAATCGACAAGTTAACGCCAGAGGATCTAGATTTAGATAACTCAGATACTGCAAATGATCGTTCTTGCATTGTCTTTTACCAAAGAACGAATTCTTCAAGTAATCAACACGATTCTGTTGAAGAGGAAAGTGAAGAATATCTTACTGCCAACAAAGAAACTTGTGCATCAGACTCTTTCAATTATCATCAAGATGGAAGAGAGGAAAGTAAGACTTTGTCCCCAATCTCTCCATTTGCAATATCAAATAAACACTTTTATCCTTTGGATGTATCTTCACTGAGAGGTGAAGACCCGGATGATGTTAGGGAGGATGTGGCTTTCATAGAGTGGCATCCACAAAAGGCGGATTATGCAGAACCAGGTAGGCTACCTCGCCACAGACATCGTGGTTCTGTCAAACATCTAAAATGGCTTATTTCTTCAGTAACTAAAATTATTTTCCATTCTCTCTCTATACAGCCTTTCTTCCGATAGAATATTCAGGAAAGAGTAGTCCAGGTGAGTAAATGTACAGTGTGTTACAAACTGTTTTTTTCTCTCCCTTTTTAAACATTCTGTTAAATTATATGCACTTCACCCTTTAAGTCTCATGTACAACAATATCTGCAATGCTGGAAGGCGCTATGGACAACAGTGTGCATTTTGTAGATGACTTGTCTACATTGCTAGACCCAGATGTACAATATAAAAATCCTCGTAACTGGCAAGGACTAGCTCAGGCATTTCTCGGCCTGTCTTACAATAAGATCATGGAAATCCGGTGAGTTTTTATTCTGTAGTATATGTGTATATTTTCTGATACTTTTTTTTTGTTCCGGAGCATAATCATTTCCTTTTTATTTCAGACACAAAACAAAAGACCATTTTAAGGAGGGCATCTTGCCCTTACTGAGTTCCCATGGATACACAGTTTATGACGTGACAAATTATTTTTCCTTATTGCCGTCACGACGAGTTGACGTCATCGAGTGTATTCAGCGATATCATCCAAATTGTCAGAAGTGTGGAGAAATCTATAATAGTCTTAAATCAGATTTGTTGAACGTATCATAATTTAAGGATTTGTTAAGTCAGTAAGTCATGTTCATATTAATTTATAATAGCTAGTTTAAAAATGAATTAATAAACAATTCATGGATTAATACGTGTTGCATGTAACTCTTTGTTTATATTACATGTATGTATATCCTTTTTCTCTAGCGATATACCAATTGTGTATACGTACGTTACTATCTTCGCGGGCTTTCAATATTGAATCTGATGCTATATCCCTGGAGAAATGGATCATTTATTTGCAAGTCGTAAAAAATGATTTTATTTCAAGTAGGATTTTTTAGCGTTGTCAAATCGAACGATTTTTAGTAATCGGTTACTTGCTTAATTTTTGGATGTTTTTTACATTTCACCTGAACATTTGAAAACATTTTACTCACGATATAGATTTAATGTAATATTGAACATACCGCATTTGAACTTTATTTTCAATTATAAACATACATCTGAGTAGAATGTAAAATGACATATCCGAGTAACCTAGTCGAATCGTTCGACGGTTAACCGTTTAATAGGGTATTTGTTGTCAACTCTAGATTTTTCAAAACAGTAATCACATCATACACGTGTACACGTATTTGTGGAATGGAATTCAGAAACTTTAAAACAAAACATACATGTAAATTGCAATATGAAAATAAAGCTAGATGTCTTAAATCAATTTTTTTTGTTTTAGTTTTTTGTTTGTTATTTGTCGTTGCTGTTTTAGTGCGTTGTTCTATTTTTAAAATTTGAATATATATATAAGCGGTCCATCTATTTGTGGTTGTGTTAGAAAGTGCACATGGGGAAATGAGACAATATTTTTTTTTGTTTCGATAGTAATTGATTTTATGGACAAAACAAAATAATTTATGACAAGAAGATTAGATGTAAGTATTTTATTGTGTTTGTGTCATATTCTTTATAATTGTTTATTGTATATTGTTGATTTCGACACGATATATCCCAGTGAGCTTGAAATAAAAGGTACCATAGAGTCTGACACATCAGTTTCACATTTGGATATTTTACTAGAAAAAGACTTTAATGGCAATCTAACAACAAAGCTTTATGATAAACATGATGACTTTAACTTTTCAATCGTCAACTTCCCTTACTTATGCAGCGATATACCCTTATCACCTACATATGGGGTGTATATCTCTCAGTTGATTCGATACGCAAGAGCATGTTAGATACGTACGAACAATTCCTAAAACGAGGAAAGTTATTGACAAGTTGACGAAACAAAAATATCAGCAGTCTCGTTTAAATCATCATTTCGTAGGTTCTTTGGCCGATACAATGACCTTGTGAGCAAATAAATCTATCATTAAGTCATATGCTGACTGACGTTTTTCATACTTATTGTTAGGCCATTATTAACACACTGAATTGTCGACGGATTTTTCCGTTGTTTCCCGATCGTGGCAAGGAGCACACGGCGGGTGTGTCCGGTCGGCAGGGGATATGCTCACTCCTCCATGGCGGCTGATCCCACTTCTGATGTTTTTGGAGGTCCATGTTTGTTCTACTCCCGATTGGTATTGTTTTAATGGACGTTGAGCTTGAATACTGTTCTTAATCTCCATATTTCATTATTCAACTCAAGCATCTGGAGTTTACGCGTACTTAATTAACCGAAATAAAACATGACTCGATGCAAGTAAATTTTAGCTGTCATCCGCAGTTAACTCTGCATCATTCTGCATACCTCGGAATGCGCGCTTTTAATTGGTTTTTTGTAGATGTCACCCTGGTTTTTTCCAGGGGTCTACATCGTTCGCGGCATTCCTCGCTGCAAGAACGATTTAAATGTATTTTACGCATTACACACACACACACACCCTCACACACACACACACACACACACACCCTCACACACACACACACACACACACACACACACACACACACACACACACACATATATATATATATATATATATATATATATATATATATATATATATATATATATATATATATATAGTCTTAATTTTTGTTGTTAATTCATTTCAATATCTTGTCAATTTTAATCAGATATTAATTAATTTATGATTTTACAAGAAGTGCTCCCAAGCACGGGAGCGTATAAAGTGTAAAAGAAAACTTCCGGAAAATAACAGTGCTTGGAAAAAAAAGTATTGAATTTTGTTCTGAATTTGCTACAGGTGCGAATAACAAAACAATAATTTTTCGATGCTTTACATTTATTGAGGTTCATCATCGCGCCTGCAGAAATTATCGGCATCATTACGTACGTGACATAGATCCAGGATATAAGACCAGCACGTGGGACGTTTGTGGCCGTTTGATGCTTTGCATCATTTGATTATCTTGTTTTGCTGTGTAATGAACAAAGTTTCATCAGGCGAGTGAAATCTTTTCGTGCCATTTGTTGAATATAGATAAACTGTACACCATCTGTCAAGACTAGTACAAAAATCCTTGTTTGGTTCTGCATTACGTAAAACTCGTCGAATGAAAAATAAGCACAGAAACAAGCGTTTGATGACAAAAATGCAATTAAACAGGTAAGGAAAAAGTTACGCAATATGAAACAGACAATAGAAAATTACCATAATAACATATAGATGTACTTTTGAAAATTACTCAAAAAGAAGATGGGCGAACAAGGCGAGCGAAATGCCTATAGTGCGACAAACATGGTGAAGGGTGAAAAATTATATAATAAATTTTCTTTGATATTTCATCTACATGTAACATTAAAGTATACTTCATGTAAAATTTCCACAATTTGCAAATATCTCACAAAGATTGAAATTATTTGACTATGAAATACTAGTAGCATAAACGCACTAAGAGAGTATCAGTAGATCCCACAGGATGGACAGACCACACAAAAACGATTAAAATCGTGGAGACCAAACAGGGATGGGGTAATGGTACTGTGTAACGTAATTAAAAGTAATTAATCACAAAGAGGGCGTTGCAGTTCTTCTGTTATTTTCCCTACACAATTAATGTATTTGGAGAACATGGCATTGGTAATAGTTTCAAGCAAATGCACAAAAGGGTTATTTACAATTATCATGGGATTGATTTGGTTTTGAAAGCATATACATGATTGTAGTTAAGCAATATTTTTGGGGAAAGGGCTATAGTTACATTTTGATAAAACTGACTTGAAATACGGAGAATATTAGCTGTAGAATTTTGTACATTTTTGTGCTCAGAAAGAATGCATGGAACTTTTATTATCTGAATATCATTTTCGACTGGTGTGCTACAGATCTGAAGGTATTTTGAGTATACAATGCTCCATATGATTAAATAAAATAAATTATACCAATTTAGTTGAAAAAAGAATGTCTAAATGGGTCTGCTTTTGCATGAGATCAAGAGTGAGCTCATCTAACTTTTATGGCCCCGGGGACTGAAATTACAAAGACATATGACACATGGTCCCCCTTTTTTGTACACATTCATTTGGCAAAGATTCTTTTGTTAGTATTTTTGCATATTTTTAAAAGTAACTAGTTCAGTTTTTTATAGATAAAAAAAGTTACAAAATACATTTGTCGTATTGCTCATTTTTTCCTGTCCTATGGTTTTCATCGGTGGTTCTCTTAGTGTAAGGTTGTGAACATGCCAGTTAATTCACATTTTACTGGAAGACGTCACCTCGATTCAGTACTTTCAGTACTTTGATTATATATCTGAAGCTATAAGCAAATCTGCTTTTTATCCATCTCCTTTAATGGAAATTATAAATATCCACAAAATTTTATGATATCACACTGTTCCGTTCGATGGACGTTCGGTGTGTTTTTAAAGTTTCTGAAATATGGTGATTTTTTAAATCCATTTAAAAATGGGTTTTCTTTTAGAATACAAGTAACGTCCACATAAATAAACACTCACTCCTCCCAGCATATGTTATGATTCTGATACATTCTTTAAAACGAATTTTCTTAAAATCAGATCTAAAAATGAATCTGACATTTTATGAAAAATGAAAGCCCCCACCCCCCACCCCTGTACTCTGTGAATTCTTTGAAGAAAGTTGTATCAGCTATACTTTGCTGCTACATGGTTGAGTTAGTGGTGAAAAAGAAAAAAAAAAGATTAAATCTAAAACTGTATATTTCATTTAATTTTTTAACTTGGAGAAAGAATTAAAGCACTAAATGACCTACAATATTTTTTAAACCTACATTTTGCTTGTACTGGAATCTCACATGAACTTGTTTGAACATTAGAAATACGTAATACTAAAGTGAACGAGGATGTCATTCGTTTTGAATGAGGAAAGATTCTAATTTTGGGGGTATAGTTTGATTAAAACTAAACATATCTCGAATTCCTTGTGGTTCATTAGTAACTAGTACGTGTAGAAATATTTATACTATGGTTGTAATAAATCCCCCGGTATCCTCTCTTGGATTACACATTTAGACATTTTTGCTGTCATTTCCTGTAAGAGGAAAAACACTCACTACTAATCATACAAAAATTTAAGTTTTTTTTAATTATGGCTTTCTCCCAGGCATGGGGTTAAAGTTTGATATACGAATTTAGCCACAGTATATGTTAAAGTTTAATATACATGTACAAGTATAGCTACATGTACAGTAGTGGTCAAAGTTTGATATACGATTATTCATATATTGAAATAACTTTTAAAATTCTGTTCTCAAGAACAAAAGGGTAAAAGTGGTCATAAAACTATAAACAAGTATTCCAATATAGTGAGAATTCATTTTTTCTTGTTTTCCCCAAATCATTACCCTCGGGGCTCTATAAGGGGTCCTAAGTTTGACATGCAAATGCATAGATAAAAAGCTTTTGAAAACCCTCTTCTCAATATCCAAAAGCTACAGAAAGTCATTATAACTAGTATATAGAAATTCCGACGTAGCGAGATTCAACCCCCCACCCCCACCCCACTCCGAATTCATGCCCCTGAGGTCTCTATAGAGAATGGTGGTCAAAGCTTGACATTTTTTATAGAGAAAATATAGGAAAATGTTGTTTTCAAAAAAGGAAAAACCACAGTCCATATACCAGCTTCCATATTTTGCGTGGATTTTACTCAGATCATTTCCTCTGTAGCTAGGATAGGTCAAAATTGGGGGGACCAAATTTTTACATATTTTGGAATATATATGGGGAAAAATTATGAAAAATAGCTTTAGGATTAGAAATATTCAAACTCTAAAACCAGAATTCCATTGCAAATTTGGTTAAACTAATGTTCTTTGTCAGGGATGTGACAGCACATTAAACGATCAAAATTTTACAATGAATAGACAAGAAAAGTGAGCATTGTTGCACCACTTGAGCATATTAATTGGCTCTAAATTATTGACACTTGCTAAAAAAAAGTGCAAATTCTTAAACTATTACAAGAGGCCCATGAGCCACAACGGTCACCTGAGTCATTACTGCTGTTTTTTCATCGGAAGATGTTCCGCATAGTCCTATGTAAAAAAAAATAATCATACATTGTGGCTTCCCCTATCCCGAAAGTCATGAGCTATATATATATATATATATATAATATATATATATATATATATATATATATATATATATATATATATATATATATATATATATATATATATATATATATATATAAATATATATATATATATATATATATATATATATATATATATATATATATATATATATATATATTCTCCTCTG